TAAAGGGAAATAAAAAATTTTAAGAATAAAGTATTTCTAATAGAAAGCATATATTTTATTCTGTTCCAAAATATATAAACATCACTTTTGCAGGGAATGTTAACTTAATAGTAGTAATAATTCTCATAAAAATGCCCCTAAATACCATGAAAGCCCCCCACAAAACCCATTTTATCTAAAAATGCGAACTGAAAAGGAGAACCTGCCGCTTGATAAACAACCGCGGAAACTTCGAAGGAACTCGCAAGAGCTGTTCTTTAAGAGGCTCCACGTGGTTCAGGTTAACATGTGCGTCGCCCAAAACATGTATAAATTCACCGGGTTGTAACTTTTAACACATAATTATTAATTCAGAGTATGAGCTTACAAAATATAACATATGTAGCTTTTTTTTTAAAAAAATTTCTTTTAACGAAAGTATTTTTAAACAATAAGATTGTTGTTGGCATCCTTAATACTTAATAGTAAAATTTCTTTGTAAAGCTTAGTTTATTACTTTGGTTGTTTTAATTATTAGTTAACTTTTAAGATTTTATTGTTAAGAAATTTTTTCCACTTAATATAATAGAATATAACTTTTTTAAATGTAATTTATAGGGTTTCAGTAAAGTCCCTTTAGTAAAAGAATTTATAATCGTCATTTAGTCGTTTTTATTAACATTTAGCAGTAAGAATTCTTAATAAAGTTTGGTTTATTACTTTAAGTGCTAAGTTTTAATAAAATTTATGTATCTGTTGTTAAATGATGCATAAAACTAGCAAGAAACTCAATTAAAAAGAATTTTATCGGCGGTTTTCTTTTTTGAATTTATATTTTCCGCTTCACTTAAGAATTTTTGTTTTTCAGCATAATTTACTACCCACCTCTAAAGATGATTCAAAATTTTTATCAAAGCGTTGCTAAAAGGCGTATAGGGATTAATGCTAACGCGACTGCTTTACTATTTTTTTTATTTTTACTTATAAGAAAATTATTTACAGCATACCCAAATATACTTTCTTTTAACTACTAAATTTTGCTATAAAGCTCGCTTACGGGAAGATTTACGACTTTAATTATAAGCGCAAGGCCTTTTCTAACTTCCAACCTACCCTAGTCACGTGGGCTATCATGCACGTGAGTAGCGAGTACGACGCAATATTGAAGGGAACGCCGAGGCCCATGTCACACGAGCGCTGGTACCTTTAGAAAAATAAAGTTTTAAAAAATATTCCATATCATTTTTGATAAATTTAGTATAAATCTAATTATAATAACGTTCTTATAATATTATAATAATTATAGATAGTTCAAAAAGAAAACTAATTATTATAATATTTAAGAAAGCCAAAAAGAAGTGCTAAATATTAGTTTATTAGTAAAGTGCTTGCAGAATGCTGGTATACAAAAATACACGTGCGTAACTTGTAAATTGCGGAGTAATAGTTAATTAAGAAATCTGCAATACCCGCAAAGAATGTTATAGCCACTACTAATTTTTTTATAGAAGTAGCAAATTTTCAATTAACTAAAAAAAATTAAATTTAATGCGCCCACTGAAGAAAAACATAAAGAACAATAAATTAAAACATCTGGCAAGAAAGCTCTCCATTGCAAACATAAAATTGAGCTAGTAGATGGCAAGGCGGGAGGGCCATCTTGCAAAGGTCTACATTAAAAAAAGGGGAAAAAAGTAAACATTTTAGTAAAAGTTTCCAGCGGAAATATTCTAGCCCACCAGGAGGATTCCAAGCAGATATAATCATGCGCCGATCGTCGGGATTATTTTTGATAGTTGTGATTATTTCTTTAATTGGTCAACGCCTTCACCTGGTCGGCAACAGAACTTTTTTAGTTAGAAACAAAATTAAAAAAAAAATTATAAAATTTATTATAAAAACTCTAAATTAATTTTCTATAACGTATTAACAATAAACAATGTAACATTAAAATATTTTATACCGATAATTATACAACTTTTAGTTTCATAACATTCATAAAAATGTAAATTTTACTAATTAAAAAATCTGTTGCGAGTTTGGCGATGCACGCGGAACAGCGAAAGAATTATTATTTAAACTTAAACTATTATTTATAAATTAATAATAAGAAAAATACCAGAATAACCATGATGCATATCTTTATAGGTAGCGCCGAAATGACGCCACTGAAATCCATACACCGGCCCTAAATCTCCCTCCTATACATAATAATTATAGATATATATAAATAAAAATATACAAATTAACTTCTCTTCAAATTTATATAAAATTATTCTATAAGATTTATTTATAATTATTTTAATTAGTTATATATAAAAAAGTATGTATATAACTGCACACCTCACGATGGTCGAGTCCTATAGACTGAAGAAATTGCTTTGAGCCATTATCTCCCAAATGTGAACCCCTTTTTCGCTTAAGTCTTTGGCGTTAGTATTTCCTTTTATAAACCAAAAAAGTTCCTTTTTTATATAAAAATATTATATTTTAAATCTGTCTAAAGTAAAACTAATTACGTATTATAAAATAAGGAAGAATACATTGGACCACTAAAAAACCAAAGCTATACTTCTCAATTCCAGGTTGTTTATGTATAATTATTTTTTTCGCTTACAAGCATGCAGAAAGATAAAAAAAAGTATATACAATATAATATCTTAACCTCAACGACGCCTCTCCAGAAAACTCTTTTCGTAGTTAACAAGGGAAAGTTTTTATTTCTCAAAGAAAACCTCATTTGTTCTCCAAATATAGACAAAGTTCCTATAAAACAGTAAATATTGCAATATAAAACTTAAAGTAATGGTCATTTAACCATTTTTATAAATATTGTAATGTGTAGTAAAATAAATTAATATAGAAATCGAGGGAGATTTTAATTAATTGTGTAGCACCTGTCCCAGTTCGATCAGTTTTCAGGTTACCTTTAGTAATTATTTTTTTACAAAGGTCAAGATACTGCTTTTCTTCAGCATTATTATCACTTCTTAGTATTTTTTGAGTTATGGGACTCTGCAACCCCATCTCGGAATAGTTATTGTTTCAAGAGTTTCGTAAAACCAATCGTTAATAGCGTGCCTTATTAGAAACTTCTGGGTATGCAGTCGGAAGGCTAGAGCACCTTAAATTTACAATACACACTGCCAGACTTTTGGGTGATAACGGCGACGAATCCATTTTATACTATATATATTTAACTTTCCACTATGCTTAATATAGAAGTCTTGTGTTTACTAGTACGTCGTACCAAAGCACTTTTTAATAATAAAAACTATACAATAATTATTAGACCCAAAGTAATTAATTATAAGGATTCAAAACATTTGCTAAAATACAATCATTATTGGTATTTTCGTAGGTAATAATAAAGATAAATGGAACACAGATCTATGTGATATTCTAATTTAGAATTGAGTAAAGTTTATGTCGAATTAATTTTATATATAACATTTTTATATAATTAAGGCAATATTATGCATTCATGTTTTAAAAACAACTTAATACTCAAAAGTTTGCGAAGTTTTAATAATTATAAGCACAGGTATCAGTCTATTATACGGTGCCGCGAAGTTTGAAAAGATCATATATTTTGCTCTAGCTATTTTTAAATTAAACAATTATATTTTACTTTTCAACTCATATCTATAGCTTCGTTTCTCTTTTAATTTACAACAAAAAATTTTTATGAAGCACTAATTTTCAACTGCACCTATAAATACGCTTTAAAAACATATATTCTGGTCTATTTTCAAACCGATAATATAAATGGGACTAAATAATTAAACTTTTCAGCTGAAACCTGGGTTTAACGTTCCTTCTAGTAATTTATAAAAAATTTATGGCGGTGAGGTGTTTTACCTAACTATCATAGACTACCAGCGTCGGCGGTAACAAATTCCATGACCTAAACCAGAGTTTCAACGACAATTTCAGTTTTGGTGGCGAATTTACGTTGTTAACCTGATACATCGTACAAGACATACATTAAAAAAGATTTTTTTAATAAGCTATTAACCTAATATTACAGCCTTAAACAGGTTATTAGATTGACGGCGTCGCCAACAAGATACCACTATGGCTATAAACCATTTAAGTGGTCTTGCAATCTCAGCAATGTCGAAAGCTGCTAATCTAATAACATTTCTAGAGGCGCGCAATGTATAGTTAAAATCATAATTAGGGTATAAATTCGGCCACTTTATGACACGCAGCTATTGCGTTTTTAAGGGGGAACAATGCAAGACTATGATAAAACCAAAAAAGGCATCTTTTTAGGCTTTAAGGAAGTCTTCCTTTTAGAATTGTATAATTATTTTGTTAAAAGATACACACTCTCCATACTTGGCGCGCGGTTTGATGTATTTGCGTTCTCCTCAAAGCAGGACACACAAAACTCGAAATAGCTGAGAGCTTTGGAGCTACCTATTGTAATCTACAGCAAAAAAAAATTTATTAAGTAAAGGCAACAAAGGATGAAATGCACTAATAAAAAAAAATAAGCGACTTTCTAGTATATATCAAGTCAATTTAATAATTTACCAATGCAGATTAACTAAGTTGACTTAGCTGTGAAATATGTACGTTTCTTAAACCAAAAAAATTGAGAAAAAAGTAATTATTGAGTCCCAAAAATATATTGAAAAAAAGTTTTGCTTATGAGGTTAAAATGAACGCAATTAGAAAACTAGCCAAGGTGTTATGTTAAATATTTTTAAATATTTATATAACTAAAAGTACAAACCAATAAGTTTGTTAAAAAACACTATATAAAAAGTATAATAAATCTAGCGGTCATATACTCTCGGCTTTAAGGGCGACTTGCGTATAAAAACTCGCTGGCTAGATTAGTTGATTAGTATTTACGAGGGCGAGGTTAAATACGCGCCCATCAAAGGCCGATAAAGAGAATCGCGTCGATGGTAGTCTAACCCACGGCCTTAAGCATGCGCGTCAATGCCCTGAGAACTCTCGATGCCGGGGTGACGGTTTTACGTATTTAGCCCGTAAGGTTGCACTCATCGAGTGCATGCAGCAGTGAACTTTAGCCAAGTATGTTAAATGACTAAAAGTGTTAATCCTTTGCACGTATACAAAAGAATCCTTAAACTACATCTAACTTTACCGAAGGGTTTACGGCGATTCGGTTAAAAATTTTAATAGCTAAATATAAAATATTGTTTGCTGGGTTTTTTTGGTTTAATCTTTGATTTATTTAAGGTAATGAATTTGTTCGCTCAGAGTTTAAACAGCATAAGCAGGCAAAGGATGAACAGTTAAAAGAATTTCTTGGAACTTGGAAAGTAATTTTATTTAATATTATTTAGTTATAGTTTATACTATTTCCATATTATAACCGTTCTTCGTTATATTATTTTTATTTAGAGATACTTGGAAAATTTGCAGTTTGATGTCGACCTTTACAAGTCAAATCTTAAGAATAACTAAATTTTGATATTTGTAGAGAACTGAGCTTAGCTATAACAAAAAAGTTCCTTATAAGATCAGAGTTATTAAACCTTTCCTTTTTGCTTCCGTAATTATTTATATCCCCAAGATCGGTAAAAAAGATTTTTATAACTGCGTTACAAAGGTTTAAAAAGATTGTTAATTTATAGTTACAGCAAAAAAAAATAGTTTAATCTTAAGAGTTTTATAGGATAATCAAGGAACTATTACAAATTCAATGTTACTTCTATTAAAGTCTGGTAAATGCATGATTTTCGACATTTCAAATCTCTAGAAGTCTGCTTAGCAAGTACCAATTATGTCTTACTTTCTTCCTCTTCTACCAAAACAATCTTATTACATTTTTAGCACTATCATATTTTATTAAAGTAAAGAAAATCTTAAGATCTTTTCCCTTTTGATAATTTTATTATTACCAAGTTATATAAATTTCTTTTACGTATGGGTATACGGCGTAATTACTTATATTTTATGAAGCTTGGTGCCTCCCCTGCCGTAGTGCTGCTTTCTAGTTTTGCTGTAAACATTAGTAAAGCTCTTGATATTGTTCTTTTCTTAAAACTAAAGTTTTAGTCTAAAGTAGCCATTAAAATTGTCAGAGTATTACAAAGTCTTAAATAGTTTTTGCTTGTTCTAAAACTACTAATAATAAGATTTTACTTTACGTTTATTTACGTGCATAGTGTATAGAATATATTTACTATTGTTAATTACAAAAGCTAACTTTATATGAAGCTTACAGCTTTAAAAACCATGTGCTTTCGAGACTAAAGAGTTCTTGTTTATAGAAGTCTTAACAAAAGAACTGGGGGTGGCAAAAGCCGTGTAAAACAATGACTTGTACATCTTCGAATATATAATATTTATAGCAATGCTAAATTTAGTGTTCAATACTTTTGAACACGCATCCACTTAAAAAATCTATTTTCAAAAGTACACGAATTCAGAATTTTTAAGGATCAGATTTATTCAACAGAGTTTTTAGAAAAAATTCGTTTCCTTTTAGCTCTTTATTCGTTTTAATGAACCAAGATGATATCTAGTGCTTCTAAACAATTTGGGGTCAGTAGGGTTCAAATTTTGTTACAAAGGCTTCTTCTTTTACTAATTCTGCTAAAGGAATCACCAACGTTGTACGCCATAAGTTTTGTTAAGGAATACATTTTATCTTAGGCTTACAACTAATGAAATGTATTCTTTCAGTGCTTATTTTATAAAGGCGCCAATAAAATTACTTTTTTGTCTTACAAAATATATAGCACACTTAAAAATAAATATATGCAAGTTCAGTACTTCTCTTAAAGATAAAACTTAAATGGTAATGCTGCCTCTAAATGCTAAATTTATTTTTGATCAATGTTATACGAACCCATTGCACGGAGTTAAACGGACTGCTTTAGCAAAAAAAAAAATTTTTTTAAAATCTGTAAAAATATACTACAAAATAGCTTAAAGCCACAAACGCAAGGATGTAACCCCTTTCGACAGGAAGCTAAAAATTTTGCTTTAAACTATATTTTAATTGATTTTTATTGTGTCGAAGTTGGAAAGTACGGAAATGTATATAAATGTAAATTTAATAAACTTTATACGAGCCGAAAAATGACTTTATTAAACCTATTGTGAGGCGCTTTAGCATCTCTATGAAAAGAATTTTTAAGACACATGTAGATTTTTTAAGAGAAATAGATTGAAAATAATTAATATTGTAATTTTATACGGTTAATGGTTAATGTGGTTACTACACATCCGATTTATAAATAAATTAAGCAAACTTTTTACCTATATCTATGTTAAATTTTTATAACATATATGGTTTACTAACACATTTATTAACCGCAACAAAAGTTGTTTCATAATTAAGTATTAATCCTTAGCAACCAGATTAACGCTAATTAACGAGTACAGAAGAACGCTCAATTCCTTATGGTAAATCACAGTTTCATTTTTAAAGTTTATATTTATTATATTATATTACAATTAACACCTACATAATAAAACTTATATTACTATAGCTAGCTATAAAAAGTTGATTAACAACATAACCTCAAAATACAGGAATACGTATTGGGTTAATAAACTAATATCATAAGACAATATGTTTTTAATTTTTCATTTTTTGAAGACCATAAATTTAATAACATAAGAAAGGACCTAATAAAGATTAACTTTCTAATAAAAAATAGTCCGAAGTGTTATACTTTGCGACACGGTGGGCTAATAACTAATTTCTTAACAGCACAATATCTGCTTGCCATGTTTGAAAATATAAATTTATTGTTTCACTTCTGGTTGTGTGAGAGAGTAATTGATGTTTATATATGCTCAGTTGCATTAGATTCTGGTTAAGGAAGCATTCTACGCGTACATTTACCTTTTAAAAATTTAGTTCGTAATGGATATTTCCCTCAATTTCCTTCCATTGGATATGTTGGTAACATATGTTAATATGTATAGGCCCATGCCACTGATATCTGCCGTCCCTCATCGAGGGTGGAGGGCTAATTGTAAATAATATAAAAATACAGTTATTGCGCACACTCGCGGTTCAATTCATAATAATAGAATGAGGTCTAAATACGAGGTCTGCATTAAATTGGGAATAAAACAAACATAATGACAGCTAGGCCTCTGGGCTACATTTATATGCTAATCTTAGGAATACAGTTTGGCATTCAACCCCTATTAATAAAGTCTTTTATTTCTCCGAACATTGAAAAAGAATTTATTGTGTTCGTAAACGAATTAATAAAAATTATAATTTCCTTGACGCTACTCTGGGCGGATAGTAACCACCTTTTATATTTCCTACTAAACTTTTAGCCTACTTCACTCAACTCGCAATAACAGACTCTTTAAAATCTGTGCTCTCTAAATGGAGCCTAACTGAATCTTTCAAAATTTCTTTGCTACCTGCTATCATATACTCTCTTCAAAATTATTGTCTGCAGCATGCATACCACAATCTTGATCCTCTAACCTTTAATCTTATCAATCAATTCAAAACACTTTTTACAGTATTGAAATACTATCTTTTATGTATAACAATATCTATTATCTCCTTACATAGGCATTGTTTGTTTATATTATCTTAGGAAAACGTCAAACGAGGACTCAAATATTTGCGCTTGTCCTTTTGACAGTCTCTTGCCACCTCGCTTTAACAGCTGATAACAATTTTAGAAAAGTCGACAAACATTATTATATAAATATCGACTATATTTTTAAAGGGTAAAAGTTTTATTGTTTCTTTCTAAATAAAATAAATAAAAATTCTAACAAACGCAATTTAATTTACTCTGATGGTTTAGGCTAGTCCCTAATATTATATCTACTATACTATCCGGTTTGGCTGGTGCGCTTTGCCAATATGCCTTGCAAGGTAACCAAACTTTTATTTAAACAAATTTTTATATATATCTAATATACTAGAATAAATCTTTAATTTTTGCAAGAGTTAAATTTTTTTTATAATACATTGTTCCCCCAAATAGGAAAAAGGAAAAATTGTAATCTTTTCACTTTGGAACTCTCTGTTTTCTCAGGGCTGATAATGCTTTTTTCCTTAAGCTTAACTTCTCAAGGTTTAGATTCTTTTCAAAAAAATAAATTTATATAATAAAACATGAGGCTCTAGAAATTTAGTATAAAATTATATTGGAGTAGTATATGAAAATCTATATAAATTCAATTATTTTTTCCTTGTTAAGGAATGCAGGAAGGGAAATTTAAAAAGTGGACTGTTTGGTCGTGGCTAACAGTAGCCGTTAATGCTTTCGGGGGAGTCGCAGTGGGAAAGGTCACCCAGCACGCCGGCAGCGTTAAAAAGGGCTACTGCGTTGCTGGAGGTCTTCGATTCTTTTCATTTTTAAATTCTAAACATAAATTTTTCGTTTTAATATTTAATTTTAATTTTCAAATTTATAAATTTTTCTCTACTTCCACAAAACTGATTTCTATTGTATTTAATATAAACAGGGATTCTGTTGACTGCTTTTTTGGAATTGGTGCTCGGTCATAGAACTTTTACGCTAAGGCTAGTTCTGGCTTTTATTCTAGCAGCCGTAGGGGCCTCCCTGCACACTATTTATAGCGGGGATGGCAGCGAATCACCAAAAAGTTAATTTTGGGGAGTTAAAGTATAAACCTGTACAGAATTAATTGTTTCAATGCTTAAACTTGTAGAAATTAAGCTGGATTTGAAATTTTTTTTTAGTAAAATAGAAAAATTATTTATTACAAGGTACATATATTATTAAAAAGCCGAAAGGGAAAATTTAAATTTTTATAAATTATGAATTTTATATAACCTTTAATTATTAGTGCTACTAAATATATTTTTTATAAAAGCTGCTTTTAAAAAAAATCTTCACAGCAAAGGAATTCTGAATTTATTTATAACAAAGTAAATTTTACGCAAGTATAACAACACCACCCTCCCCACCAATTAGAAATTAATAGAGAAAAAAACTTTTATCATTATTGTTATTCAAAACCTTTTGAATTTAAAAACACAAGAGTTAATTTAAATTTTTTTAAAAAATTTGAACTTAAATTAATATTTTAGACAAAATTAAAAAAAGTAAATCGGATAGAATATAAGTTATTCTTTTAAGTAAAGCAAAGCTATGTAAAGTTAAAATTAAATAAACATCATAAATAGTATTTATAATATAAATAAGTGACAAACAAAATTTTTTAAAAGAAATCATGAAATAAGAATTGCTGTTTTTAAAAATACTTTTATATATAGACAAACACTTTAATGAAAATATTAATAGGTAATTATAAAATTTAATAAAAGTTGGACTGGGGAGATGGGCGTGCAGGTACGGCAAACATTTTAATCTGAAAATATTTTAACAAATAATTCACGGCCCATCTAATTTTGAAAAAAATACTTCAACATTTTTTTTTGCGTTTCGCTCTTTTCTTCTTTCCCAACTAAAGAAAAATATATATATAAAAATTGTAAAATTATTTTTATGATTTTATTTTTAATTACAAGCGTAAAAAGTAATTTTTTTTAGAAAATTAATTTATTTAAATCAGTAAAGTTTAAAATTTATTACTAAAGTTTATAAAAAAATCTGAAAAGAAAGAAAGAAAGAAGAACAAGTTCCAAGCTTAAAAAGTTAATTCTTTTATAAAATAACTTTTAAAAGACAAGTAAAATTATACTCTTTAAAGTACACACCAAATCTATTAGTAAATAATTAAAAAGTACAAAAGCGCGAATAATTATAAAAGATAATTTAGAATTTCTCTTTAAAATAAATGAAAATAATATAAAAAAGTGAAAAAGAACAAAACTTTTAACAAAATAAAGTTCTAATAAAATTAAATATATTTAGTAAAAATAAATGTATATTATAAAAATAATTTTATCTGGAAACCCGAGTAATATTATAAAAAAGGTAGAATTAAAAAATATAACATGACATATAAAAAAAAAGACGGAGTATTAAACAAGAGAAATATTGAATAAAAATTTTAAGAGAAAAAGTCAATAATTCTTACAAATAATGAAACATTTACAATACGAGGGGGGGGGGTTAGTAGATATTAGAGTATATATAATTTTTTAATTTTATTTAATAAAAAAGGCGGAAATTTTGCTAGAAAAATAGTGTATAGAATAATTTTGTGTAGGAATAATAAAGAAGATAAAAAGGTGGGTAAATTTCGCAGGAGATAGAAAAAAAAATTCTCATAAAATGCTAATTAAAAAATGGAAAAGGCGGGATAATTATGATTGATTATCTAAAAAAGATAATAAATAAATAAATTTTAATTTATATGATAGTTAAATGATAGGAAGGTGAAAGGTGATATAAATTTATCAATAAATAAAATATTCATTATTGAAATAAAAAAGTTCAAGAACAATATAAAAAAGTAATGAATCTCAGTGAAAGATATAGTTTATATATACAAAGAATACAAATAAAATGGTGGTAAAAAATAGTAATAAGAAAAAAAAATAGAAATCTACATTCAAAATTTCAAATAAAAATAATTGCGGCGGTAAAAAGTTTCAAAAAAATTAATGAAAAAAGTTGCCTAATACTTTTATTAATACTAAAAAAAATCAAAATAGGTAAGTCTTTATCATAATATAAATAACAGTATTATTAAAAAAATATTCAAAAGCTCAGGTTAATAATTTCCCATTAAAAAAATAATTTTTATTTAAATATAAAATGTTAATATAATAAATAATATAAAATTTTTGTAAGATAAAAGTAGTAGAAAAGTTATAATATAAAAAAATCAAAAAAATTGGGCTAATAAAAATTATATATAAACTACTTTAAAAAAAATTATAATAAATATAATAAAGTAACAAAACAAAGTATCAATAGAATAATGCTTGATAGAATTTATTAATAAGTAAAAAATTAATGAAATATAGAAATATAGAAATGAAGTAATAATTTATAGAGTTTTAATAAAAAAAACTAAAACTTTTATTCTTTTATTACTGTAAAACTTAATAAAAGTTTCAAATTTATTACCTAATTTATTAAAAGAGTTAAAAAGTTTATTACAACTCTTTTATAAAGCGATAAAAAAAGTTTTATTCTAAAAAATATTTATTTTTTAAGTAATAAAAAAAGATTAAAAAAATTAATAACTATGAATCTTCTATATATAAAAAAAGTGACAATTATGATATTATTTCTAATTTTTATAAACAATAATAAAAGTTTTTCATAACAAACTATTCATAAAGCAATAGTTATTATCAAAAAGCTTTTTTTAAAAAAAATATTAAAAACTAATAAATAGATTTTTCTTAATAAGAAGTTTCTATAAATATAACAATAAAAGTTACGCTTGAGAGCGAATCTGCGAGAGAGAAAATCCTTCAACGTGTATTTTTTGAATATGAGAAAGTAAAGACTTTTTATGCGCAAAAGTCCTATAATAATTATTTTTAAAGACATTTTTACTATTAAACATATAAATATAATTAAACTTTTTACAAAAACTAATATTTACGAAATTATTTTCTTTTACAAAAAAAATTTATTAAAGTTTTATAAAAATAAAAAAAAGTATTAAAATTAAAATAATATTAATTATTATAATTCATTAATTACCAAAAAAGACTTTTTTATTTTTAAGGATATGAATTATATTTAAACTTTCCAAGAAAATTAGTTTAAATGAATTTATTTTTTTTAATAAACAGTTTTAAAAACGCTACAAAAATTAATTTATAATTTATATTTTTCTTAAAATAAAAAAAAAAAAAGAAAAACTTGGTGCAGCGGTTATAAGTACAGGAAAACTTTTTTATGCCTTCGTGCCGAAACTCCTAAAAAAAAAGAATACTACTTAAACTTTTATTATTTAATAAAACTTCAATAAAAATTTTTGAAAAAATTGGTAAAGCGTATTAAAATTTATTTAAGGCGATTTTCTATAAATAATCTCTAAACAAAATAATATTAAGTTTATAGAAATTGAGGAAAGATTATTTTAAAATTTTTACATTTAATAAAGAAAAGTTTATATAACGATAATAAAAATATATACTATTTATTAAAAAAGTAAAAATAGGAAGCTAATCTGAATATATTATTCGAATACTTTATGATGAAGCAAAGAACTTTGTGACAAATATAATTTCCCACAGTCTTCTTTATCGCATTTATAAACAGGGCGAGTTGGAGAATGAAATTCTTTTATATGTTTTCTTAATGAATCTTTTTTTCTTATCAAGTAAAAAAATTGGGAAAATTTTTATCATAAACTATATAAGAATAAATAGTAGTAAAAAAATATACAAACATTATAAAATAACTGTAATTATTATTATTTACAAAAAAATCCTACAAAACTTTATTTTGTCATAAAAATCAAAAACTGGTCTTAATGAAGATATTTTATTATTAGAATTATATACTTGTAGATTTTCCCGCAGTCTCGAAAGTGACAATGAAAAATGTCGGCACAAAGATGACTCAATTGATGTTGTTCAAAAAGCGATAAATTAGAAAATTTTTCGTCGCAATTTGGAAATTCACAGTAAAATTCCTTTTCTAGTTATAATAATTAAAATTTAATAGCAATAAAGTAAGACTAATTTACGTGAATGTTTGTTTACAAAGTGACTTCGTAATTTGCTGTTTGTTGAAAATTCTAAAATCAAAAGTATTTATTAATTAATAAAAAAATATCAAATTAAAAGCATACATTGAAAACCTTTTAAACAATCCTCAACTTTGCAACTGTAAGGCAACTTATTGGTATGTAAAACTTCGTGTTTTCTTAGTTGTGCACGTTTAACAAATGCTTCAGCACAACATGAACACTTATTTATATTTAATTTTTTTAAGAAATTTAAATATGATTATTAAAATATTAAATAGCTAACTAATTAACAAGTATAAAGTTTATAACTCTCTCCTTTCTCAAAAACGAACAACAAAATAGTAATCATAATAAAAGATTACTTCAGTAAAACTACACTATTAAACTATTAAAGAGATATAAATAATTTGCTCTAGTTTTTTTTACATCAATATAAAAGATTTTATTTCGAAAAATATTTAACTTGGTAAGATTTCAGTCGAGAATGGGATTCCAAATGTCTTTTTAAATGGTGCTTAACTTTGTAGCGCTGATTACAGCTTTCATAATGACAAACAAAAGGCCTAACGTCAGAGTGAGAGAGAAGATGACGTTTTAAATGAGATTTTCTAGTATACGACGAACCGCAGCAATCATAAGAACACGTATACGGGCGCTAGGAGATGGCCAAACAACAAAAGTATAGTTAATAATAATAGTTTTTTTTAGCTACCTCGCCAGTGTGTTTTAAATAATGTTCTTTTAACCGAGACAACTTTTTATACAATTTATTGCAGCCGGGAAAAGTACAATAATGCATTTCTCTCATATATAAGATAATTTAAAACGCACCTAGAAATTAAATTAAGTTAAGGATTTATACATGTAAAAGTGGTTTCGTTATAATATTAAATCTTAACTAACTTAAATAAAACAAATTCAACTTTTTTTTAAAAAAGGTTTATATTAGCCCATCTACGAAAGAAAATTAACTAACACGAACAGGAGCTCGAGTGACGGTGTACTATATATATATATATTAAAAATACACTGGACTAACTGACGTAAATCGTAAATAACTTTCTTATAATTACAGTTATAATAACGCTAAAACTAAGGGCTATAAAAAAATGTCACAAACAAATTTATCAAATACAAGAAACAATTGCAAGGTGAACTGAGAATTTACAAAACTGTAGCAGTAGATAGTCTAATAAAACTTATTTTTTCTTTATAAAAAAGTTTAATTCTTACGATTAAATTAACCAAAAGAAAACAATATAAAGAAAAAGAAAAAGTATTGAAATTAGCTGACCTAAATTTTTTAGTGAGGAGCTATAAAAATATAACGTTAAAATGAACCGAAATTTTAATAAATATAAAAGCACGAACCAAAAAGTATAAGTTGCTCAAAAAAAGTCAAAAAATTAGGCAATCTTTAATAAATAAAAAATGTTAAAATAATTACATCTACAAGGACAGAGAAGAGCGGGAAAAAGTAGAAATCAAGCGAATGACTTTGTAGCTAAGGTCTCTAAGGAAAGTTTATATTTCGTTAGAAGCGAGTACACCGAAGCTCTAAGTTTGAAACAAGCCTTGGTAAACAATATTTATAACCATTGGAGGCCCTGCTGTTTCTTATAAAATTTGTAGATTATATAATAACTTATATGTAAAGTTTCAACATGTATTTAGGTAGGTAAATGTTTTAGATAGTTAATCTAACTAGATAACGTTCAAGTGATATACATCTTAACATACAAATCCCAACTCTGCTCGCATGTGGTTAATAGATAGTTGTATGTTCCGCCATTTGCGGGCTTAATATTCTCAGTCTTTATTTTTTGTCACTTATATTGCGTTATATTATATGCAAACTCATGTATTTAAAAACCGATATAACTAAGAAAAAAAAGAGTATAAAAAACAATTTAAAGTTACTCTTTTTTTATTTTTTATAATTATTATAGCTAATGAGCCTAAGAAAAAAAAAAGAAAACAAAAAAGTCTATAAAATCCAAAAAGCTTATGCCATCAGAATTGAAAAGTGAGAAGGGGCTTAAAAAAAAAAGTTAACTGAAGAAAGGTATATAATTTATTTAAAATCTAAATAAACTTTTCTATTAACTTAAAATCCGTAACATTGAAGTTTCTCTCAACCTCGCTTTGGATGAAAATGTTATAAAGAAATTTCGAGAAGATAATGTTACTTACCTTTTTATTAAATAACTGGAATTTTAATGTTAACTAATAGTTTTCTTCTCTAGTTTATAACAGTGGAGTCCGATTACTCTTACAGACCAATAGTTACTTTTAAACTTTCGCTCTCTTTATTTTCTAAAGAATTATTACAGGTTTCTTATAAACTACACCATTTTTCATCCTTCCTGGATTTTTTTATATAATTAAAAATATATATTTTTTAAGGTTAACATTTTAATAGACTTGTAGAGATTTCAAAAAACCGTGCCCTATACAAGCTGGGGTGTGGTCGGTGAGCCTTGCCGGAAAAGACATTATTGGCATTGCGGTGACTGGCTCTGGTAAGACGTTAGCATTTGCTTTAACTTCTGTAAGGCGACTTCAAGGTTTGCTTTGCCACAGATTTTTAATTTTTATATATATATAAAATTGCAATTGAAGTTTTTTCTTTTAAACAAGAAAATCGGAGAACAAATTTTATAAAAATAGTCCTATTGTGCTAATACTTGCGCCAACAAGGGAGCTTGCCAGCCAGATTCATGAAATTTTTTAAGAAATTTCTACTAATGTAAAGGATGTACGTCGTGTTTGTATCTATGGAGGTCCGTTTTTACTTTAATGCTTTCCTCTCTTATAATAATTTTTTTATTACAACTTTAAGGAGTTTCTAAAATGCAGCAAGCAGGAATTATGAGCCAATCTTTTAACATTATGGTGGCCACTTCTGGTCGTTTATTGGGTGTTTATTCTTTTTAATATTTAATCGAAAATAGAAAATTAAATATTTAAACAGGATTGCTAGAATCTGGTAACATATTATTATCGAGAAGGTCCATACTTGTTCTAGTTGAAGTAATTAATTTCAATTGAAATTTAAAATTATTTAATTTCAAAGTAATTTTATTTACAAGCCCGACAGAACATTAGATAAAGGATTTGAGCCCGATATACGAAAAGTCATTTTCCATTTAAAAAATAAAAGACAAATTCTTAGGTTTAGGTTCGTTTTAAATTTTTTTTTGGCTAGATAAAAAAATTCTAATTAATTTTTCAAACATTCAGTGCTACTTGGTCTAAGGAAGTTCAGCTTCTTGCTAAAGACTATGCGAAATCCCGTCAAGATCACAACTAGCGGGCGCGCGTTACTGGCGATTACGTGCTTGACGCAACATGTGGAAGTTCTTCTGCCTCCGCATAAACGCTTCCGGTTTTTGCTTTAGTTTTTTTTTTATAAAGTTACGCGACTCTTTTTTTTTTTTTGTAGACTTTTGCAACACCTTAAAAAACTTTATACCGGGAAAAACTAAATCTTAATTTTCGTGCTTTACAAAAAAGAAGTTCCCCAAGTGGCGCAGTTCCTTCAGTCCAACGGTTATGGCGTCTTCGCGGTTCGTGGTGATATGTCACAGCCCGCCAGCACTAGCGTTAGTTTGTTATCGAAATTTTAAATTTACTTCAGATGAATTTAATTTTTAAAAATAACTTAAAAAATAAAATAATTATTAAATTAATTTTGAAAATTTTAAAAGTAAAAATTATAGTTAAAGTTGATGTAAATTTTATTTTCTATACATATTGTGAAGAACAAGGATAAGTATTATTAAGAACTTTCTTTGTAGTCCGTTAACAGTTTTAAAAGAGGGAAGATGCCAATTTTAATTGCCACCGACGTGTGTTCACGTGGCCTTGACATCCCTAAAGTCGAATTTGTGATAAACTATACATTCTCTCTGCCAGTGGAAGATTATGTTCATCGCATCGGGCGGACGAGTGAGCTCGCAAATATGTATTTTTTTTTCCTATCAAGATTCGCATTGCTTATAGGAAGAGCGGGAGAAGACGGGTGACCTACACTTTTTTTTACAGATTATGATAAACATCTTGGAGGCGCGCTCTGCGACGTTTTAAAAAGTTTTTGTATTTTAATTTTACGTATTTTTGCTTTTAAACGAATGCAGCCCTTTAAATTAAATTTATGCGACTCTTGTAATTTTGTTAATATTTTCCAATCACAGGTGCTAATCAGGAAATTCCACCCGCCCTGAAAAGTTTTCATATGCACCTACTAAAGCTAAACGTCATAAACTTAACGGTTTTTCTCTCGGATGTTAAATTTTTAAGCATTGCTGGATTCTTATTACTGAAAGGTCATTTTTGTAAACGACTCGCTGCCGTTGAAAGCGCCCACTAGAATTCTGTTTGAGGACTAATCACAGAATCTATTTTTTTTAATAATTAAAAAATAATTTTCTTTTTTTTTTGATTTTTTTTACTTCAAATTTAATTAATTTTTGGTTTTAGACTCCTTTATAAGTAGTGACTTATGCTATCGCTAACTTATAATATTGATCTAATATTAATATTTATTACATTAACGAAATACAAGTACTATAAGTCTAGCAATAGTAGCAATAAATGCTTTAAATTTTTATAATAAAGTTTTATAAGTCTGCGCTTATGATAACTAGCTTAACAAATCGGTGCGAAACGTATAGTGGATCTTACAAATACTATTTTTTTTCCCATCTTGTATATCTATAAGGCGGCTGTCTAACCGAAAATGGGTTAGTTTTGAGTAGGGCGACTTCAGAAATTGTCATTTTTATACTTGTTTAAAGCAATTTCACTTACACATTTACGCTGGCTAACATAATTTTATTCTATATTCAACTTTTATTTGAAAAAGTCGTTATTCTTAAAAAAAAATTCTTAAGTTTGTTTATAATTTGCCGAATACTTGTGTTAGAAATGGTTCAGGTGTTGTTTTGGCTTCCGTTAAATAACTAGTACTACATTTTTTACCGTTTTAGCTCGTGTTGAAGATGCCTTTAACAAAACTCAATAATTATTTATCCATAAGGTAGGGGCAGCTGAAAAAAGAGAGTTTTTGTTTCCGTCGCATAAAAAAAGGTAATAAAGACGGATATCTTTTTAAAAAATGACGGTCACAAATTGTAACTTAAACTAAACGCGTGAGCCAAGTACAAAAAATTTGAGAGCGTAGAATGTTTTTATAGTGTATTGCTTATTGTAATGGATCAGACGTGTCCTACTCTGTTTCATAATTTGGGAAAATTATTACACAGAATTGAGCAACTCTAGCCGTTACCTTGACATACAAAGGAAATAAGTAGCACCGTTTTAATCGATATTAATACTCAGAAACATTTAGTGCCTTCGACAAAGGAATTTCAAAAAAATTGCGAATCTTTTATGATGAACGCCAGTGGAAGCAGTAATTAAAGTCCACCTGCTAATTAAATGTGGAAGTACAAATTTTGATAATGAGCTTCTTTCATAATTAGTTTCTTTGCCGACAGTGCGTTCGTAAGCATTTTCCTCAAAAGTTGAGGTTAAACAATAAAATAATAATATATCATAGCTATGTTGACATAATATTTAAGATCACCCAGAAATCAGTAATATTCCAAAATAGACATAAACTTTTCATTTTATAATCTGCCTGCGCAAAAATAAAACTAACAAAATTTTGATTGAACTAAAACATTTGCAGCCCCCAATGGTAAACAGTTAAAGTTCTTGACGGCAAGCTACCTGGCTCTTGCCTGTCGGTTTCCATTTTCAATTAAAAAAACTCAGGAGATTTATCAAAAAAATTTAATAATTAAGTATTTGTATGGTATCAACAGGCGTAAATCCTAAATCTGATTTCAACATTTTTAAATTTGATTAAGAGCGATGAGTTTATTTTGCTTCTTTGTCTTCCTATATGAGCACAAACGGTTACCTTGCCAAAGGGTAGATTTTAAGATTGCCTTACTCTACTTTATCCATCCTAATACTATTACTCAATAAAACTTTTTGCTTTTTTTTTTTTAAAAGTTGAGTGGAGCTTTCATTTACTTAGAGTTCCATGAATGCCTGGAGCCCAGACAACCGAAATTCAGTTAAGTGTAGCGTTAATTCTGTCTCCACCTCTCGTAGTTCTTACGGTTTAGTTATTATAATATTAAGAAGAATGGTATTACCAAAACTCTCTTATTGAATTACATCGCCCCCCTTGCAAGTAAGTTGCTTTAAGATTTTACGTTCTTCTTACGCGCGGACATATTGTGAACCCTATAACTAATCAACGTGACACCTGTACGTGTACACGCGACTCTAGCACCTAACTTTTGAATAGCTATGTATTTTTTATCCAAAAAAAAACATTAGAGCTTATTAAGCTGAAATACAGAGCTAAAAATAAAAAGAAACTGCTAATAAGTTTGTAGTTGTGAATAACGTTTAAATACTTTAATAATAAAACATTAAATAAACTTATATCAAGTTAACTATTTTATTAAATTGTTTTTTCAATTAAGCCTCTTAAGCAGCTTTAAAATAACGCACTCTTCCAAACATCTTACTATATCTCGCTTTATACGCACTTTTTAAAATAAGTTAGCATTTTTCCTTCGCAGTTACCACGTTGCGGTAGTCTCCGTGTGCGGCATGGTTCCATTAGTCAACTACATTTCACGGATTTGGCTTTTTTTCATTCTTTGCTTCACTTTATATTTTGCAAAAGTTTATTTTATAGCCTCAACAAAACTTAAAGCACGTAAAAAATTAAAATTCAAAAAATATATAGGTTTTTTTCATCCTTTCAGCGAATTTGGAGGGGGTGCTGAACGGGTAATATTGAATCGTCGTAAAAACATTTATATACGAGATTTGGTAAAGCCTTTACTTACTGTTCTTTTTGTTCAGGTTTTGTGGTGTGCTATATTTTATCTCCAAAACTTATATCCTGACTTAAAAATCGTTGTTTATACAGGTTGCCTTTTTATTATTATAAGCATAAAGCCCTACACTAGCTGACTTTATTTTTAGAGGGAGACCATAGCAAAGAAACTATCGTTGACACCGTAAAGCGACAGTTTAATTTTAATATAAAAGGGAAAAATTTGAAATTTATTTATTTAAAAAGAATAAAGTGGATTTATCCGACACGGTTTTCTTAAAATTATTCATAATAATAACAAAATAATTGATTCAATAGTTGAATAACTATTGCTCTTGTTATTACATGAACAATTATAAATTATTGTACCTTTAGCTATCGGTCTCTAAGGCTTCTATGTGTCGCCCTTGGGTCCATCTATCTTGGCATCGAGGCCTTTGAAAAGTTTGTCCCCGATCTATTTGTAGATACGATGGGCTATGCTTTTGTGATACCTCTATTCAAAGTTATTTTAAATTAAATTTACTTTTTTTTTTAGCTGTAATATAAAATTACCTTATTAATTTAATTTAGAAATTCGGAAAGTGTAAAACTGCCGGCTACGTGCATTATCCTTTTATAAGTTTTGATAATGTTGAGGATTTACCTAAAAATAAAACATTTCAAACGGTTTTAAAAAGGCTGTATTACAAGTAATTAAATTTTTTCATTAAATTTTTAAAAACTTATTTTTTCTATATTTTTGTAGGTTTTTAATATTTTTTTACCGTCAAGCGGGCTACTATTTTGACGAGGTTATGGTGAACTCTCGATGGACTTTTGAGCGGATGGAACTTTTATGGGAGCGCTCTCTAAGTCTTTGCCTTTATTTTTTTTTTTGCATTTATCAAGTTATTTATTATATTTATATATATACTAAAGTGACTTATTTTTTTTTTCTGCATCATTTAAATTATTTATAAAATTTATATTTATTATAAGTAGTTTTAATATTTTTTCTGTAATTAAATTATTTATAATATTTATATATACCTATTAGTAAAATTTATACTATTTATAATCATATTAAAATTAGCCTGTTAATTTTCTTTCCAGATTATTTAAAATATTTGTAATGTTTATATTTATAATTAAGTAGCCTTTAAATTTTTTATCGTAGTAATTAAATTATTTATAATATTTATATTATATTTAAGTGCATTAACTAATTTATTTAGAATATTAATAACATTTATATAATTTAGCCTTTTAAATTTTATTTATTGCTTTAATCAATTTAAACATATTTATAATTATAAATATAATTTTTTTCTGCAATAACTAAATTATTGATAATGTTAGTAATTATATCCATTTACAACTTTAATTATATTATTTATACATTACTGCTTTCATTTATTTAATCTATATTTTTTATACGTCAGTTATTGTAAAAAGAAAGATGTAAAAGAAATTTATTTTTTCATATAAATAAAAGTATTATTACATATAAATATTCGTTTTATTAAAATCTCATTTTTTTCTGAATTAATTAAATTTTAGATAATATTATTTTGCCCGTTGCTTTAATCAATTTATTTATCATAAATATAATTTTCTATAACTAGAATTAGTGCATCCTCCCTGCAGTACTGAGGCTTTCGGCCGATTACCTTTAAGCGAAAAGCAAGACAACACTATAATATCGCTTGCACATTTCCGTCCCGAAAAAAAACACGCGATGCAGGTTGGATCTTTTTTTTTTAAATTTAATTTTTTTTTTACAGCTTCATATACTTCGAAGATATTTTGATCTTTTTCCTGCAAGAAAGACGGCCGTCCGGTTAATTATCCTTGGAAGTTGTCGTAATGCTTTCATGAAATTTATATATATAATTTATTTATATATAAAAGCTTATGAAATGCTTTCGCCATATTCGAATTAATTTTTATAATTTTTTTTTTAGATGGTTGCTTGTCTTTCATTTCTATTTAATTTTTATAATAAAAGTTGCTTATGTATTTCTTCTTTGGTGTATTGTTAATTGTCTTTAATTAATTTTAATTTATATAATAAAAGTTGTCTGTGAATTCTTTCGCCATATTCTTTTTAAATTTTAAATTTCATAATTAGAAGATTGTTCTTTGTCTTTCCCTTTAAATTAACTTATATAATAAAAGTTACTTATAAATTCCTTTTGACGTACTCGTAGTGATTCCTTTTGTATTTCTTCTTCAGGTGATCGTTATTTGTTTTAATTTATATTAATTTGTAGAACAAGAGTTTACGAATTGCTTTCGCCATTCTTTTATTTAAAATTTTTAAATTTTTTTTCAGATGATCCAAATTATTTAACGGGTCTAAAAGATTTAGCCTGGAGTCTTGGCATCAACCACCGCGTCGACTTTATAGTAAATGTACTTAAAAGTTTAATCCTTATCGGAGATTTTGCTCGATTTGATTAATTGTTTTTTTTTATAGGTACCGTTTGGTAAAGTATTAGAGGAGCTGCAGAAGGCCGGAATTGGTTTACACACAATGAAAGACGAGCATTTCGGGATCGGGATTGTGGAATTAATGCTGGCAGGTCTTTTGATTTTTCCGTCATTGATTGATTATTTTAAAAAGAAGAGGAATTTGCTTTTTTAGATGTGCTTAGAATTAATCGTCTACTGATTTGAATCTAAATTCTATGAGATTTAAAATCGATTAAGTGCTAAAGATTATTAATTACAGGATATAATATTTTCTATTAAGCACTGATTAGAGCGCAGGATTGAGTAAATTTTATCATGTTATTCTATTATACGCACAAAGTGCAATACCTTGAACTGTTCCTATAAAAGTTAGAATTTTTTTAAACCAGAATAATTAGAGCTTTTGCATTCGTTAAGTTTTGATAAATCTTAATCAGTTATATCAATTAAATCGACTAAAGCTAGACTGGAAGAGATTAGCATCAGTAACGCATTTCATCTAATTTGAGATTAAATTAAAGAGTTATTAAAAATAAGTTTGCATAATAAAATAAAAATCAGTCATCATTGTTCTTTACTTTTTAGGGGCGATTCCTATAGCGCATAATTCTGGAGGCCCCCGGGACGATATAATTAAGGAAGACGTTGGTGGGTCTACTTATAATAAATTTCATAATAATTTCAATTTAATTTTATTTTGAAGGATTTTTGGCATCCGACGTTGATGAATACGTTGACAAGCTCGACCATATATTCCAACTTCAACAATCTCAGCGCGGCTAAGCGCTAGACGTTTTTCGGAAGATAACTTTCAGAAAGCTTTTATTGATTGTCTTAACGGGTTACTTTAATGTTTATGAAGAACTTTGTCTAATAAATAATTTTATCAAGTTTATAAAATAATTTCGGTTTCTAATGTTATTTTTTCTAACACTTTCTTTACTTTATATAATTTTCTGAGCTGGCAATTCTTTTTAATTATTATAAAATAATATTACGTACAATCTTATTAAAGTAAAGAAGAGTAAATAAAATTTTATTAGAAGCTGGTTATTCATTTCTTTGTGCTACACATTCAATTGTTCTTGCGAATTCTTTTTAAATTTCCTCTAAAAAACCATATAAACTACCCGAAAAACTTTTACAGTTTTTACTGAATAATTAAAAAAAGTTTTATTAAATTTTAATAAGTATGAATTACCACTTACTTGCGCTACCTACTACGTTCTTATATGAAAACTTAAACAGTTGATCTGTTTTTTCTAGTTCTTTTTTTTTTACGTTTTCTTAAAGAAGTATTTATACTATCATAAAAACCATTTACAAAACTTTTTTTCTCACTGACTAAATAAAAAGAAAGAGTTTCTTAGAGTAAACTAAACGCCGATTATCAATTTTTGCGCTACCATAATACCGTACACTTTAATTTTTTAGCTTTTCTTTTAAGTTCTTTTAAGGGGCATAGAAACTACCACAAAAACTTTTACCGGAAGAGAAGGTGCTATTTTATCTTACTACCGAACCAAATGTTCGCAGACTGTCTGGTGAAATTATTTTCTTATAAAATAAAGGGTACTGTAATCAAGATGTAAGCCCTTTTTATTTTTTAATCTTTATATTCCCGAAGAGTATGCGTGTTAAAAGAATGTGTTTAGTTATAGGAGATCGGCGGAGTATGGTTATTTAATTAAAAAAAGAAATTTTAAATCAATCAGCGGTTTAAACGTTTTAAAGAAATTTTGCATAAATTTTTTTATTAAGCAAAAAGGTTTTAAAGATTTATTCGATGTTAATAAGTGAAAACAAACCAGGTATCGAAAAGTTTTATATAAGAGAACTTTCATCGCAGAAAAAAGGTTATATATCATAAATCTAAAAAGATTTGGACATTTATCTCCCCTCTAAATTTTTTTCAGCAGTCTATATATCCCACTTAGTTTACTATAAATAAAAAAATAAATTATGGCTCATACTTAAGTTTAATCTAAATATATTAAAGCTATAATTTATAAGTACAAGGCTTTTGCTGCTTGTTTTTTCCCTTAAGTTAATACTCTTTTTTGGAAAAATGTGTAAGGTAGTAAAAAACTTTATATTGATAAGGCGGTCTAAGAGAATTGTTTTTAGCATAATTTTTTTTTAACTAATATATAGATAACTATAGTTTAGTATTGTGAGGTGAACCGTGAGTAGGGATACTAACTATTATTCTTCAACGTACTTGCGTTTATATCTTAGGCAACCTAACTTATTTAATAAGCTTAATAACAATAGTTGTACGGCTCTAAATTTATTTAAAATAAAAAAAGTAGATAACAAAATGTTTTTATTAAAATAATCATAAATCTAGATTATCTAAGGCGGTTACAAAGAGTAAATGATATGTCCTGTAGAGTAATATCCCAAAGAAAGAGTTTATAGCTCGAAAAAATTTTCAAATAACGCGAGTCGTGTGGTATGGGGCGCTGTTCCTCATGGAAGAGAAGAATGCTACCTGCTAGTCTTTACAAATCTTTTTTTAAGTATGAACAAGCGCAACCGAAACCGAACTGGAGTTTCCTATAACCCCCTTGCGCCTTTTAACGTTTGTATAAAGAAAAATTGTAGGTGCATTGGGTTATTTATCCATTCTTCGTTTTACGCTTTTATGGATTCCTTAAACGTAGAGGAGTCGATAAAGATTTTTTAGAAATTGGGAGAGAAAGTCGAAAATTATTACAAGAAGGATTCGACTTTATTTTTCGGTTTAAACTAAAACCGGTTTCAACGACAGTAAATCATTTCTTTTGAAAAAAAAACTAAAAATTTTATTATTTTTGATTACAGGAAGTTAATGCTTTATTTACAAACGATATAACTTGGAATATACGTAGACAGAGTGTAACTTTTGACAGAACAGGTACCGATTTAGCTAATGTAAGGTTAACTTGGCTAAGTTATCTTTAGCCTAGCCACTTTTTCTTATTATTTTTGTAATTAAAAATCCTTACCTTTTTCATTCTATTTAGTTAACTTGTATTGCCTTGTTACAATTAGATTACCTTATAAATGTCATTTGAAAAGTTTTTTATAATTTTTTTTATAGGGCTAAAAGACGATTTCTTTCTTTTTGACACTGAACTTTCGACTTTTCATTTTGGTTATATACTTTACAGTTAATACTTTTAATTTATTTTATTCCGAGATTATTTTTTAGGTAAAGCAAGCGCTTATATATGTTTGGGAAGAAAAAATAAATTTTTCTTTTGCTATGTAAATAAGGTTTTGGATGCTGACACTTTTGCGCCATATACTAAATTTGGCTGTAATTAAATATACTTTTTCTTTGCTTTCGGGTAATAAATTTCTTTAAGGCTTTTATAGTAATAAAATTGCTTGTGGAAATGCCTACTTGGATTTTATGAGAATTTTTCGTTGGGTGGTGAGTGCTGTACTTAATTTATAAATTATAATATTTATATTTAAAATAATTTAAAATTTAAAATAAATATTGCATATAGCTTATTTTAAACTTTCTGCTTTTTATATAGAAAACTTTATCATATTTTATCTTCAACTAATCATTTTCTTTTATTTTTTATATTATTTTAATTAAACTTTTAGGCACTTTTGTCATAAAGCCGAACAATTCCATAATTGTCGGTGTCCGAAGCGAGCCTCTTCTTGATCGTCGCTCGCTTGAATTCCCACTAGAGCATCGCGGTAAATTTCATCGTCTGCGCACTGGTCAGGTATACACAATATTGTTGGCTAATCTTTCTTCCTTAGATTTAATTAACTTTTACATATTTTAATTACAATATTATTGACTCATTTTATTTATACAGATTTTAAGAAACAACTATAATTGACTTTTATTTTTTCCTTAATTCCATATTTTTTTACGAAAATTATTGTCTCAATTTTTTCTTTCATCTGATTTTTTATTTATAAAAATTCCGATACACGAATATAATCGGCTCATTTCACCCTTTTTCCATTTTTTTTTTACCAAGTCTAAATGGCCGCCGGACTACTTCTTGAGTTTCTGCGGATTTGTTTCTGGCCGTTTCCTGTCCGCCGCTTATGTCCAGTCCATGCTCTTACCGTTCGAACGATCCCTTCACCGATTATTTTTGGGTTTCTTATTTGCCGTGCCGCTCGCACAGCTCTTAAAATTAAATTTTTAATTTTTTAATTTTTTTTAAGGTGGAGAATTTTCTCACCAATCAGATCGACCGCTTTTTTTTTTTCGAACTTAGAAAGTGGGAAAGGGTCTTCGTGTTCCAGTCTTGCGCTGCCTTTTTATAAAAAAAATCCCACCAATGTTTTAGCGGTGGGCGTTTTATGGCAGCCGCTGAGAAATTTAGCTTTAAAATTAATATTAGATTCTCGAGGCATTAATTTATTTTTTTATAGTTTCATTTTAATTTCTGGTTATTACTTATAATATGAAAGGGGTTTGCGGTGCACTGGTTGCCTTGCAATCGCGCCGGTCTTCCATAACTTTTACATTGGCCGGATCAACTCATAGTGTTGTGGAGCGAAGCTCTCTTATACTTGGCTGCTTTTTTTCAATCGACAGCTCTTAGAAATTATAAAAATTTTTTGATCTGCAAAAAATTTACATTCTCTACTTAACTTTTAATAAAACTTTCAAAAGATTTAATTTGTCAATTTTGAACTTTATTATTAGGGAAGCACACTTTTTTTTTAGGTTCGTGTATAATTAAGAGTAATTTAGTTTAGCGGAGCTCTAATTTAAAATTACTTTGAGATTGATTGAGAATAATAAAGTTTTTATTTTTTTTTAAACAGGGAACGTTTAGTTTAAATATAATTGCTTCCAATATAGTTTTGGTATATTAATATAACAAAGTTATTGCATAAGCGTTTATTAGTCTAAAGTTTACCAAGTACGAGAATCTATAATTTATTTATAAAATTTTTCATTCACAAAATCTGAGCGTATCTTATAAATTTAAAGCTCTAAAAGCACTTTAAAAAAAAAGGAGGACGTTATAAACATCTTAAAAAAAAAGTTATAAATAGCAAACTTTCGCCGTTTAAAGCTAACTTTCTTATATTGGGACTATAGAATTCGAGAAAAAGTAATTTAGTAGTAATTATTATTTAAATCTCATAAATTAGTAATAAAAATATATTTTAAAGCGGTTAACTGCTCCATCTAATATGATAAACAAATAAAGAGGCAATTGTTGTCAGTTATTCTTAAATAAAACCGAATTACTCATAAACAGAACAGCCAAGAAGAAGCTTTTGTGAAAATTTTTACAACCAAACTATATACGTCCCTTTCATTCTGAGGTTTAAAAGTTTTGAAAAACTTACTTTTTATATTAGTAACGAAGAGGAGGGGAGTATAAAGAATGGTACTTATTAATATACTATAGCAAACAAAAAATATGTGCTCATCATAAACCCTTTTGCAAAATGCTGATCACTTATAGGAGAGCTTTCTATTAAAAAAAAAAGTTTTTTTACTTTACTATTATGTTATTTATTATTATTATTATTTAAATGTATTAATTATTAGAAGGTTTCCAAGTATCGCTTTTGTGTATTCATCTGACACAGTCGCCTCTCATCCTTATTTTTCTTTTAAAAAAGAGAAACAAAGTATTCCATTGTTTTCTCAGACTAAACGTAGTCAGGTTTTAAGGAAGTTGCGTCTCTTACATGTAGCAACCTATCATAGTAAAACTCAGATGTTATTGTGCTTCTCAGTTTAATAGACAAGCTGCTATAATCTTTTGGAGGTAGTATGCCAGGGATAAGAAATAATAAAGGAGTTATTATTATTCACTTTATTTTTAATAGCCTACAACCTTTATTATATTTTAAGTTCTTAATGCACAATCTACATCACTTTACCGCGCTACAAGAAAAAAAAAAAAAAACAATTTTATAAGGGGGATAGCCCTTGAAGAAGAGTACCCACTCGAAAGGGGTTGCTATTTAGCGCCCTCTGTCAAAGTTATACTTAAACGTTCATATATTCAAATATATTACTTTTTATTAAAACCTAACCCGTGCTTCAGGGAAAAGAACTTAATTTTATAAAGAGCCACTATTAACTAATAAGGCATAACTAAAGGTAATTATAGCTAAATTGATTTTTTATTATTTGTGCTAATAACACTGGCTGGCCTCACGCGCGATTAACAGTTAATCGCTCTACAGAGTGAAGATGATGAAACATCATAACATTCTTAGCAAGGGCGCTTTCCTAATCCCAGCTAAATAGTAAAGGTATCAAGAAACAACTAAAAATAAGAACAATAATACCAGATGTAATACCAGCATATTAAGATTTAATACCGTTATAGATTAATATAACGTAGTATAATTTAGCTACATTCCCTTAAACATACCTATGAATTGTAATGGTAGGAAGTGTACTAGCGAAAGTCATAAATTAGAGTTTGTCTTACTAAATCATTATGGTAAAAACTGGCCCTACTTAGCATTTCGTAAAATTTTAGATAAACAATCTTAAATAGGCTACTAGGTTAAATAACCTATAAGGGGCCCATTTACTTCCTCGAAGATAACAAAGAAACTAACAGTAAAGACAAGATACAGGCTAGAATAAAGAGCTAAAGCCTCCTTACTTTTAGAACAATAACCAAATCCAAGCTTTCTACGCAGAATGACCACGTGCTTAAATATAGTTAGAATCCTCACATATACAGTGTGGCCCACCAGTATAATTGTGCATGTTGCCCAGAAACTAAGAATTATCCACCCCCACTTTCAGAATGCGATTTTGTAGAGTTTAGAGTCGTTTTAATATGTTTTTTTAAAGGATTTTATATAGGCCAACCATCAGCATCGTACAAGCAATTTATGTAAAACAAGCTTGTTTTTTAATTTTTTCTACATAAGAGTAAAACGGCTATGTAATAACCTAAGAAAGATGTGGAGTCTAGCTTAGTTTGTCCTTAATTATTAGCCTAGATAGCTCAAAAGATAATAATTATACAAAAAATAATTAAAACAGATCTCTTTTAAAACGTAGTGTGGGGCAATTTCAATTAAAAACGCAACTAAGATAGAGGGTTAGTATACGAAACAGAAAGCATTCTAAAGACCAACCTGCACTATTTCTAATAAATTATAAACATCTATAACAAACAGCGCGGGCAAGGGCGTGATAAGGAACAAAGAGACCTGGAGAACAGCATAAAGTTTAGGTTTACTAATATTACCACCAATTTTAGCTACTCTCTACGCAGACCACTTAATATGGTTAATAAAATTGATGATATATTTAAAGACAATTTTAATTTAGATCGCATAAAGCGTTTCTTCGATTTAAAACTTTTTAAAAATTATACACTCATAGAGCGTCGCGGGTTGGTGGAGACTTAAGCATTTCTGAAAGACATGTAAGTTTCTGTATCCAGGAATAGTGTCCAGTGATTTCCGGCACACACTCATTATAAGTAGCGGCCGCGCTCAAAAAAAAGAGCTGTGCAATGAGATCTTTAGATAATATGGCGCGCCAGCCATCAGCCCAGTTACTTGTTTTGTCTCCCAAAATAAGAAAATCTTCGCCATAACAGGCCGCACACTCATGTGTAAGCGCAGTTTGTATACAAACACCTTGCCTTTTACGCACATCAGCGGGTAGCGCGCCTGTACCACCCTCTTGACTTTCCCACAAGATGTGCGCGGTGTTGTCCCCACGACAGCTTCTCATCGAAAATTATATTGTGTTTTGCTCTAAGGCCTTATAAAACTCTCCTGGCGGCGTTGACACAAAAGGTGCAACGTTCAGCACTGACGAGAAAAGTTAGCCTTGCGGATCCCTTGGGAATAGTGGGTGTACTGAATACGGCGCGGTGGCGTCACGAACACCAAAGGCGCAACAAGTGCTCTGAAAGCCCAACGTACGCGGATTGTTAATAAAGCCTTCGTGCCAAACACGATTGAACGTCCTTTTTACAATGTCTAGAAAGACGTTTTTCGAAAACTTTTCAAAATTAAAGTATGTTTTGTCCACTAATCGAGATGTAAGAGCAGCTGTGGTTTAGAGTGACCTCGCCTGAATCCAAACTCGAATTTTCAAAATATTTCTCGCGTTACTATAACGCCCTAAAGATGGCGCAGCAGAAGCCTTCCCACCGCTGAGAGCAGGGTGCAGCGGTGTTCGGGAAGCACCTTTATAGTGGCCGTTTCAAGCGTTAACGCGTGGAGTAAAGCGCCACCTGCAATATCTGTTTCAACACCTCTTTAGAGGTTTATCGTCAATAATAAATGCTTTATCGCTTTTGGTTACAGTCACCCCATTTTTTTTTAATGAGGTTGTTGGTAATAAATTTTAATTCAACTGACAAAGCGCCAAAAAGATGGCCGTTCTTCTTCGTTCTCTCGGTTCCTCCCCAAATTGACTTTTGTAAAGTGCAGTTAGCCCTTCTTTGATATGTCTAAAAGAGGAATTGATATCAGTTTGTCGTTGAAAATTAGCGTAGTAGCGGCCAAAGCATTTCATCCTCCGGCTTTGACGAATCAGATTTATTAAATAGTCCGATTACGAACAGAACGATACACGATATTGACATCAGAGGTCTTCACGGCGGTATGAGGAGAAGATGCCGCGCAGTCAAACGAGACGGATTTTGTATATTGACGCTTTAACTGTAGCTGTTAGATAGTCCATTCTAAGAACTTGCAAGGCCTGGACCTTGCTATAATCTTGCTTTACCCACAACGAGCAGGACGGGTAGGTGATCCGATGTGACTTTGCCCCGCGCTTCGACCGCTCGTAGCGTCGCTCGTTCTCTTTCACACATAATAGATTACTTTTTTTGCAGCTCCTCCAGGTAGGTTATACCTGCTTAAGTATTATTTTGTTAGCACTTATATTTAAACTTTTATTCGGATTTTGCTAACTAATAAGCTATGAAACTTCGGCAGCTTTCTTGTTTTGTAAGTATTTATTTATGAGTAAAATAAAATTTACGTTCTGGGTTAAAGGTTTCGCTTGACGTGGGTTATCTAAATTTAGGAATTTTAATTGTGTTTTATGTTTTATGTCGAGTTAATTTTATATTTTTAATTTAAATCGCAGTTTCTCTATTTCTCCGTTATGAACAAATAATGAAAAACACGCCTTTAGAAATTAAGGAGTAGTTACTGAAATTGAGGCTTTAAGATTGTAAATAACCCTATTGTCTCTCGTGACCGCGGCTGGTGGCTTAAATAATAACTACCTTATATTAATATCGAATCTTTGGCGTTCAAACAATTCTGTTATTGAAACTCAAGTAATTTTTTGCCAGTTATTTAAAAAGCAGCACTATAAATCTTGGGATTTATTCGTTCTTTAACAATATTAAAAAAAACTTTCCTGAATATGGATACGTCAGCCTCATTCAAGCTATTTTGCCATCACCTTTAACCTTGCTAACCTCTAAATCTCAGCCCATAAGTTAGTTAGTATTAGAATATAAAACTGCAAAGTCGTTAAACTTTTATAAGAATTATACCAGTTAAGACGTCTCTTAAACTATTGGCATAGATTTTTTAACTCGCGGGCTGAAGTTATAACCTGAAGTTACCTATCGCGAATAAATTAAATTCCTTCAAGAGGGCATGTTAAAAATTTCCGTAGCCCTCCTTTATAACTACACAAAAATTTTCCAAGTAATAAGCTATAAAAACTGCAAGCCATGTTAAATTAGTGATCACGATGGAGGAATAGCAGCGAGCTTGCATTTACGATAATGCAAAAAGGATAAGAGTAAATCTTTTTCCACGAATGAACAACTAAAATTACAAATTAGTTTACATAATAAAAAAGTACTTTTTATAAAAAAAATCTTTTATTATTAGTTGCTGCTATTTATAAAAAAATTCCGAGCCCTTACTGGTCGATTGAAAGTGCAGCAAAACCAATCAACGCCTTCTTATCCGCCACTGCTTCATTATTTTTCTTGACCTCAAACACCATTGGATGGCGGTGCTTAATAAAAAACTGCAAAGACGAGCACACCGCAGCCTCGTCTTCCTGAACCACGAGGCCGTACTGGCGTAAAGTAAGGAAAATCAGCTACAAAAAAGCATTACTTGAAAAATAAAAACCTCTACAAGTTCAGCTGCCACAGGTTTCGGTGTGTCACTTTCAAGTTTGAAAGGAAATCTTTATTAAAAAAATTCTAATAAAAAAAATTGAGAAAATGTAGCAGAACTGGATATCAATAAGAACGCCCGATTTGTTTCTCGTACGAAGTTTCAGATTTAACGTGTCCGTCTGTGGAGGAGCGGGGTAGACCAGAGTGGAAGTGTCGTAGTCCTAACCAGCTGAGAAAAAAAAACAATGAATTAATTTCTAAGTTAAAAAGAGCATGAAGTAAAGAAAAAACCTTCCTCTTCGCTAATGGTTTTGCTTACGCCGTTTCTTCCAACTGCTGAAAGACCTTTACTCTTCCGCCGCTCGGACAGTGGAGGGAGTTTGGATATCAGGCTCTGCACTATGTATTCCGTGGTCTTTAGCTTTTTTAAAAAAGTGGTGCTTTAGAATCTCATCAGCTGTTGGCCTAAAAAATGTTTAATTAGAAATGTAAAATTTTTATAATTTAAATTTTTCATATGAAAAATTAATTTTTACACAAAAAAAAAATTAAAATTTTATATAGAAAAGAAAACCTCTTTGTAGGATCCTTTCGAAGACACTCGCCTATCATCTTAAAGGATTTCGAATAGCCCGAAGAGCCTTTAACCTCCAATGTGGGCGACGGGTTGTTCAGAACCGCAATCATAACCTACCATAAAACGCAGCAATCATTGTAAAGAACAGACAGAAGCAATGTGGCATCCGGCAACCTTGGCTGCAGACAAATGAGAGTAAGTCGCCCGGCCAGTGGCAAGTTCAATGGCGGTGATGCCGAAACTCCATATGTCTGCCTTGTGGTTGTATCCTGTAGTCTTTAAAAAACGTTTTTAGTAAAAAAGTAAATTTTATTTATTTATTTAATTTTCCAAGTAATTATAAAGTTGAATAACCAAATATTAACAAAGTCAAAACTTATTAATATAGTAAAAATGTACTTTTTTTAATCAAAGCTTTTTTAGTATAAAACAATAACAATTCTAACAAAGTAAAAACTTATTAATATAAATCAAAAAGTTTTTTTAAATTACAAATATATAAAATAAAAATAATACTAACAAAGTAAAAATTTATTATTATAGAAAAAAAGTAAATTTTTTTTAAATAAAATTTTTTTTTTCTTAAAAATAAAAATAAAAATAAATGATATTAACGAAGTAAAATTTTAATTTAAATACATGTCATAATAAAACTTAGTAAGAAAAGTTTGGAATGTGAGCAACGCTACCTGCTCTATTACTTCGGGAGCCATCCAGCAGGCGTCCCCCGCAAAAGTTTTTCCAGTATCGTTCGGAAGCGAAAAGGCACGAGTTGACACCAAAATCCGCTGGAAAATTATATTAGGTATAAAATTGATCAAAAAATTAGTTTCTACTCAGCACACGCAAAAAAAGGCACTGAGCTGTACGATACCGTCCGTTTCGGTGAGTATATTTCCGGCTTTGACCTCTCTACTTAATTTTTTTTAAAAAATATTAATTAACACATTAGAAAAAAAATTAAAACAAATTAATAGAAGTTAAAGAAAGTTTAATTATTTTAATAATTAAATTTATTATAGAGTTAAATTTAGCCGTTAAAAATATTATAAATTTTATATAATATCGCATACTCAGTGAAATTATATATATACGCCCACCTGTGAATGTGACCGTTAGCATGAAAATAGCTCAAAGCCTTTAAAACCTCTTTAAGGATGGTTGCCATTGCGACTTCCTTCAATGCCATTTCTTTCCGAAAAGTTCATAATGTCTAGTACAGAGCCTGTTAATAATATTTACTTAAAATTAAAACATATTACTAGAAAAAAATAAATTACCTCCATCAAATAATCTCTTGACTAACCACAACTTTATATCAACCAAAAAAGAAGAATAATACTGAACGACGTTTGGATGCGAGCAGCGAATCATAACCGCAATTTCGTTCTATTATAGCTTACTTAAAATCGAATATAACTATTTTAAAAAACTTTGAAGACCTGAACTTCTCTAATTTATTTTCATAACCTTCTAAATTAACGATTTTAACGGCAACAGTAGAATTAAACGGTTTAGATCTTGCCAAAAGCAAGATTGAAAGCGAGTTAGAAAATATAATAGTGTTGGTTGTGAAAGCAATACCTATATACACAATTGCAGTGGCACCTCGTTCAATTTCTCCTACTAATTCTTAATCGTTGATATTGTTAGAGTATGAGCCGATTGAAGGATAACTCTGTTTATCCTTTCCACTTTTATTAACCCATATTTATATTTATGAAACATGTAGAAAATTAAAAAATAAAGAACCTTGCTTTTAGAAGCATTTTTTAATGTATATAAACTATGAATTTCGTGATAGTAAAAATTTAAATTGTATGATATATACCAGTTGCGCTATTATATTTAAAACAGAGGGAAGTTTTTTAAATAGCTATTTATTTTAATATTCAGTGACTAATTATAGTGAACTAGAGTATAACTGCTGTTTTAGATAAAAGACGTGTTGTCAATTGAATAAACTAATGCGTTGACAGAATAAAAATAATTTTTCTAGTAAAAATGCAATAAACTCCGTATTTTCTATCACACCAAATACAGAGCATGAGCGTTTAAATAGGCTTTTATTTTACCTGTTTTGAAGTTTTACATTTTACTTTGATTGCACGCCGTGCATCAGCATCAATTGTTAGTTAAAACTATTAAGAAAAAAAAACTACTTAAACGGACTTTAACAGGCTGGTGGTGTTGAAAGGGATGAAAAACACTAATTTACTGTCAAGGGTTTTTGTAGAAAAGACCGGTAGCGTATATGGCTGAAATCATAAATTTTCATCGAAGCTTTTTATTTTTACTTAATTGTACAAACGCGCAAGGATTAATCACTAATCGAAAGTGTTATGAAAATACTTAAACGGATTTTAATCCACCGGTGTTGTACGAAAATATGGAATATAACTAACAAAGTTCCTTGAAATGATTCTTGTAAAAAAAATATATATGGTTAAAAATAATAGAACACTCATAATCAGCTATTAGCCCACCCCCAGCTGTCATGAACTAAGGTTTCAGAGCAGGTTTTTCGATTAATATTAAGGCTGGTCTCTAAATTAGTTTTTGTATACTATTCAAAAGGGGAAGCAAAACCAACGAAAAAATTGTAAATAACAAATTTGCGTTTTTTAGCATGACTCTAAAAAAAAAGCTTTAAACTTCTATATACGGTTCCGCTGTTTACAGAAGGCTACAAAAAAAATTATTTAGAAGCATTAGTTAAAAGCTTTATTGATGAAAAAATATTAAATGTACGGTATACGAAACTAAAACTAATATATTGCATATTTTCTTCATTTATAATAATTATAGAGAAGTTAACAAATAAATTTAATAAAATATGAGTCTCAACATGTTTTAAAAATTGAAAATTTCCAATATATACTTTGCGTTAACTTTTTAATGATAAGCTATTATGGTTTCAATATAAAAAATTATAAACTTAAAAGATTTTTTAAAGTTAATATAACATCCAATAAAAAGTTGGTCTTTATGTTATATATTATAAGCATCCAAAAAGTTAAAGTTTTTAACTTTAGTTATTTCTGGTCTTCTTTGGTGTAATTATTAAAAAGTCAACTGAAGAGCATTATTACCTCGTAACTAACACAAAAGACAGCCATGCTCCCCCTAAGCACTAGTCAAACAACGTTACGTTGTTCTCCCACTATACCATACCACAAACATCTTAAAAACGAACTTAAAGAGCATTTATGTTATTTCCTATCATCTTTCACCACTATATTTTCTTTAATTACAAGGAACAACAACTAACACTTAGTATTTGCATTTTTCACGTTTATTAAGGTAATAACCATGTTAACAATTTCTAACTGCCCTTTCTTGTAATTCTTTCTTTTAATTTATATCGTTTTCTTAAGTAATAAGTCTAAAAGAAATGAGCAAAAATAAAATCTTTCATTAAACTTCTTATCTCAAATACGGAAGTGCGCCAGCGACCCAGGAACGAGGCATAATGTTATTAGCCATCACTCATCGTTAGTCACAACGCTCGCTTCCGTCTTTGCTACCTGCGCCGACAGTGTTTTACCCTGGCATCCTAGCTAATCTTGCCAATGTTTCAATAAAGGCTCGAATGGCTCTTCATTCACTACGTATAAGAATAAATAGCTTCAGAAGGCAATGCCAGTATACCTCACGTTAGCGTTACTCTAAGAAAGTTCAAGGGTAATTAGCCTTTACGTTAATAATCAATGCGTCAAAGGGTGGTCAAAGGATCTATACGATTCTAGTCACCGAACACGGAGGCACCAGCCCAAAAAGTACGCTCATTGACGCAGGGAAGATAACACCTGCCAAAGAACCTAGCTACCATAGTTTCACCAATTTTAAAAGCATATATTTCGATACGAACAGTAAATATCTTACAGCTTTTAAAAGTAACGTGCAGACCTGAGCTTAGAGCACGCCGCAGGTAGTACCATAACCACGGTCCATTAATTTGTATTTTTTGCCATAACGGTGTCCAACTATCAAATAGGATACTAGCCATAATTTGCTCCTAAGATTGAGAATTCACAACAGAGGCTTCCAAGAACATCCACCAACCACCGCCGTTCAGTAGAGGTGACGTGATCTGTGGTAGATAAACCTAAATTTGCAAGTCATTATATCTCTGGATGTCACCAACAGCAACACTAGATCGAAACTATCGTGAAGCCTCAAGGAATACCATCTATGGTAGACGCGAGTTTTTATATAGGGTCAGTCTTTTTCGACCGCTTTACGATGATGACCTAGGGGACAAAAAGCAATACTCGCTCCATTAAAGAGTGTACACCACTGGACGAAAGCACCGAGGGTCGCTAACAGCCAGAGTCAAAGGTAGTCTAGTGCTACCACTACTAGCCCAACCTATACAGCTGCCAAAATTGGATCTTCAAAGGATTGTCGACGCGTACTTCGCAGTGACTGCAGCCCAATGAAGGATGCACCTACTAGCTGAGATGTTACGTGAAGGCGAGAAAGAGCACATCGAGATAGAGTTAATTAGCTCTCATCTCTTATATGGGTTTTTCAATCTTAATTCGTTTTTCCTTAAGGTCAAAAACTGTGCTTATACCCATAGAAAAATAGCAGATTTAAACTTAAAAAATAGAAAAGTTTTTTTAATTTCATGCTTAAATAGCATTAAACTAAAGACTTGACTAAAGTATGGGCTAGGTTCAAACTAGCTTCTTCGCTCAGAAGATTTTAGCAGTTAAAATACAATACTGTATAAAATAAATAAAGCAATAGTTTTATAAAGCTGAAAGCCCTCGAACTAAGGTAGTTTAATTAAAAATATAAGATAAATTATTGAGAAGGGCCCTCCAAAAGGCATAAACAGCACTATTACCCATAAAAGTTTAAGGAGGGGGCGGTATTTTAGTTTGCATTAGTATATAATAATACTATTATACTACTTTTTCTGCTAAGTGCTCTGCTAACTGCTGCCATTCAGGATAAGTAAATACTCCCTTTTAGTCACAACTAACTCTACAATTTTAGCTCAAAGATACAGTAGTTAGACAGACCTTAGCCAATTTCACCAAGACTTTTCTTTAGCTACGTAGAATAGTCAAGATTATTTAAGCTTAGTTCGAATTAGAACTTTTCATTAATAGTCTTGGAAAGGACAATGCTAGAATTATAACCCGTATGAGTAGTAAGCACTTTTTAAATGCTAAAAAAGGTGGCGCGAACTACGGTCATAACCGTGAATAATCAAAATCATACTCCTAGAGCTACCGTTAGCATGAAAGTCTAGTACCGAATCCTACTACTATATTGAAGCATAGTACCAAGTTCTAACTTTAGCGTAATGTTAATATATAAATACATATAGTTAATCGCCAGGGCCCAATTAACATAAAAATTAATGTTAAAATTAGCCAAATTAAACTAACTCGGTGAGCACATCCTCATAAATAGCAAGATATGTAAGTTAGTAAAATACTAGTGTACAATACTATGTTAGAATTTGCTTTGATCCTAAAGCATCTCGAACTGATGCATATAGTGCTTTATAATATCACTCATCATAGTAACCCTTTTATCAAGGTTACCAAATCGCTCTGTTTTAAGTTCAGTTAATTAACCAAACTTTATTCCAGAGTAGGACAGAAGCTTTTGTCTGTAACTGTCCACCATAGATATTATGCTTGACATAGTGGTTTCTAACTTAGCCAAAGACTACACTAAGTCGATCTGCCTAACTGTCGAGATATTCACACTAACAAATATACTACTTTGAAGCTAGCACGGTACTAGGATACTTTAACTAAATAGTTAATTCTAATTTTACCTCGTAGAGTCCTTTGATGATTTCAAAAATAGAGGAACGACAATCTTGTAAACCTTTAACTAAACACGATGGTCACTAACATGCTTTGTGCTTGGGGCCTTGGTGTTCATTGACTTGATTGATACGGGTAAGTATTTGACTTTATAGTTTAAACATTACAGAAATCACACAATCAGATAACAACTGTTTAACTTTGTTATGAAAACTTCGCTTTGAGTACTATCTCTGCCTTCCGAAGCAATTTTAAATCTAATCTGCCTAGGGAGATTTAGAGAACCCTTGAAACACATGAATGAATTCTGGGTAGTATATAGCTGAGTTTTATTAAAGACTACATGTCTTCAGAGAAAGTAAGGTACACAGAAAGTCACGCATGAAAGATTTATAGAATAAGTGATGGAAGTTAGCATTCTTGTTCAAATCCCGAACCATTGTAAGTTCACTAAGTTGCTAAAGATATTAGCTAATCGCACTGATTGAACCACTGTTTAGTAACTTGTACTCATTCGGATAGGTCTCTGGTCACTCGGGTCTGAGTGAGTTGCTAAAAGAATGCTGGCTACTAGTACTATATATATGCCGGCCATCCCTTGGTTACTTCCGGTAAATATGGATAAAATCTTCTTAATCTACGACTTTAACTGTCTCTTATCTCTAGTGTACCATTCAGTTTAAACAAAACTAAACTGTAAATCTTTAGCTAGCTTGTTGATTAACCTTGGTCACCGTGTTCGAGTTAGGGTTAAACCAGTCCATTACCGCCTACGGCTCTGCAAGGCAAGTTGATCCTGATGAATGTCACCCAGAGCCACAGTCTAGTCTTTCTGTGTTCAATTATTGCTTAGGATGCAAGATGGAATAAAATACCCCCCTTTCTCTTTTCAGCTAGAGTGAAAGAAAGCAGTAAAGCATAGAAATTGTTCACTTCAATTCGATTCTATTATTTTACTATATTTATTAGATTTTTTATTATTTCCTTTCATTTTAATCATTTATAAGAGAGTTAAAGAGAATAGTATAAAAGTCTAACAAAGTCAGAAAGAAATCTAAACTTGGGTTATTTTTCCTACTTTACTCGTAGTATTTGAGCCTTATTAGTTTTTTATTCAATTTGAATCTATCAAAAACTATTATCCTTATAACCTTTTACTGACCTGAGTCGAACTAGCTTCTTCAAGTTATTTTTTCTTCATGAAAATATTCCTTTAGTGGGTTCCTAACATTAACTCATGTGCTAACTTTAGGGCTGGAGTTTTAAATGACACTGATGACGAAACGCTTTTATTCATTTTAAATCTTGTTAATCAACCCCTCCCCCAACAACGCTGTATTTCCACCACCTCAGGGTTAAAAGCTACGCCTCTGGCGTAGCACAAGGGAGCTTTAGCACCGTTAGAGTTATGGGGCGTTTTAACCCCTTCCCTTCATGCTTACATAGTAGGCAATACAATTATATTGCCTACTCGAGCAAGGCCTTTTTTTTAATTGTTGAGTGCGGTTTTTGCTTGACTGAGATCTCAATGTTTTCGATGAGATTTCTAAATGCCCCGAGTGGCGAAGAAGAGGGGACTCAACTTTCGCTAATAATACCTCAGCTGCAGTAAAAAAGCACTCTTTTCGAAGAGCAAAGCTCAAAAGACACCTTTCTGAGCCAAGAGAATAAAACGATTATAAAGGTAACGGTATTGAAACATCGATCGGTCCCCACTCTCGAAAACCTAAGTGTGGATGAACCTGAGGCGCTAACTCTCATGGAACATACTTCTTGTATGAGGGAAGATTGTACCAGCGCGAAAGTGTGAATAATTGAAGAAAAGCTGTTTTTAAGACTGTTTAAAAAATATTCTAAAACTGATCTCTGCATGTGGCGTTCTCTGACTGCATTTTATTCATTGCAGACAGAAGGCCGTCCCTTAACTGGTACGAAAGTTGTCTATATGGCCTTGTCAAAAAAGGTAATTTGACTAAAAAGTATGTTAGAAAATATAAAAGTAAAATTAAAAAATCGATATTTTACTAACTTTAAATTGACTTTTAAAACCAACTGAAAAATAGCCTTAGGATTTTCTTGCTGCCGTTTATAAGAAAATTAAGATAATATATTAAAAAAAATTTCTTTAGTCACTTTTTCCTAATAAAGTAAATAAAAGTATATAATAAGATATTAAATGCACAGCAGGTTATGCATCAAACAAAAAAAATTATAAACTACAAGTTATGGAGTAACTACTTTAAAGACCCGTAAGAGAAACTTAATATGTAAATCACAATTTGTATAAAAGAACCGACTATCACGGACAATTCAAGCTGAAGACTTTTTTTTAGTATTGACAATACTCTCCTCGACCTGCTTACAACGCAACCGCAACAGCAGGCCCCCGCCTTATTTTAGCAGACCGCGTTTTTATTGCACCAATTAAATTTATTATGAGCTTTCGGATTAGCCTGAAACATTTACTGAAACATTTAATTGCAACAACTTTAATTTTGTTTTAAAAAATTACAAAATATTCCCAGGGCTACTTGAAAATGCCCCTGTTACTTTTTGGGATTCTCAGTGTGCTGATAAACCTACAGTTGAAAGTTTGATATCCGACGCTTTAGATATTCCGAATGTACTAGAGCCTTTGGCAGGAAGCGGAGAACCCCTTTTGGGTTTGTTGATGTCTCAACAGAAAGTGTCTAAATAAAGTATCTAAATCTGTTTAAAAAATTTAGTAAAAACGAGTTAACTTAGTATTTACTTTGTCCCCTAATCTACTGAGCTATTTCATAACTTCAGCTGTAACGCCCTCTAGACGTTTAGTCTTTTTTCTAGCCCTCTAGACTAAAACTATAACCTTTATAACATCGCTTGTTCTCTAGACTAACGTAAAACAAACACTAAAAACGCGGTAAAAACCGAAAGAGGGAGGGAAGAAAGAGCAGAAAAATATAGTTACCCAAGCGTTTTACTAAAAAAATTTATATATCATCCTACATAATGTAGCAACAGAGTATAAAAGGTACCTAATAAACAATCTATTGTTACTCTCAATAATTCAAATTTTAAATTTGTGCTCTAAGGTGACTAAATTTTAAACGGAAGAGTGGTAACATTTATCGTGGATAAACAAGATTAGATGTTAAGACACGGCACAGAAGGTCTGGGGGCAGGAGTCATAAAGTTAATTATAGTAAGTTTTTGGAATAGCTCTTGAATTGGGCCCTAATGGCAATCTACTCAGGCTACATAAAAAAATAGAGAAATACAAAAGTTCTGACTCTTTTACTTTAGGAAAATCTTTAAATTCATTGTTGATGCCCGTCGCGGATCACCTATAGATTCTTACGAGAAATTTTTAAATTTTTTTAGATTTTGGCCTTTAAAAAAAGGTTGTTAATAAAAAAAAGTATTTTTTTTTACTTTTTACTATTCCTAATGGTTGATGGCTTTGTTTACTTTTGGTCTGGCTTAAAGTTGGACTGTGTTGGTAAATTGGGATTTTGTGACCTTTGTTTTAGGGTTCATTAGTGTTTTTTTTTAATTAATAAATGTTATCTTTACCTTATATTTAATTCAATCTATGTTATCAAATATATATTTTATATATAAAGTATAAAATCATAAAATCTTGTAAGGTATATTTTGCGACCAATTAAACCGTTTTACATACTTTTGTTGGTATACCTATTAGTAGTAATATAAATAATTTACTAATTGGCTACATTACCTTTTTTTTAATTACTTTTTTTTTCTTAACACTTCTCCGGTGCCCTTGCTATTTAGTTCTCTTTACTCTTAGACTTTATTTTATTTCCGTCGAGGCTTTTATACTTACCTGTTTTTGTAGGAACATTTATATCTAAATAGTTTGTCGTATAAAATATATTTTTTTGCGGGAGTAATAAAAGCAAAAATAACTTACGTTACCTTTCTAATTTTAATAATTGTTAAAATTTAATGTTCTTTGCATATCTATAACTCTAAAAACAATGTTTTTTATAGCAACTAATTTATAAGTTCAAACTTTTTTTTAGTAAAACAAGATATTATGTTAAATAAATATGGACTTAAGCTAAATCTTCAAAGAATTCAAGTAAAACTATGGGCGTTAGTGTAGCTTACAATAAACAACTGTTTCGTAAAGTGTAATACACCTGAAGTACTAAGAAATTAAAGTTCCTTTCAAACCTGAAAAGAAATGTTCACTGAGCTTACAGTAATCAGATTTTTAAAAACCTATAACGAAAATTATATAATTTACCTAATTCTAACTTAAACTATAAAAAAAAATTAAAAAAAAGATATAAAAAACTAATTTTTGTATATAAAAATAAGATAAATAAGTTGTTCATTCGATTATCTTAGAATACTGTAGTAGTATCCACTTATTAAGTACTGCTAAATGCTTATTACAACAAATTAACTGAAAGAAAATATGTTATATAAACGGAATCTGTTGTTTTTTAGTTGGTAAAATAGGCTGATGAAATCATGTAGCTAAATGAAAAAAAAAAATTAATTTTATAACCTAACACTTGAATATAAGTATAATACCTATAGTTGGAAGTAGTGCACAGGTGAATTTTTTTAATTGTTGCTTATATATTTATTGATTATTATAGTTGGCATCTTAGTCTGGTACCGAGCTGTTTATATAAAATAAAACGAAAGTTATTGGGGCAAACAAATGTATGAGAAACCGTATGTAGACAAATTTACTATTTTACCATGAAAGTGGTAGGAGCTCATCGACGGAAAGCGTGCATATGAGTCGGACCAAACAAAGCTCTTTTATTTTTTGCCGTCTTTCGACATCTAATGAATAATAAAAACCAAGCGTTTAAAACTAACTTTGTAAAATGGGCTTCCAAACAGTTGAACTCGATAGGAGCTGATGGACCCGTTTTAGCAGAGTATATTGCGCTTTTGTTTGAACAGTAAGTGTTTTTAATTAATATAATAGATAAAATAAGTTAGCTTTATACTTTACTTTGTAACACTTATTTTGTAGAAGTTGTAAAGTAGTACCTGTAGACAATTTAACTCTCAACGAAGTTCTTTCTCTTATAACCTCACAATTGGAAGCCGCGGGGATCGAAGCAAGTTTATTACTCCTTAGATTTACTTTTTTATATTACGTTATTCTAGGCTCAACAAAGTACTGATTTAGCTAAAAAGTTAGTTACCGTGTGGATGGGTTAGCATCTCTTTGGAGTTATTTTTATTTCCTTTTGTTACTTATATTTTATTAGGAAAAGACCAAAGCTACTTTTTTTTAAAAGGTAAACTACGAAAGTCTCCTAACAAAGCTTCACCCACCAAAACCGCCAAGGGTACTAAATCTATAAATTTTAGTTTTTAATTTATTATGTATTTAATCATTTATAGCAAAATAGTATCTCTTATTTCATTAGCAGAAAAACAAGTTAGTTTTTATGCAATTCAACTCCTATATACCTATATATATAACTATAAATAGTTTATGCGACGATAATAAACCTATTCGAGTTGGGCTAACAAGTAATAAATACTGTAAACTTTGTTACAAATCATTTACTTATAAATTTTATAAACCGTTTTTTTATGAACAACGCAGTTTCTTTTATAAGATTTTGAAGACCATACACAGATTGCTACTTTTGTGTAAAGTATTTTGTAGGTAGCCTTGTTTGGGATAGCCGTCTACATTGGTTACGGCTTCTAGAAGTAACCGTAGCCTTCGTCCTTGATGCTTTAGGTTTGTAAGCCATCATTCAGTACAGTACACAAAATCTTTTATACTTTGTGTAGAGTTCAGGGTTTTATTGATAAGAAATAATCATAAGGTTGCTTTCTTATTTATATAAAGATATATAAACTGCACGTATTGAAGTCTTTTACATTACTACAAGTTCTGAACTTGTTCACGTTAAAAAACTTTAATATAGAATTTCTCTTAAGGAGTTATATATTTTTTTTAAAAAGGTTTTTATTAAAGTAAAGCCTTTCACTTATTAACACTTTTTAAGTAAACTATATAAAGTTATTTCTCTATCCGTTTTGCGGTACTTTAAATTTACAGAAGAATTTTTTTATACAAACTAAATTAAAGAAGTGAAGTATTTTGGCGATATTTTTATAACTTAGTTAATAAGCTAGAATCGTTTCAAAGGTCGAGGTTTCTCCTGAAAAAACCCCTTATGTTGGTTCCTGCATGGAAGCGTTGGAAAACTTGAATTTGTCTGCAGAAGGTTTTTGTAGTTTAAACAAGTTTACTTAAATTATAAATTATAATAATTATGCTTCGGTAAGTATAGCTCACATAGGTATAGATGTCATTTATAAGATGTTAATAACTTTAGATAATAAACATTTAGCCGACTTTAAAGAATATATATAACATCAAAACTATTGTTTTGCGTAACCACACTTAATGTTGCAGAAAACACACGCACGGACCAACTAAACGAAGAACTCAATCCTTATTCTGGTCTAAAACTTTCGCCCCTTTTTTGTTTCTTTCTATATTTGACAATACTAGCGGAATGTTAAATACTTCTGCAGATGTAAGGAAGTGTAGTAGTGTTTGCTTTAAACTGTTGTTATTTTACGAAATTATATTACTTTTTAAATTATTAATGAATTATATTCAAAAATAGCTTATAGGTAGATAATCCATGAAGCAAACAGGTAGCCTTTCCACTAATTTTACTTATTTATAATTTGTTTGGGTCCGCCTGTATAACGTTTGACTTTTAGTGACTACTTGTTAAGCCATGTTTAATTCTTTGCTTGGACTATAAAGCCTCTTTTAATTCAGAAGCCGCAAACACGCTTGTTACGATGTTTAAGTTATGCACTTTTGATCTCGCGCAGTTTATACTGCAAGAAGTCGAGGGTTGTTCCTTTTACAGCGCAAAATTAAAAACATTTTTATTTGCTCTGACCATTATTATAGGCGATGTGGAAATGGCTATTGAAATTTTCTTGGAATATTATGGTTTTTATGAGTTGTTTGCAGCAGAGATTTGCCTTTTATATCGACGTCAACTATCAAGGTGAGCTTAAGGGAGAGCAGGGACCGTCCTCAGTGTCCTCGGGTAGTGAATGTTCGGGCCACTGTGCTTACGACTGTTGTATTATCTGTATATATTAGAAACACAGGTCCCTTGCCGTTACTTCCTCAAAGGTTGCTCTCCTTTACGCTAACGCCCCCCTGCGCTGAATGGCCGGCTTTAGGCTCGTGCCTGCGAGCTGACTGCCGGTTCTCCCACGATGTTTCTTCCGCTCCCTGCATGTTTTGGTTATGTTTTTCTTCAACCTTGTTTGCTGCGCTTATTTTTGCACTTACCCTTCATTGATACAGGGCTCACGGCGCATGTTTCAAAGGTTCCGCGTGCGAATTTCTTCATAATGAGCTTACTCACTCGGAGTCTGTGCGCGCCAGTGAGGAGCAGGTACGTATCAAAGGGAGTGCGCCTTTCTTATTTTGACATATTTTTAAGAGGGTCAAATTCGAGAACTCCCACGATTTTCCCAGTCTTTCTACGGAGAGCCTCTCGTGTTTAGGGGTTTTACGCTTCGGTGTCTTGTATTCTGCTCTTGATTCATGAGGTTCCGGGGGTTAGCCACGCCAACCCCCAGAGCCAAGGCAGAGCATTTGGTCTCGGTCTGGACATACTCTCGCTAGGACTATGAAGTTTAACAAGCTGGTGTCTTTGTGCAATCATCCATCACGTCGCTGTTATATTAATATTCTATGTTCACTCAGTTGGAAGTTTTTCCTGGCACTCCGGAGTTTATTGTTGAACACTTCTTCAATCGCAATAATTACGACTATCAACGCACTGAAGAGGCTCTCGGGAAATTGTATCCAGTCGTGAGAATGAACAAGAAAGGAGCCCCCCTCCCGTATCGGCAGTTACGAACCCGTGAAACACTTTCTCATTCTGTTGGTAGGCATTTCGTACCTTCCAAAATTCAGGCATAACTGTTACTACCAGAGCCCGGCGTTAATGAGTGGGTAGACACGGGGACTCCCGTATCCGAGTTGTACAACCGCTACCGGAGAGTGGCGGTCGAGCACGCGCGTTTGAGAAACAAGTTCTTTATTTGCTGTAGTCGCTTTTTGAGGCGCTCATTTCTTCTAGATATTTTCAGGAGGCTGTGAAGGCCTACCAGCGCAATGATGTGAAAGCAGCCAAGATATTCTCGGAGAAGGGGCATCACCATGATGAACTTATGCATGCTCTTCAGGAGGTGCAAGCCGCGTTCTTTACACTTGCTATTACCACTATTATTACCCTTTCCAGAAAGCTTGCAAAGAAATTTTTAATACGCGCAACCCCTCTGGGAATCCTTTTGTCCTTGATTTGCACGGTTTACATATAAAAGAGGGCACGCTCTTTATGTTAGACTTTATCAAGTTGTTATAATCCGATATTTATATAGCATTGGCCATCCTGAAAAGCTCTCTGGAAAGAGCCTCTAAGCAGAAGAAGAGGAAGTACCTTTATACCATCATTGGAACAGGTTTCCAGAACTTGCATTTCTTTAGCTGCAGCACTTACAATTTTTAGGCCGTCATTCACTTACGAGACACGCCAAACTACGACCAGCAGTGGAAAATTTTCTTAGCCTAAATGATTATGCCTTTGTGGACTGCAGTAGCGACCGCAGAGGCGGTATGTTGAAAATAAAAATTTTTCGGTCATAACATTGCGTGGATTATAATCACTAGGTTGCTTAGCCTTTACGACACTATTCTAGAGTGTGTGTCGATAGCTTCGTCTTATAAGAGTTAAGACCCCCGTCTTTAGTAAGCGAAAACTCTTTGTTGCTAAAACTGCTTTAGTCGTAAAGACCTCTTTTATGAAAAATGGATTTAATTTCTTAGATATAATTTAAGAAAATTTTAGCGTCTTCTGCTGGCACTTCTCTTATTACGCCTTTTTAAAAATAAGTGCATACTATACAATTGGATTTATGGCAAGAAGTCTGAGATCTTCAGCAATCTTTAGGGTTTTTTACTTATTAAAATTTTGCTCTGAAAGCTAAAAGATCGAGAGTGCGGTTCACACTAATCAGTTAAATAGTAAGCGACTTGATACTTTTCGGATTCGTTGAGCTTGCGGGCATATCTTAATAGGAACGCTCAAGTATTATAAGAAAAAAATTGAGATTAAAGAATTAGTTTTTATGTTAAAAGTAAAGGGACCCACATATTAAATTTTAGACTAATAAGAGATAGGTTCAGCAAGCCTACCATTTCTTTGAAAGCTTTAAAGTTAATTTTAAGGTTATAGAATATCTATGCACACAAAATAGGGCGCCGCCTCAATTGCCGGACGACTGCATAAGTAGACGAAGCGTTTGTCAGGAACATTAGATATAAGTGCAGCTTGTTAGCGCAGGGGTCCCATGCTTTTGCGCGCAGAGAGCGTGGTTAGTTGTCGACGCGCCCCTTGAAAGAGAGGCCGAGACAGTACGCTTGTTGAGCTTCCAAGTGTCATTGTAGCTGCTAATATTTTATAATTTAGGGTGTTTTTCTTGACACGTCTGCTGCTGTGTCGTCGAAATAAAGTGCGTTGTGCTTGTGTTGTTTCTCAGGAGCCGAGATGTCATGAATTATAACGCGAAAAGTAAAGAAGTAAGCAGTTCGTGCTGCGAACAACTCACTGACGAGGCAAATATGAAAAACTAATAAAGAACATTATAGGTCCCGTAAGACGGCCAGCATACGCAGTTTGTGTAAGAGGCGTTATATAAAAATTGGCGCCTCTGACTATCTTAAAGTTAAAGCCATAAAGTTATCCTTTCTACAAGACGCAGTAGCTAGCTGCTGTGTCGCAGGGTGACTGCGTCTGAACTCCAAACAACGCATCGCGATCCTCCACGAACGCCACCAGTTGGCGTAGTACAACAGCTTCTTAAGTTCTTTCGACTGCGAAGAGAGGTTAAGGTCGAGAGCCACTCCCCCTTGAAGTGCATTAGTCTCTAAAGCGACGAGTTCAGTTGCTGTGAGTGGCTAGAGGACCATGTGATGCCCTTACCTTCGCATCTTAGCAGCAATCAATCCTTAGCCAGGGGCGCGGAAGTGTCTGCCGTCTTACCTTCCTAGCTTTCAGCCATAATGATGCCCTTATTAAAAGGAGAGGGTAGCGGGTGGCAACCTTTTTGATTCCCTCACAAAGCTCTAAGATAATAGGGATCGCGTTAGACACTTCCTACACAAAACATGTCTTCCATCCGCTACTGAGGTTTTGAATGAATCGCCAATAAACTATTTTTGCACTTCACATAAAATTAGGACAGATGAAAGAAAGAGAGAACAGCAACCAGTCCACTATCTCGTAGAGGAAAGGTTTATATACCTTTAGAAGAAGAGATACAAAAGTACAAGAAATGTGGGACAGACGAGGATCACGTGGTAAGGACATGTGATTAAATAAGCACATGGTATAAAAACCACGTGGTTTAATAAAGTTAACTCCAACCAATAATAAAAGGCTGTTGCCGATTTCGAGAGCGCGATGACGGAAGCTCACATTCATACAACCACAACACGAGAAGTTACAACCGCCCTAAATGCCTTCTTAAAAAACTGAAGACCTGATATATCTGCGTCAGCGACTAACCAAATAGTCCTGACCCGTCAACGCGTCGAAGACAAAAGTGGCGCTAAATCGACTATACCAACACATTAAAAAGAAACTGATTACAAATCTTAATTACTAAAGGGTAACCAAAATGAATAGTGTCTCAGGTGAGCTAACAAACCTGCTCGAGAGCTCGAGAGTATTCGAAGTTGTTAACTCGATGGAACACTAGAGGTGCTATTTAAAAGAATGTGTCTTGCTCTTGTAAGACAGTGCCAATGAGAGTGTTTGTTGTCTCAAGACTTAAAAAGAGGGGCTTTCAGATCTTACCTTGTTTTTTTTCAAGTTCTCGCTTGAATGTTGATCAAAAGGGGACCGTGATCGGAGTTAAGCCATCGGAGGTTGGGACATCAGACGATGCGGATTGTCAGATTGACTTTTTTACAAAGTTCGGCAAGGTCTAAATATCATTTAAAGTTATTTAAAACCATTAAATACACGATCTTGGGCTATTCTTTAGAAATTAGCAAAAACATTTTTTTTGGAAGATATTGTAAAGAGGACCAATTTTAAAGGATTGAAAGTATATATTTCTTTAATTTAGTTACTTATTACTTTTATTATAACCATTTAATAAATTTAATATTATTTTCCTTAAGAAACTTAATTGAATATATCTAGGGACAATGTCTCCCGCTTTATGGCTTGCGGGACTCTTCCCTTTTGGTTTTGAGTGGTTTAGGTGGTTGACCTTTTTTTTTTATTAATTACAAGTCTTAGTTATTTTGCTTAGGGAAGGAAGATTCTACCACATTTGAATGCGTTGGAGATTATATCGATGATGGAATTAATCAGTTAAAGGAAAGTATTCGAGTAGCCGCTTCTGGTTTGTTTGTTTTTTGGGGCTGCCACTAAATGCCAGTGTTCTACCATACACATAGTCGGTGTAAAGCAGTTAATGAAGGACGGTTGCACAGTAATTGAGGTTGATACCATGGGCGATCCTGCAGCTGCTGCTGAAGGTCGGCGATTAATTTGAATTTTTTTTTTCTTTATAAAGAATTGTTAGTTTTCCTTTTTAAATACATTAATATTTCTACCTTATTACTTCCAGGGGCTACTTTGGCAACTTATCACTTTCATCAACTAAAAACTTTAAAACAAAACTATTCCAAGAATACTATGGAAGACGTACGTATCTCCCCGTTGAATGCTCACGAAGAGGGTCTTCTTTATTTGCTTTTCTATCAATCTTACCTAATTATAACTATTATTTTAGTTTGTTTACAATCTTGGAGTAAAGGCGTCATTTACGCTGAATGTCAAAATCTTGCCAGGACTTTAATGGAGTTGCCCGCTAATATTGTATTTATATATGAAAAAGAGGGAACACAGCTTACATGGTTTTTAGCTCACTCCCTCCTCTTTTTGTGAACGAACCGTTCAACTCTTTAATAACTTTTCCGACTCTGTTCGTTGTTCTATTCGGGATGAAGTGTTTTTTCTAAAATGTTTGAGCACCATTAAAGTTGTAAATTTAACCATCTCTAGGAGTGGATCCGAGGGCAAGGCATGGAGGCTCTCTACACCGTCGGTATGTTTAGGCTAAAGACGTGCTGCTCTTTTTACCGTTCTATGCCTACCAAGGAAAGGGGAGCATCGAGCCCACCATGTTTTTGGAGATTGAATACTGCAGCAGTCCAGAGCATGCCGTCTTACAGGATCCGCTGGTTTTTGTTGGGAAAGGTGCCTTTTGCGACTAATCATGATCCTCATAGCTGGTGACATCGTTGACCACCAGGAGTTACTTTTGACAGGTCAACAGTGTATGGCAACTGCAGTCTTCTTAGCGCTGCTCACTTATAACACTGCAGTGGCGGCATCTCCATCAAGCCGTCCTCCCGGATGGAGCAAATGAAGGCCGACATGGGCGGGGCCGCATGCGTCGTTGGTTGAAAAGCACGTGCATTATGTCTATGTATCTATATTCCGGTCATTTCAATCGGAAGGGGTTATTAAGGCCGTGGCGTCCCTTGGCGCACCCGGGCGTGTGATCGGGCTTATCCCGTTGTGTGAAAACATGCCCTCCGGCGACGCGTGCAGGCCAGGCGACGTCGTCCGAACCAGAAAAGGGCTCACTATCGAGGTAACACTTGTGGCCGTGGTCAAGTAATTATATAGACCACGTGGCCGCTAGGTTGAAAACACAGACGCAGAAGGCCGACTTATTCTCTGCGATGCTTTATCGTATGCCGATGAACTCTATCCTGATGCGCGTGCCGTCATATCTATCGCCACTCTTACAGGCGCCATGGACGTGGCGCTTGGTAGTTTGTTTGGCACCTCGCTCCTGTATTAGCATTCTCACGGAATTGACGCGCTAACAGGTGCGGGAGCAACGGGTGCTTTCTGTGCTTCGAGGCTCCTTTACACCGTTATAGAGGTATAAGCGAGCAGCCTGGCACTACTTGTAAACTTTCTTCGCTAATAGGAGTCTGGCCACGAGGCTGGAGACAGATTCTGGCGTATGCCTCTCTTCCGTCATTACCAAGCCCAAATTAAGTCGGATGTAGCCGATATAAAGAACGTGGGAGGGGTAGATGCTCTCAGACTTTGGCAGTTCGTTCTTTGACTGCGCATTCTGGCAGCGGTCTGCTGGTGCATGCACCGCGGCGGCTCTCTTGCAAAACTTTATCTCGAATAAGCGATTTGCGCATTTGGATATAGCAGGTGAAATGCGCTGCATTGAGGTGTTGGCCGCTATTGGCTCACCGTAGTGCTTGTACACACAGGGGTAATGCATGCAAGTCCCTTCGAAGGATCTGTCTGCCCGTATTTAAGCAGGGGCATGCAGGGTATATATTGCTTCTCTACTTATGCCTACTGCTGTCGCTAACTTCTTTTTGACGGGTGGGAAGGGCGTCCCGTGAGATCACTAATTGTACTGGCCGAGAAGCTCTTTTCCAAAGAGCGTGTATATAAATAAAAGATATTTTCTGTTTACTGTGTTTTAACAAGCCGCCTTAGTCCGCGTGTGTTGTCAGCATTCGTTGCTTTAGACGCTGAGTCGCTCTCTTAGATATGTTTAGGGCCGGGTGGAGCCCGTGGAGCTCGCTTTCTTTCTAGATAACGCGTCATAGGCGGAAAAAAAAGCTTACACTATAATAGTTAAGTTACCATGAGTGCTAGTGCACATATACCAAAGTAGGAATGACCAAGATCCTCCCGACAGTTCCCCTCTGCATATTTAGCAAACCCTGCTGAGTTATAACATGGCTGGGTCTTTTGTCTAACTGGAATTCTTTTTAACGACCTCCAAATTTTCTTTGGGTCCTTGAAAGCCAAACTTTATTTTTTTCTTTATCGATCCACTTAAAAGATTTTAAAATCTAAACATCATTTTATAATTAAAATCATATCTAGTAGAAATACGAGTACCTTAAGAGAACATCCGATCCAAAAAGAGTAGCATGTGTCTTCCTCTTTATTAGGCCTCCCTTGAAAGCCCGACTGTTGCCTAAACAGACACCATCTTTGTAATTTTTAAAGTTAAAATTCAACGAGCATTAAATAAATCTCTTCCTACCTAACAATTAACTCCTTATCATTTTCGCTAAGAACTTCATCGAGTTTGTCTAAAATCTTAAGCTTTACTTAGTAGTGTCTCAAAAAAGAGGAGGTTTACGGCTGTACGTGTAAACTAGCCAACGCACAAAAGGTTGAGCCGCCGTGCCCCTCCTGTAACGGACCTTGGCCAAAGCTTCCTTCATAGCTCTGTTAGTGTCAGTGGGAATATAAAGAAAAGTACAACGCGCTTAAGAAGAACCAGACTGTTTTTGATAAAGTCACAAAGAAGTTGGATGTCAATATAAGAATATCCGTTTAGAATATGAGCGATAACGACTGCGCAGTACACAAAGCGCATATCACCTTCCTTAAAACTAAAAGTTATATCATTTCTCTCCTCTGAAGAAGAACCAAAGCTTTGGTTCGTTTTAGAAAGAAAAATTAGTTATTATAAACCACTGAGTCAAATAGAAGTAAAACCTCCCATCTTCCCTTTGAAGATTACCCAAGGCTTGAAGGAGTCCTTAATTTTTTTATAAAAGTTAATAGGGATTTAAAAACAATATAAAAAACGTTATTCTGAAGAATGTGAACCTTTTCGGTCGATCTTAGAAAGATCGTCTCCCAAAATGAGTAAAATCAACAAAGCGCAATAAGTCATAGCAAGATGAGCGGTATCCCAAACAACATTATTTTCCTGTTCTTTTAACATAAGAATTATTTTATGGTAGAACAATTTTATTATATTTTACCCCGAGAACCCGGCATCCTAAATTGTTAGCCCCGCGGAAACCAAGAGCATCTTTATTAGACATCCCCTTTGAATCAACCCGGCGGGGTATTTGATGGGAATAAACCCAGTCAATAATTTTGTCCTTCCTACTTTGAGGCCAATGGTCTAAACCTTTTAATAACTCCAAACCAGATAAAGACAGAAATAGCAACATTAACTTGCTATTATCCTAGAGGATAAATTAGATGGCGTTAAAAAAGTTAGATAAACAAGAATATGCTTTTTTAAATTAAACCAATTCTTTTTTAACAATAATTATAATTAAGAAACTTTTCTATTCACTAAAAGTGTAATCTGCTTTATTTAATATAAAACATATATACATACTTCCATGGCAGCATCTTCAGGAAGGGATTGTAAACAAAGTGTAAAGAAATTAACGTGAGCTGTATAGTCAAAAAATATAGCCGAGTTAACTCCCATGTATAAAAGGTTCCGCTTAAGTTCAAATAGATACGAAGGGGCTCCCAGTTCAAAGAGATGAGTTAAAAAGAACTTAAGCCCACCATGGAATTCGTAGTTTGAAAGGTTTACAACCCTAACCTCGCAGGAGGGTTAAACAATACTATTAATTAGGGGTGATAAATAAAAATATTAAAGTCAATCTTTAAGCATTAAGTTAATATGTATTTTTATAAATATTAAATACAGTTTAATTATAACGCAACTACTTAGCAATAGGAAGTATATAGGGATGATTGGTGGTCTAAACATTTGGCGTTACACACTTCTGGTACTTAAGTTACCCACTCTTGTAGAGTTATTAGTAATAAAAACTAGTGCAGTTAACAGTGATGCCACGGTAAATGTTAGAACCCCTGCACACGTCCTATTAACTTTATACACCCCTTATAACGTAGTATATTTGTTATATTTCTATAACTGAAACCTCATTTTCTATTATCCTTCATTATAAAGAGAGTAAAGGAGGTGGCCTCCTTTACAAAATAAGGTCTTTTAGTCCATCTCTTATGACATGAAGATAGCTATGTTCTTAATATTGAAACGTTTACCATCCTTTTTTTTGTGCATATAAAAATTCATATAAGCTGTTAGATGTTTTAAACAGTTAAAGTGCTCGCCTTCTAAAAAATATTTTTTTTGCATTATGGGAATTGGGGACCTAGGTTGCTAATAGTACATCTGACCTTACGTAGTAGAGTTAACCGCTTCAGGTCGGCAACACTGTTTTAAACTGAGACCCCCTTAAGCTCACTCCCAGCAGCCAATAAACAGCAAAGCTTTCGCCTTAATAGGTAATGCTGGGGGATCTATAAAAGTCTGTATAAAAAATAAAAAAAAAGTATATTAAAGGAAGGTTTGATTGATTAACCAGTTTTGGTCTGTATTAAAACCTACAAAAGGTTGCTTCCATATATGCACAGTAAATTGGGTTGAACTAGATAATATTTTACTAATTTAATTGTATCCAATTAATAAGATAGGTCAAATTAAATTTTTTTTGTTGAAATATTAATCTTTTTTCTTGTGTTTTATTGGTTGTTTCCCAGGTTTCTGATTGGATTAATCAGGGATCATTTTTCCTGTGAAAATTTAGAGGGGGCGGTGTTTTGTTTTTGTATTTTTGTTTATATGTATTTGTTTTATGGTTTTGTACTTTATACTTAATGTGTAATACAATATTTTATTAACGTGTTATACAATATGTTATTGTAATCTATGTTTATTTTTTTATTGTGTTTTAAAGTGCGTCTAAAATGTTGTGTATACTGTGTTATTCTGTTAGAGTCGCACCAGCTAAAAAACCCCTCAGTCAGCTTTTTCCCTTGAGGACCACGCCACCAAGCCACTTAAGCTTCGTCTGGAGGATACAACGAAATGCCCTAATAATCAGCTAAAAGCGTGCTTTGTAAACTGCCCTCCTCTCACGGGCCTTCTTCCTAATAACTAACCGCCTCACTCGCGCTCGTACATACTCCCCTCCATCCTTAACAAATATGCAAGGTTTAGTTCAAAGTATTAGTTAATAATTGGTTTGAAATGTTCATGGTAAGTAAAGCAATATATTGCCATCTGTTTAAGGTAAAGCAGAGGAAGTTTTACCCTTTGCGTTAATAAGCAGAGAGATCTTGCAATAGGAGATAGAATCTCTGCATATATATTAATCTTTCCTTTTTTAATATAAGTAAATTCTCATATCATTAATTTTTGCGAGTTTTAAAAGATTTTATATATATATATATTGCATTATAGGACGGGTTTAAAAACCCTAACTTCATATCTAATGGTTGCTTGAAAAGTATTTAATTCACGTTAAACCCTATTACTTATTTAGTTAAAGGCTAAAATATCACATGGCCCTCATCTTTTTCTTTAATTGTCTAAGTTTACTTAGCTTCTGGAAGATAGAGGAAACAGTTTCACATTAAAATCTAATATATATATATATAGGTTTCTGATAATCTGTATAAACTATATCTACAAGTAAGGTTAATTTTAACGACTGAAGGCTAAAATTCATTATGTTGTTAGCGCAATGAATTTGTAAAACACCTTTATTTAACTGCGTACTGCCAGTGGATCAAACCAACAATTTACTAGTTGGTATAAAGAAAAAAAAAATTTAACAAATAAAATACAGAAGTCTTTTAAAAAAACAAATATTAAAGGAACTATTATTTTAGGCGAAAGAGCTGTAAAGATATTAGAATTCCGTTCAGATTGGCTTATTAAGATATCTTGGGATTAAAAGCTACCTGGAGAAATAACACATTAATATATTTTTTGATTAGAAACCATTTAAAAGCATTATTTTGCTCAATTGGTAATAAGAAATATATAGCCTTCTATTTTAAAACAATACGTCTTAAAAGGAACAAGTTTTCATTAAATCTCGCCAAAATAAGTTTACGATCCAATGTCTATTTTAAATATTGCTTGGAGAAAGAGCCCTTTAAGAAAATTTCAAGTTTCCTAATTCCTTATTCTTAAGAAAAATCTACAGTTAGAGGTAAAATGTTATTTATGGGCCTTAATTAAATTTAAATAAGCTAGAAGAAACCTACCTTTGCTAGTAACATCATACTTGGACGTTCTATTCACTTTATAGAGGAAAGATAATTAACTGGTTAAAATATAGTAGCACTTCAAGCAAAAAATAAAATTTTTTAATGGCGCAATTCTACAAAGTCATTCTCTAAAACTGGCAGAGGGCTAATAATAACCCTGAGTTGCCTTTTAATATAGCTCTTATAAGCGGTAGTTTTGTACAGCTTACATGACCTTCTGAGGATACAGCCCACGCATTTTTAGAGCTCCTTTCTGTAGCTGTGATAGACTCGACAAACTAATGAAGATGAGATGCTCATAGGTCAGCACGACGTTGATGAGGTACGCCTTTGGGTGTCAATGCGTCTCGAAGTGTTTGCTATCAAAGACATCTTCGTTAAATATAATTTGCAAGTTGCGCGTACCCAAGTCCCCGTAAAGGGTATTGATGCCTAAAAGAAAGGCGTGCATTTTAAGTCGTATCGTGTACAAGTGATTGTTGCGCTAATATACCGTGCTCCTGGCGCAGATCAGGGTAAACCATCTGTGTCGATACCTGTTCTCTGCAATGTATGCACAGTATTCACCACGACAAAATGTTTTTACCGCTTGTACTCAAGTATACCGTTTGAAAGAACCATTAGCTCTCCCGCCTTGGAGAGAAAGGGACTAATGCAAGAAAACGCTTTTTTTTAAGTGCAAAGCACCTCTTGCTTTTTCGCTTTAATCGTTAGGTATCAGTGGATATAGCCTAATTAATATAGCTTTTCGACGAGCAAGTGTGTGTGCTAATGTGCATGGTTATGTGATGTATCTTGAGAGATCATGAGGCAGCAAGCGTAACGAACGCGAAAGATACGACAGCTCAGTACAATTTCACGTCTACGCAAAAGGGTGACACCCAAATGAACGCAGCTGGCACTGGAAGCATTCCGTGCAGACGGATAGGAGAAAACGACTTTCAGTGTTTGACAAACTTTAAGTCACGGGAAAAAATGCACTCAACGAGAAGCAAGAACTTCTCGTCGCGAAGTTTTGATGCTTTGACCCGAACTGAAATTAAAGCAACTAGTTTGCGCTTAGAATGCGGAAGGGGTTGACCAGGAAAACAGTAAAAAAAATACCTTCTACCTGTTTTCGCAGAATTGAATAAAATTGGCAATTTAAGACTGCTATCGCTGTTTAAAGGTGAATATCTTTAAAGAAAGCTATGTGAAACGCATTCGAGCAGCCCTCTTTCATTATAGGCGTCGGTCGATGAGGTAACAGCACGCGTTTAATATACTCAGCTAAGGAAGAAAGAGAGAAGGATCTAGGTTATTACAATTTATTTTTTACAAAAAAATTTGTAAGAAGTTTAGATAAATCGAACTTAGACAGCTCAGTTTGGCTGAAGACCTATATAACATTAACTAATTCATATTAAGATTGTAGGAGCTTCTCATTAATTTTTTTAAAACATATATGCTTATACAAATATTATATGTATTTGAGGGTTGATCGTCTGAGGGCATAACCCTAATTAAACATTTAAGGGATGTTGAAGTTAGAGAGGCACAACTCAGCAGAAAAGTGTAACAATTAAAGAAGGTAGTCATTCTGTAGAAAAATATTAAACAGCAAGTCATCGTCGTTAATACAATAAGAAGCAGTGGCAGTTGTTAGTCTTGCGCTGTTAATGATAACAATGGAGGTGACACCATTGGTTTTGAATCTACACTTAAAGAAGAGAGTTTTTGGACGGACTTAACCGCGTTTTGCTCGTGTGAGAGCGCCATGCTCTTGCAGGCTCCTATCTCATAGGAGCTGAGTAACACCCGTTGTCACCCCAAAACTGGTAGTTTATACTCTTTTTATTCACTTTAATGATGTAAAATCAAATGATATTCTCATTCTCCTACTATTTGTCAGTAGTAGTTTTATACCGGGTCGGTGTCGGTAGAGGATTCGGGTTCTTCTTCAACATGAGCAAATTCTGAATAATAAATAGTAGTAATAAGTAAATATGATTCGTGGTACTAATAAAAGTAGTAGAGTATGTATACGAAGCACAGTTAAAGAAGATTATAGTTGAGCAAAAGAAAGTCCATGGCAAGCACAAAAAAGTTAAAAGTAGCACAGTTGAAGTGGATAACAGAATATACTTAACCAAAAAAAAGTTTATAGTTAAAATATACAGGCTACATATTTTCAGAATTATAAAAACATAAGTAAAAATTTACAGTCTTATATAAGAAGAATAAACTAAGTAAAAAAAGAGCAAACAAAAAATGATAAAATTATCTAGTGAACCGAATAAAAGTTAAAGATGAGAAAAGCTAGCGATAAAATTTTTAAAAAAATTAAGTTAAAAAGGTATTATAAGTATAATAGTAAAAAGATTGGAAGTGAATAGCAGTTTTCACTGAAAAAAACGTTTATTAATTTAATTCGGCTATATATAAAGATTTTATTTATAAACTTTTTTTAGTAATTTTTTTTGACACTTTCAATTTAATAAAAATTTAAAGCTGGAATGCTTTGGTGAACACAACTACCAACTTCTTCGTCTTCATTGCACTCTGACATTCTCGTTTCGCGTACGGAAATAAAATTTTTCTTTAGGAGCCAATGAAAAAACGGAAAACTTAAGGCGTAAAGTACTAAAAAAAAAAAAATAAAGAAAAATAATTTTTTTTAAAAAAAGAATTACACATCCGTTCGTACATTTAGTAAACCTAGTAAAACATTAAACTGCAATACTCCAGGCAGACTCAGATTATGAAGTGAATATACGAGCACCATTAGTAATAAAAAACCAATTAACTAATTTTTGGGAAAACCCTCCATTCTCCGGTTTATAATAAAATTTATTAAATATTACAAGTTTACTATATAATAATATATATAATAGTTATAAACTTTAAGTGAGAAACCAAGCAAATAAGAGTATAATAAAAAAATTAGAGGTGAACGGCAAAAACCGAAGCCACTGAGGGGGGCAAGTAAGAGCCAGCCAAGGATTGACGTTAGTATAAACTATGTATTGGAAATTATTGACTAAAAACTAGAATTTTTATTAGAAGAAATTAATAACATTTATAGATCAGTTTCCTTATAAAAAAATAAATTATAACGCACAACATAGTTTACTATTTTAAAAAAAGAAAATTTAAACTAAGCCAACGATCGCTGTTAATATAAACTTTTTTTTAAACAATTACTGATTAAAAACTATAATTTCTAATAAAGTAAATAAAAAATTTTAAAAACATTTACTATAAAAAAAATTAGGACAAGCAACACAGTAGACTTTTATAATAAAAAAAATTAAATTTAAAATAATATAAATAGCGCTTTATTGCGTTAAATGTCCTATTTAATGTTTTGCAGTTGCTCACAATTCAGAGTACTTTATAAAAGTTATGAAAAATCCCAAGTCGCTAGAAATAACACGATATTCCGTATTAGAAGAGTAGCATTCTTCTTCTAGTGTTTAACTTACTTTGTTAAGCAAAAAGTAAACTTCCTGATTGGAAAGTAATCTTGAAGGAATGTGAGCGTAAGAAATGCCCACTAAGGTATTGTAGCTATTAACATTAAGAATTCTTTTTAATAGTAAATTCACTTTGCCAGCAAAACAACAGATTATAAGGCTTAAGTAGAAAGTTACAACAGATTAAGACCCTAATATTTTGTTTATAATACTTCTATCATAAACTTGAAACTAAATATCTAAATTTTTTTGTCAAAGCGTTTACTAAAAAAAAAATTAAATTACACTTAAAAAGTTGCTAAGTTGCTATGATATATATCTTTTTTTTTTAAAATGCTATACTTAAGATGCTACACGTTAAATAATAATAAGTCTTACGCCTTTAAAAAGTTTTAAGCTTTCCCAAAAATTACTTTTGAGATTTTTCACAAAAAGAGCCGCTGACAACGGGTTGTTACTGGTTTTGAAAATTATAAGTCCCATTCTTGTCAAAAAAAAAAAGCCTTTCAATATATTTTTTAAGATAATATGAATAATTTACTTATAGCAAAGTGGAATACATAAAAGCTCCACTGGCGTTAGACAAAGATTAATTACTATCAACAAAATTGGTCCCTTACTTTATAAAAATTAGCTAAAAAGTTGAAGGTAACCTTGAATGAGAGCTTGATTTAAAGAAAAAACATAGGCGACAACAGCGCAAAGAATTAAAGTGGTCCCAGGAAGAGGAAACTTACGAAGAGATGTATAAATAAACAACGGTTATAAGAGTCCCCTTCAAAGCATACCAAACCACATACAACACCAAAAGATATGGTTAAAGCTAAACAATGAGGGGTAATGCCGGTTTTTAGGACTTTCTCGACAGGACCGACAATTTTACTTTGCAGGAAAGCTAATGGTTTTACAAAGATACAAATATAAGTGTGAAGAGTAAGCAATCAGATATAATAAGGGACGTGTGAAACTAACCGTAAGTAAAAGCAAGAATCTGCTTAAAACCGTTTCTAAGCGGTTTACAGCCGAGTCTTCCCTTCATTTTTAGTGGGGGCCTCACAGGAACTGCCACTATCCTTATGGATGTTTTCCACCGCGAATCAGCTATTTCGTCCACTCCCATCTATTTTTATTGTGGTTCTTCCTTTCTCCCATAGAACAGTGCCCTTCAATATATTTACATTGTGGCTACAGTAACATTTATTTTGGGTTGAGTTTACGAAAACAATAGTAAACTCTTATATTTATGCCGTTAAGAATTATACTATACTAGCAATAATTTCAGCAAACAAGCAAAGTAGTAAAACATTGCATTTCGCGAGCTTCCGGGCGATAAAAAAATATTTTTTCTATCTTATAACTCTTCGAGGAACTGTACACATCAAACAAAAAAAGCAACTACTATTGAACAGGACTATTCAAGTTAAGGTCAACAAACTTTCAAGTGTATAATAACCTGGCGAGACTATAGGCAATATAAAAAGTTGTTAACTAAAAAAAAATTCCGAAAGTAAAATTAAATACTTTGAACAGAGTATACTAACTAGAAGTCAAGAAAGAAAGAAGAAAAAAAATTAATTAAGATTTATTTTTGTTCAGATATGAAAAGTAAAGTGACGAGATAGTTAGTAGGGCTGAGGGGGGAGGTGTAGAGGGGAGCGAGGATGAGAGGGGTGTCGTTCAGAGGGTTGTTCGGTGTAACCTCCGTGAAAGTGAGGAGGAGGTGGTGGTGGATAGGCATCTCCGAAAACCTTCTCACCGGCAAAGCGGTCATAGGATGGCTGACCCAAGTCAGCAGGGTTGACGGGAGGCCGATCGCCCAGATCCTCCTTGCCATGCTCATATCGTTCGTCATAGTAGCGAGGCGCAGTGGCGTAGTCGCCAATGTACTCGTAGTAGACAGACGGCTCAACAGTGCGGTGTCTAGGTCTCAGTTCGGGCCGAACAGGGGATTGGGGCCAGGAAAAGGAGGGAGATCTCGAGCGGGGGCGAGACCACGACCTTGACCTCGAACGAGATATGGAGCGGGAGCGAAACCTCCTGGGCCTCTCCCTTTCTCGAAGTCCTTCCCTAGTACCCCTGAAATCTTTAAATATAATACAATGTCAATGAAAAGAAAAAAATTCCAAAAATTTTCAGGGTGACTCACCGCTGGGAGCTCTGCCAGGTGGGTACAAGTAATCTCCTCTGGAGATATACCTATTAAGAATATAATAAAATAAAAAATTAAGTAAGCATACATTGTTTCTATCCTTCAAAGTATAAGAGTTTATGTATGTGTTCGAGTAAAGAGACACTGGGCGATACCTGTCGCCGCGGAAGTCTTTTTTCCCTTTCGGCGGTCCTTTTATAAGAGGCCTCAAACCAAAAGATTTGGTTCTTTCTGTTGAGACACGGAAAGGAGGGCCACGGTATCCCCCGCGATGGCCGAAAGAAGGATGAAAATTTTCTCTTTTTTTGTTTTTAGCCTCAAGAAAAAAAAACGCCGATTCACATCCACTTAGAGCTAACGTGTATAGCAATATAATAAACCTTTTCAATAACAATAGGTCTTCCAGCCAATACAATATTGTTTAGCTTTTCAATAACAAGAGCTGCATCCTGTTCGGAGGGAACAGTAACGAAGCCTAGAACGCTTTATAAGTGACGGGGCTATAATTTCGAAGTTCTCATATACCAAAGTTTTTTATTTGACCCGAAGGATGCGTAGCGATAGACACTTTTAAAACGCGGCAATACTGGCTTATCGCTTCCACGAGTTCCCGATGAGAGAGCGTTGGAGAAATATTGGCGATAAACAGATCAACGCTCGAGCCCTTTTCGCTCTCTATGTAAACCAAGAAAAAAACGATTTTTAGCAGAAATACAACGCATAGAAGAGTAAAAGTATGTGTAGTACCCGAAATGTTATTATAATCCGCGCGTGCAGAAGGAACAAAGCGTGGCGACCGTGTTCCTTCCACATGGCTTTTGTGTTCGTAGAGCTTTTGCACTTCATGATCTTCTTGAAAAACGAATTTTTCCTCAGGCTGGGGAGTAGAATGTGAACTGTTTTCTTCCGTACAAAATATTTCAGTTTTCAAATTTTCTGAAGTGTCTGCAGCTGTATCTTGAACACTTTCGACTTTCTCATCGAATACGCCAACTGGTTTTTGATTCCTTTCTTCCACATCCACCACTGTAGGATAAGAAATGGATTCTTTATAGTTTAAGTCATTTTGTACTAAAGTTTTACTATCATCAGAAACTACACTACTAATATTAACCGGCTCAAAAGATTGAGTCGGCGCTGAAGAAACGTATATCGGCCCACTTGTTGCATTAAGATCTTCTTCTAACTGTGGTTCATCTAAAGTTAACTGTTCTTGCGAATCAGAAGTAAAAGTAGTGCTAAGATAGTCATCAGGGTTTAACTCCAAATTGGAAGCAACTATTTAATAAAAAATTAAAAATAGTGGTTGCTGCATAAAATAGTAAAGTCAAAATTTTTGGTATACCCGAAAATCAAGTTGTAAAAGAATAAGTAAAGATTTCAAAAAAAAATTAAAATAACCAGGGGCATTGTTTATATTGTCATCCATGCTTCCATGTTCAGGAAAACTCATTAAAACCTTGAAATATGGAATAATCGCCTGAAACGAAAATCATGTAGGCGTAAAGGCAGCCCAAAGCCAGTTAAAACACCATTCAAACAGTCGGTTGTGCTACTTAAATAAACCATGTGATATTATGGTAGTAGTATGTTTAAACGCAGTTATTTTCTGGAAATGAGCCGCCGGGTCCACCTAGGTGCATTATAAAAAAAGGCATGTCTAGTGTTAGTAATATAGAAGTAGTCAAGTGTTGTTGGAAGCGCCTTTAATACAAAAAGCAGTGGTAATTAGAATTAACGGTGGTGATATAAAAATAATAATAAGGGCTTACATAATAATTATTTAATGAACAGATCGGAACGTTAGAAGTGGTTTTGCCCTAAACAAAATTTTTGGTTTTAAGAGTCGAAGAGCATAAAGATTTACGTGTACTTTTTGGTGTTAAAAAAGCTTATATATTAACTGTAGACTCGTAGAATGCAATTAAAAATATTTCTTTAGCATTTACAGTATACATACGCTTAGTAGGCTTTAACCTTAAATTAATTAGAAAAAACAGGTTGTACATTTTTTTTTTGACTCGAATGTGGTATTTCTGCTTTGGGACACTCCTTACCTCGCAAACTGGAATTGAGTAAAAAAAGATTGAGTCATAAGATATTACAACCACTTCTGTGAGTGATTAAAGCATTTGTTGTTTTAGCAATTTAAACCATAAATTTTTGGTGAAATTTTGGATAATACTGCCTTTCCTACTTGTACGCCCCTCCTTTGGTAAGTTCGCTAAGAGCATAATATTGTTCTTCCAATATTCTTTTTATTTAGCACACTGGCAAAGAACTTTAAAATATCTTTTTTATACATAATTTCTAGTTCTTCCACTATTTTATTTAATTACACTTGAAAAGAATTTTAATATCTTTTTATACATAATTTATAGTTTCTTTTCCGTAAATTTAAACTTTAGAGTAAGTGACCCTGCTAAAAACCTGTTTGCTAAGACAATAAGCATGCTCTTTATTCTGCTTACTCTTGGTAAATATAAACATATGAATAACTACTCTACGCCGCAAAGGAATTATAGAGGAGCATTTTGCTTTAAACATACATATTTATAAAGTCGTAAGAACCGTAAATTACAGCAGTTTTATTAAATGCTGTATGGCGCTCTACCTTTTACTAGTATATATAAGTTTATGAGACGGTGGTGTGTTTCTTCATCGGGTCCTAAAAGGGTCTATTTAACGTTTTAAAGTCAGCACAACCTAAGTAATATCTTTAAAAGGTCAGCTTATCTGCTAACCAAGATCTTGAATAATTTTTAAGAATCCACTACTCATTCTTGAGCTCGCTTTATAAATTGTGTTGCGGTCTAAAGAAATAGGTAGATGGTTAAAAATTACTTGACTAAATTAACCAACGCTGTGTGTAATAGAGCTTGTATACAGATTACAAGCAATATAATAAAATTGCTAAAAGTCAAAAGTAACAATAACTTTTATGTTGTTACTTAAGTATGCGGTCAAAAAAACCATAAGTTTTCAAAATCTGCAGTTAATTTCCAGCTCAAAAACAGACCAACATGGCTAGAAAATTTATTACTTGTGGGAATAGTTTTTCTTCAGTAGTCTTACACCGAAGGAAAAGGTATTAATAGGATTCTCTTTACTTTATATTTATAGTGCTTTCCCAGCAACCGTTTATAATAAAACAAAGCAACCTACCTTTTTTAAACGGCTTATATTAAAGAAAACATTGAAGCAAAGAAACGTTCTAAGTAAACTACAAAAAAGTTAATTTTATGGTAAATTAATATATATACTACCCTTACCACAAAAAATTATTAACGCCTGAATAATTTTTAACAAAAGCAAGAACATTTTTAATTAATAAAAAAGTAAAGTTCCGAGTAACAGAAATAATTCAGTTTGAGCAAACTAAGGGAACACGGTCAAGTAGATATAAATATAACCAAGAATTAACATTTTTTAAAATATGACTTCGAAACTTTATTCTCTCCAGGAAAACCCTCCGCAATAAAATGATTAAAAAATTTGATTCACCTAAATAAAAAACAAACTTTAAAGTATACAATCTCAATTTTAATAATAAGTGGAGAAATTGTACATTTAATAACAACAAGAGCAATCGAAAGGACAATCAGGTGCGCTACCGCCTTGCCCCAACTTAAGTTCTTTTTCACTATAAACAAGCAATCCTTCAAACACTTTTCGCTTTCGTTCGCCTCTTGAGTCATAGAAGTCATCATTTAGCTCGGGTACGGGTATATTTGTTACGTTTAAATTTTTATTCTTCCCGTAACTTTTCGTTATGTTCTTTTTATCTTTAGCAGAACTAAAAATTGTATCAATTTCGTTTGCAACCTTTTCTTTCAAATTAAAATCATCTGTTGCAACCTTCTCTTTCTCCAACTTTTTTTCAAACTTTTTATGAGAATTTCTGCTCCTTGCGGAGGAGATCTTTACAATACTTTTCTTATTATTAAAAGCTGGCGTAGATTTAATTACACTTTTTTTTTTCATTGTTAAAACATCAGGTGTAGTCAAGCTCTCCAAGCTGATGACTAATGTAAGAAACCCTCGAACTTGAATAGCTAAGGAAATACGGAAGGTCGAAAGTTCTCCACTCGCGTGGTTTAACCCCAATTAACAAATAAGCAAACCATTTTTAATAATACATGAAAGAAGATATTTGGCAGGGAGATGGTGTCTGAGTAGCTTGAAGCTGCCATTATAATATAAGGCTCTTTAAAATAAAAACCCCACACATGTCTTAAGTTGACCATTGAAAGTTATAAAACTAAATTGTACACATTAATGCCCTTTTAAAATTATTTTATCTTCCAGGAAATAAAGAAATATAGAAGACTATATAAGCTAAGCTAAGCTCAGATCCATAACGCTGTGAAGTCTGCAGATTTAACTTAGTTGACTGGAACTGTGGGCTATTAATTGAATGACTTTTAAAATACTTGCTTTTTTTATATTATAATTGTAATGATTATAAAGACTCTGTCCTTAGGTACAATAGCGATAAATGGTAATAGGAAATATATAGTGAATATATATATTAATTAATGAAACCTAGAGATCAAATTTAACACTAATTTAACTTCACCTTTTTTTATTAAACGTGAAGAATTTAATAACTAGTTGCGGGGTATGTAAGTATATGTTATTTTTAAACTTCAAGTTGTATATAATGATATTTACAACCGAACTCTTAACTTTGCTACACTACAAAGTTTGTAATAACAAGCCATAACACGGATAAAATAGATTAAATATGACTAATCAACAAGTAATTCGCAGTAAAAATCAATTATAAATAATTTTAAAAGTTACGCCTCTTCTATTAAAAACAGAAGATTAATATTTAATTTTTTAAAACTTTATAACTTCGTTTGCACAGAGGTAGGACAGGAAAACTATATTCAGTCCGAGACGACTACCTGGACCATCTAAAAGTTATTAAGTTTGATTAGTATATTTACTACAAGGAGCTTTTAGGATGAACTACATCTTTAATAATTTGTCTTTGCTTCCGCTAGCGATCCTCTCGCCATCAGGGCTCCAATCAACGGCAAAGACCTGTACACGGTCGTAAAGCTTCTGTTAATAATTAATAAGTAAAGAACCTCATCGGCATGTCCCGGTAACTCCAAAAGTTGCTTTTTCCTATGAACATCCCAAACCTGTTGTAATAAGCATTGGCACTAAGAGAAAGATATGATATATAAAGTAAAGCTTCTTTAATAGTGGAATCCCTGCTGGCGCTAACGAGTAGTCGGCTATCAGGTGACCAACAAAGTTGGTATACTGAGCCCACGTGGCCTCTAAAAGTGGCCAGAAATCTGTTGGAAAAGTCAACAGATGAACTTTTAATACTGATAAAGAAACGTTTTTACTTTCCGCTTTGCCCGTCCCAAAGCTTTATACTCTTGTCAAAGGACGCAGACGCGAACAACCGCCCGTCTGGAGAGAAGCGCACCTGGGCAGAGAGTAGCGAAGGTGATATAGGAAGAGGCACAATAACTACTGACCTCGTTAATCAGTTGCTGGTGGCCAGTGAGACGACACAGACTTTTCTCGCTTTTCTTAGGGCGCCACATAAATATGGTAAAATCTAAAGAAAAATAGTAACGCTAGCGCCCGGTGCGAGCTTTATCAACACGAACTACCATCGCTCCCCGAGGCCAGGATTTCTCCTCCAACGACGGATACTACACTTTGGTAGCGACTGAAAGCATCTTTTTGGGCTTGCAAAGAAAAGGTGAAAAGCTCGTATAACAATAAACCCAAAAATACAGTAAAACCCGAGATATCTACAGCCTCGCGCATTCCAAGGTGATTAAAGGGCCCGCAGCGTAGGACATAGGAAACATTGAAGCCCATGGTGTTTATCCAGTGCGCATGCCCTTTCAGCGTGTAGCACAAAGACTGCAGCACTATATAAACTTACTAACCAGGAAACACTCTAAAAGGGTGGTACCCCCGTCTCAGCCTTCCAAACTTTTATAGTTCTATCTTGAGAGGCTGAGTAGATAAGGCCCTGTCCTTAAACGATAAGGGAAAAAAAAAAGCTAAAGCAGGCGGGGTGCATACCTCACCGCCCCAAGCGACGCAAGTCACGCTCATAGTGTGACCCGAAAGGGTGTACTCACAAATCCCTGTGGGGTTATTAACTTTATAGAAAACTACAACGACTGCAAAAAGGCACCCGTCGAAGTATTCCACACCCGAAGGGTCGTGTCTTTGGAAGAAGACGCCAATCGCTCGCACTTGGGATTCCTAGAGCATCGCACAGAGCTCAACAATGCGTAGTCTCTAACTTATATGCGTGATACACGTGAAAAGGCTCCCACGATAGACATGTTATGTATTTCTGGTGCCCTCTGAGCGCCTTTCCGAGTTGGGCTCCGGATGCGCCGTTCCAAATATAAATCTAGGCATTCTAAGATTAGTAACTTCTTATGACTCTTTAGAAAACCTAATACTTACAGGGAAGTAAACAAAAGTTTAATAACAACAAAGATGCGATACAAGTGACAGCAAAATATATAAACTAAATTAAGAGTAAAAAAAAAAGAAATTACACAACGAGATTTAGAGTGCTACGTGGTCCTTAACGAAGAAAAAAGGCTCTCAAAGTAACAAAAGAGAGTAATATAAACAACCTCGTTATCCATTCCGCCAGATGCCAACTTTAATCCGTCAGGAGACCAAGACACAAATAATACCCAATTTGAATGACCTCTTATTATTTTATAAATATTTACTCTTATTATAATTACTTCATATTTATATCAACTAAAACCTTTACAAACTTTATCAGGTAAATTCGTATTGAGGTCCCAAAAGCGAACAGTTGTATCTCCGGAGCCACTGACTAAACGTCTAAAGTAATAAATCAGACAACTAATGAGAATAGAAAGTCTTCTTGAGTACTTTCCATCAGGGCTGAATTGAGTAGTAAGTACAGCCTCTTCATGGCCTTAACAAGTTAAACGTTAGTCAAATATCGGAACTTTAATAAATAAAATTTATTATTTTACAAAAAATAGTATGCAACCTGATAGAGAGGCCATACAACGACTAACGGCCCTGACCCTAAAAACTGCTTGAGGTCTGTACACAATTTCAATAGTAGATTCCTTGGAAGTCTTAGTTGATATTATAAAAAAAAATTAAAATAAATTTTATTTTTTAAAAAAACTACTTTAAAACTACTTTAGTAACAGCAATTGCAGAAGCTAAATCTTTGATGATCTCTTCTCCATCAATAAAGAAGGCGTACGGAACTATTTCCTCCTAAAATAGCTTACAAAGCATTAAAAAAAAATTTGTGAAGAAGTTACATTTGAAAGGATATCATTTAAAAGAATAGAGAGTTGCTCAGTGGTGACACTCTCGGGTAAATCGAGTGGAGGCCCTGCAAGTAGAACGGGTATAAACGTTGACAAGTAGAGGATTTACAATATAAAAGCTACACGCGCCGCTAATAAATAAATAAGAAATATATAAATTTTTACCTTTAACTTCGCCGGTTTCATTTTTAAACTGTGCAAAAAGTTTTAAAGTAAGCGAACCGCCGGTCATAACAGAAAACTTTCTTTTATAAAACTTGGTAACTTCCTCGCATTGTAATAGCAAAATTCATGTCACGCGCTTTCCTTTTACTCCGCTTTCTGCTTTTGACTCTCTTTTGTTTATAGGCATTAGGCTTTAACGCAATTCGTATTACAATTTTACGCTCTCTTTATCAACTATTCAATGTCGGATAATTTAGTATTCTTTTGCGGATGGGAATTCCATAATATAGAAAATTTGGAGGATCACTTGGATATGGTTTCTAATTAATAACCTTTGAGAAATTTCTCTTGCTACTCTAAAGTAATAAAAGTGCTTCGAGTTGGGACTGCAATACTGTCTTGTACCTATATGTAAAAAAACTAGAAAAAAACTTGTGGACAAGCTGGTTTTGTCTAAAAATAAAGTTGGGTTACCTCCTCTTAGTTTTAACGATGTCAACTTAATTCGCCAAAGTCTTGATTTGTCTCTTATGATTTTGCTCCATCCTCTGAAGTTATTTTTGCGTAGAACATAATGCTGCAACAGGAGCCGTTTTATCAGATTGGTTTAATCTTGATAGTAATAATGAACAAATCGCTTATGTTCACGAACAAGTATTATTATAATTCTTTGTGCATTAAGGCTTTTTATTATATCGTATTTGTTTTTTATAAAGGCAGTCCACCAGGAGTTAATGCTTTCTCAACACATCGGTGTTCCTGTTGTGGTTCTTCCTTCTTTTATTGACGAGCAATTTGTTAATTATGCGCGGGTTATAAAATCTTTTCTACACGGTTACACCTCAGCTCAGGTTTTTTTTTATATTATGAAAGGTTATATGTCTTTTACTCTCTGATTAACGTTAGAAAAATACAACTTATTTTTTATCTTTGATATTATTTGATTTTATTCCCTTCGTATATTTTGTCTTGATATTCTGTATATTGCCCTTTACTTAACTTGCAGAAGTCTGATTACCGTTAGTATCATTTCTTTTTATCAATATTATCTATTATTTTTTAAAGAAACTTTTTCTTTGCAAGTCTACTTGGTTCTATTGGCGTCCCGTTTCCTTTTATCTTATCTGGACTAGAAATTTCTAATAAAACATTGCCTTTCCTTTTTTCTCTTCTTTAGTACTGGCTGCGAGTGAAACTTTTGTCCTCGTACGATTGTGCAGTTGCTTGGAGACGGTAATTAGTAATGTATATTTTAAATTAACTGCAAATACAAATTTTTGTTGGCCAGGTGGGACTTCTTCCGGACTCTTGTGAGGTCGAATAGTAAACTCTTTGTTGCTCTTGAACTGTCTTCCGAGTCTCCGGAGGACATCTTTATGGGCCCGTGGTGCAGTGAAGTCGTTAAGGCACGTGTTTAGTGTTGGTAGTAGACTCCGTTTTACAAAAAACCGCCACCAGAGTATATTTTTGCCGTGCGATCTCTTCCTGAAAAACGCTAAAGGGTTTCCTGTATTGAAGAAAAAGCACCAATCATTTGTAGAAAGCTTCTTTCGGGTTATATTATTCCCGTTGCATATTATTTCAGGTTATCATATCCTCAATATTCTCAGTTTCCTGCCATCCGGTACACCTTGACGGGGACGCCTTGGCATCCCTGTGGCATAAGGCCTTATTTAGAAGTATATACTTTGTTGTATTTCCTGTCGATTTCTTCACCACCTTTTTTCTCGATGCGTGTCGGTAGTATATGCAGTTCTTATTCCAGAAGAGACCTCCGTCGTCTCTGATCGATAACTTTTCTGTGGGGTACGAAGACTATCTGCAAGCCCCTCTTCAGGTTTCACAAATATGCTGTTGACTGCGGCTCTTGTTTTCTTATTCTTATGTTACGCCAGCCACTCATGGACAACCTCGAGTCTTCGACTTACGAGGTTTTCGAAATGGACCCCGTCAAGTATAATCTATACGAGGAAGCAATCTATAAGGCCCTTTTGGATAAAAAGTCCGGTACCCGTAAATCTTATGCGGACTCGCAGCGTGTGTTTAGTAGTTCCGTGAATGCAGAGGACCCCCTCGTGGTATGTGTGGTGGGCGCTGGGAGAGGGCCACTCGTCTCTCGCTGTCTGGTGGCTGCAGCTAGGGCTGAGCAGCAGGTCGAAGTTTGTGCTCTTGAGAAAAACCCAAACGCTGTTATATCGTATTTCATATATAGTGACCGGCCTTAACCACTTTGCCAAGCAGTAATATCTAATAAGTTTAGCTTACAAAAGAAAAACGTGGAGGAGTGGGACGGTTGCGTTCACGTGGTGTGTGCAGATATGCGCTTCTCTGGACCGCCAAAGCAGGTTTGTGCCACGTTAACCAACGATTATTAGTCACGTGCAATATATCATACTACTGCAGGTGGATCTACTCGTTAGTGAACTGCTGGGGTCGTTCGGCGACAACGAACTTTCGCCAGAATGTTTGGACGGCGCGCAGCTATTTCTCAGAGGTTTCATAGAGCCCCTGCGCTTCGCTTTGATAGAAATGCCAGATAACCAGAGGGCGGAGTAATCATACCCACCAGCTACACTTCCTTTATAGCCCCTCTAATGGCCCCTAAGCTTCACGCTGGTTTGGATACTCAGCCCCCCTCGTCCCTTTGCTTGCGGAAACTCACAAACTTCGGTGGGGCTTGTTACGTGTATCCTTGTGCGCTGGCGTTTATTGATTGCGCATATCAGAGACACCGTATGTGGTTCGCATGAAGTGCGCTCACGTGATGTCCTCGCCGCAGCCGCTGTTTACTTTCACTCATCCGAACTACGGTGTTGTTATATTTAGAAAACTTCAGACGGGGAGAGGACCACTTTTTGCCTATAGAGACTCCTATCGACAATACTCGCTTTGGAGGCAAAACGTATATCATGAATACTTGCGGGCGTTTGCACGGGATTGTTGGGTTCTTTGAAGCAGTGCTCTACAAGGACATCGTACTCAGTACACTTTGCTGAAAGTACGGTCTTCAACCTATAAAAGAGTGCTTCTCCAGGTATCCTCCCAGAGACGCACTCGGTAGACATGGTAAGTTGGTTCCCTATCTACTTTCCTATCGAAAAACCAATCAGCGTTCGTCAAAATGACGAAGTGACCATCTACTTTTGGCGAAAGGCGGATAAGCGCAAGGTTGTTTAGCTTTCAAGGTTTGGAGGGGGGCTGTACCACGGACTCTTCATACTTTACTTCAGGTCTGGTATGAATGGTGCGTTAAGGGTCCTGAAGCCTCGACGATCCACAATATAAATGCAAGATCCTATTTCATTGGGTTTTAAAGTGACTCTCAAATAACTTAATAAATGACTCCACTTAATTTTGATTGCACAGACATGGACTAATAAGAAACTAGCAGAATCTTTTATTTAGTCATGAGGGGGCTTACAGGGTCCAACAAAGTAAAACTGGAAATGCACTTCAGAAACCAGCTGACCGGCACAATACACGTGCCAGATCCACAAGGGGTGCTCGCATTCGTGTCGTTTTCAACAACAATAAAATGAGTATAATTGTTGTTAATACTATCGTGGGTGTCCCGCATACGAAGGCGATAATGAAAGGGAGTTGCGTTGTCCTGAGTTTCAACTGTTTTTGGTTCCCTGCTCAACACCATCCCGCCTGATCGTGAACAAAAGCAATCCCAAAGGAAGTACAACATATAACATATTAGAAATGCCTCCAGTTGTGGCCAAGGAAGTAAGCTCGCTTTTGGTGGGCTGAGAAAACTGCCCGCGAAAGAAGAAATGGCAGCCGTCAAATAGTGGTGGATACTCGATTAAGAAACAGAAGACTTTAAAAGTGGCACACCAGCACACGCAGCTTTTATAGTACATCGTTGATCTTATTCGCTCTACCCTTCCGTGGTCCGCCCAGAGCAGTACCGTCTCCCCTCACTAGTTCGATTTTTAGTAGAAAAATGAAAGGGCATTTATCCCGAGCACCTTCGAATCCTGATTCGTCCTTGATGCGTTTCTCCTTAGCTGAGTCGAATAACCCTAAAGGCAACACGATAGGGAGACGCACAGTAAAAGACCGAGTTTGCAATACAATTTGTGTCGACGATCCACATCCCCAACAAAACGCCCGTCAGAAATTTTATGGTGCGTTTAGCACAGCCCTCGTGGTTAACAGGGGTAAGCAGGTGCGTGGCTGCGTATTAACGTGCTGTCAGCAAATTAATAAAAGCAACACTGCATATGCTACTAGTTCCGGCCACGTGACTTTGAACGGTCATATTCAAGTTCTTCGCAGCGGCCTCCCATACGCTCTTTAGTAGTAAGCATAACAGGCAAGACTAAGTTGCAAGCAGAAGACGACACCCACCCGCTCTACTGCATCGCCCCCAGTAAAAGCAACGTTGTACTGACTATTTTCAGAAGCAAGAGGAGAGGAGATTGGTGAGACCGAGCGAGGGCAGAGGGAGGTCGCCGGCTCTATCAAACAAGGCAGACTTTCGAGGTCGAAACTTTCTGGGGGATGAGCGCTCATGAAGTTGATAATTTTTCCTTTCACAGTTTCGTTAGAGACGTAGTCCACCGGCAGCAGGCCGTTCTTGTCTCTTTTGTACGGGTTCGCCTTGTTCTGGTATTACCATGAACTTTGCTAACTGCTAAACTCATTGTATCGATACATTGGAGTACTTGAAGGAGTAAAAAGGCCACGTCGTGGTTCCCGTTGCTCAAGGCGTCGTGCAGGGGCGTCGTATTACAGTAGGCTTCGAGTTAATTTAAAAGTTGGTTTTTGTTCTTCTTCAGAAGTCTACCTGCTTGGTTCACCTTTGCTCCTGCTTGTAGTAAAAGCTCAGCCACTTCGTAGTGATTGTGGTTGCAAGCTTCGTGCTGTTCATAGCCTCGTTATGAAGTGCTATATGTATGTTAAATGGCGTTTACCAGTGGTGTCCAGCCAGCGTTATCCTTTGCATTAATGTCGCACTCGGGGAGGAGCAAAAGCGCTTTTACTGTTTTTGTATTTCCTTTTTTCAAGATATACGATTTTCTTCAAACCACAGAAATTTTATTAAAAAATAACATACCCTTCATAGCTGCGCGATGGAGCAGTGTTTCTCCCTTAGCGTTGCGCTTTAAAGACTTGGGAGTGACCTGAATAAAGTGTTAAGTGATAAAGCAGCGCAGTAATCATAATAATAATAGTACAAGCGTAGGAGCAGAGCCTCTTTTCCCCTTATTTCTTTCCGTGTTGCAGAATTCATCTTTTCTTTTGTCAACGGGCACCGATTGTTCTTTCTTATATTATTTATAATTTCTATAATAAGTTGGACCTATACTAATAACACGTTGAAAACCTTCGTTTCAGTTGGATAACTGAGAATTATTTGTTCTTTAACAACTCCTTCTGCGTTACCAATGTCAAGTATAGAATGCACTACACGTTTACTTTTAATAGATTACTAAATTTATAAAGACAACTACTCTATCTTAAAAGTGTTTTAGAAGAAATATTATTAAATAATGTTTTATTTAGTGCGGTATAAACATAAGTTAAAAAGAACTTGGGACTTCTCTCTTTGATATCGCTTATTTTATGTTTATTATCTTCAGATCCAAATAAATTGGAGTTAAATAATTCTTCAGCTCCGTCAACAACATTCTCTTGAGCTTTTACTTTTGTCACACTAGTATGCTCAGAAAAAGTCCAATCTGATTTAAAAAGTTGTAAATAATAGAGTTTATCATAATAACATTATAAAATTATAAGCCATTTAAAGAAGCATAAAATTCTTTTTCTGCGGTTATTAAAGATTGTAGTAGAGTGTTTGACTTCAAGTCTTTTTTCCAAGTAGGGATATCGCAAACAGGACATCTACTTCTTTTAGCTATTTCCTCGTAAATACAAGCTCTATATAGGGCATGGATATAGCAACCACAAATAAAATATTTGCCAGAAATTGTGGATATATTATTTAATAAATAAAACACATTTACCTACAAAAATGATGACTGCACTGCATGTTAGTAACAGGTTCTACAGCCAGCTCATAGCTTATATATTTAACGTTAGATTCACCAATATTTTATAGCAGTTCAGCCGTTTACATATTTTACAAGTAATAGAAGTTACCAAATTTCACAGGAAAGGGAAAACTTTAAATCCTTTAAAACTTTAAAGGTATTTTCCCAAAGAAAAACCATATTAATAGTGTCAAGGTTTTCTGTAATTAAGAGAGGTGATCTGGTTAAAGGTATATAGAAAGGCCTTTTATAAAGCTTAACCCAGAAATTTAAGAGTTTGTCAAAGATGAAATATTCAAAAACTAATATTTAACTCATACACAGAATTTTGATAGCTGAAACACTACGGAATACTACAAAAGCTATGAGAACATAACAAAATTTGTTATACGTAATTTATCGGCAGAAATGCAGATCACCACCGTAGTTCAGTGATTAGAGCGCTGTCGCGCAAACTCAAGGTCGCGGTTCGGCCTCCCGTTAGTGCCAACTCGCATTGTTCTTGTTTGGCGGTTATGTGTTCGACTTCCCTATAAAAAAAGTACTGAGAGAATAAACTGTTGCGCGCAGATTTAATTCTGTTTGCGGATGTCCCTTTTGCACCTCTACATCCCAATAATTACCACTCTTACTTTTAATTTTAAAAATGACTTTTTTATTCATTTACGTTGACTTGAGAAGTATTTAAGCTACATTAGGGCAATTAACTCATCTTCTTTTGCGTAGTGGCCGTGGCCGTGAAGATTCCAAATGTTAATTTTTTAGAGGTTATGAACAGAAGTACATTATTGAATAAAGAATTACTATGTAAGTATAATGTATGTTAATATTACAAAAAAAAATGATTTAGCGTGACATATATTTATGTATTGCCTTTAAATTTAATAAAATAACCTATTTATTTAGTTCGCGGTTAGGAAATAATCATTAGCTGCAAATGACTGAATAATAACGACATAATTTTGATTCCTATTTTTTCGGGCCTGCCCGCTACAATATTTCCCTTTTAATATCGTTTGGCTTATAATTTCTGGTTATCTTTTAAGTAATAAGTTATCGCTAACTTGTTGAAAGCTGTAAAAGATTATTAAACAAGGTCTCTTCTGAGTCTTAGCAACTATATAATTAATAAACATCTGACTTTTTTTTTAAGTTCCCTTTACGCCTGGTAGTTGCGTTTTAACATTTATATAGTAGAGTCATATTTATCGCTTCATCAAATTAAATTTCATTGTGAAAAAAAAAATTTTAGCAGCAATTTTGCACCATTTACAGACAAATAGCACCCACTTCACTCAGCAAAGTAGATCATTAGAAATTTAAAAACAAAAAAACCTATAATAAGTAAACCTACAAACGTGTTTTATCCTTGTATCAGAAGCTTGAGTATAATAGACCAAAACTTACTATTCCTAACTACTTTTCACGGAAAAAGACTCGGTTTTAATCGTTCAGGATGAACGGTATCTTTTTTTATCTTACCAGTTTGCGGTTTTGAGAACGCATCATCTAAGAAGATAGACAAATATTCTTAACGATACATTTAAGTTCAGGAATATTTATGTATATAAAGCAGTGTTTAATAGTAGAATACTTGATTACAATTAATTATAATTTTTCCTAGATAAGCTAGAACCTAAGTTTACCAGCTTGTTCAGTTCGAAAGAAGTTTTCGTAAAATATTTGGAAAATCAAAAACATACTTCAATTCAAGTTTAAAAAAAATAAGGTTAGAATTTTGGTATCAAACTGCAGTAAATAAAAATTTCGTCTAAGTACTTTACTTAATGCTTAGGGCTTCTTGACTCAATATAACGTGGATGACCTTGCTTTGCAGTACAAGTTTTAATCTTCAATTTTTTTTTGAAGTTCAAATGTTGCTTTACAGTTTGTTTAAATGGTTAACGCTTGCTATGTAACGTTGAAGTTTTCTGATCGCAGTACACTATTCTTTGTCCTTCGACTCTCCAAGCATACCATATAGAATACTATCCATATTCGTGTATACGGGCATAGCAATTGCCGCCCTCTCTTTCTTTGTAAAGTCCTCTTCCCCTTTATCGTTCGTCAAAGAAAATCTTAAAGTATCCTTTAAATTCTCTCCCTTTCTTTAATTTAGCCCTTTTCTCTCCGCTTTAATTTCAAATCACCACAAACATTAGAAGAATCATTTCTTTCGGCAGTTCCCCTTTCTCCGTTTTCCCTTTATCTTTTGTTTGTAAATATATTGCTTTGAAACTAGTTCCGTTTCGCCCTCATTAGTTTATTGACCACTCTGTTGGGCAAATTCTGTGGGACTCAAGTTCACTTCTTCTATGTTTCCGTAAAACGCTATTAGTCTGGTCGATTAACGAAGATATTATAAGAAAGTTTTATTCGTTCGGGGGTGCTTTCAAATTAATAATCGTGCCGTCGTTAAAAGTAAATTAATATATCCTTAATTTGGTTAAGTCTGATTTCAAAATTACAAAACGCTTTCCAAGCCATATGTTATGTCTCCTTTAACTTTTAGAATACTTTGGCTCTTTCGAAGGTAGTTTAGACTCCAACAACTGTAATAATTATTATCTTAAATAATTTGGTGACCTTTTAATCCCTAATTATATGCATATCGCACAAACTATGTGTGGTCAGGGTTATTTTGAACTAGGAAGTCACGCCTGGTTATTCCTATGTTTAGCAGAGTTTTCATTCATCAATAGAATCGCTCTCCTTAAAATATGCTTAACACCGTTAACCTTCTGCATTTGAAAGTTATGTCTAAGCAAAATGTATATGCCCCCTTCCTTGATTTTGTAGATGTAATTAAAATTGTTAATATTAAATCATACATAATAATATTATCTATAATAGTATTCTTTGTTTGTTACTATAATGTTATAGATGTCACCACTACAAAATTATAACTAATCAATACCATTTGACCTGGATTATCTTTGTTATATTCCGTTTATGAACTTATCTTGATCGAGTTTCTACTAAAGGTAGGACACAAATTACATTTTACTTCCAAACTTTTATATGGTTTATCATATATTTTTTTGTAAAAAAATTCCATTTTTATTCCAAAATTATCAAAAATAGTGAAGGAATACAGTTTTTACGATGTGATTGCTAAAACTTATTTACTATGTGACTGAGAAAGACAGTAAAGAGTTGTTAAAAAGGATTACATATGTAACATTTTTCAAGTCAAAGTGTTTAAAGGCCCTAAGTAGTATTGTTTTTATTTTTAAGAGCTGAATAGTCAGAGCCGTAAGGCTGCTGCCACCCGGTAGCCTTTTACATCTTCCTACTAAAACCAACGATTGCGCGTTAGTGCTCAGAACACTTACGCCGAAAAATTGGCTAATAAATTCCGTATACTTCTTTTGTTATATGCAGCCTGTGCCTATGCTTAATAATAACCAAAAGTTTTGTAGACCTATTCTTATATATATAATAAGGGGTTTGCTTCCCTGTGTTCTAAAAATTACAAGTAGAAAATCAAATTTCTTAGAGTTGCAACCTCAACATCCTACCCTTCTTCCGAGAAATATTGTGACTGTCCTTCAACTAGGTGCATGTCTTAAATAATGCTTATAAAATTAAAAATAACTAAAAAGCTCTTGAAGACAGTTACTGATAGGTCTTGTGATCTAGCGTGATAACTACCAAAGGGTAAAACTAACCAAACCATTATACCTTGTTGGCATCAATTATTTAGCAATAATTCTTTATAGAAACTAGCATCTAGAGTTATTATTTAGCATGACAACCTTTTTCAGACGTTATTTTGGTAAGCGAGCTAGTTATAATACAGAGAAGTAGCTAGTAGTACTGGTAATTTTAGAAAATTTTAAGCGGTTCAAGCTATTTATCTCAGAGGTGCAAAATAAACTGGGTTACTAGCCTAAAAATAGCCTTCCAGAATAATTTATTATTAAAGTTTAGTGCAGTGTTTTTAAAACAGCTATGTGATGCTTATAGCACGTAGAACTATCTCGCATTATAACATTCTAATCATAAGTTCAGCCCTACAATGTTTGGTTTAATTGGCTTTGGAGCTGTTACAGCCTGCGGAGGAGTATATTAATGTTGCTTGCTCACGGCGCACGGGCAGTTTTTGAGGTTTGCTAACTTTCCCAGTTTCTCGGACAAGTTTATAATATACCCGCTAAATACTCGTGTAGAATACCATACCTAAAGTTATGGTGGTTATATCGATGAATGCTAGAAATAGTATCAGGCCCACCGGTGCCAGAAGTTTTCTTTGCTAGTGCCTGGCTAGTTTCCACTGTGCTTTGATAGTTGGCTTGAGTATTTAACACATACTCAGAGCTGGTTTTTAAATTGTTGTAGCAGTGTGTTTTTTTGTTGTACTATAACATTTATTACCTTTAAGGAACTTAAGCTAGTAACATGCTTTTCATTATGTTAAAGCTTCAGAGCCATAACTAAAGGTTCACCCATATGTGAGTAATTGTAAGTGAGCCAGCTCTAAAACTAAAACTTTTTGTCCTCATGCTTTTAAAAATCACAGTAGCCCTCCCGTGAAAACGCATACAGAAAAATTGAAGTCGCGATAAGGCTAAGTTTAGGGGCTGGATTTCCTTTATTTCATCTTTTGACCTATTTACTTAGCTATGGCATGAGTTCGAACGGTGGGCTTCACTCCCTCAAAGAATTTTTGGTTTTTTTTTTTGCATTTCTTATAAGTTTAACATTGTTAGCTACTGTGTTGTATTCAATACGCTTAGGCTAAGAGTCTAGATCGGCTCTACTGTGAATATAAGAAAAAGTTAACTTCATTTACGCCGATAGACTATAGTTTTGATAATTATTCCGGTGTTTGGAAAAGTTTAAATTTCTCTTTGTTCCATTATTGTCAGAAAGAGAAGGTCTACCTCCTTTACTACATAACATATTGGAACTTTAATATTTTTCCGTAGTACGCAAGGAAGGTAATACTCTTATACGTTTTTAGTTCCACTTTAGACTATCTCTCCGTCCCTATTATTGACGAAAAGCTTTTTCACTGGATCATATACACATTATACTCCCTTTTCACCACGCAAATTTGTAAAATGTCTTCTCTTTTACTTAGTCATAGCTGAATTTATTGTTAGGTTCTCCTAAAGCTTTTATAGAATTGAATCTTATCCAATGGTAGTCCTCATTCTTTTGTAGTTTTATAAGGCTTTTGAGACTCAATATCTTTAAGTAAATAGGAAGAAATTGTGTTTTCATTATGAGGAATTAAAAAAGAAACCCGAAGGTGAAAACGATTTTATTGACCTTCTTTACATTTACCGAAAGATGATTTCGAACAACTTTTTCGTTTATGGTTTTAAGTCATCTGACGCCGATGACTTTGCTTTTTTTACCGGTTTTATAAAAAGTTCAGTTTTAATATTTTTTTAATTTATGCTCTCCCCTCCAGTCCGGCAGACAAAGTTGAAACATTCTCCAGATACCTACAAAATTTTAAAGGATCCCGATCTTTTAGAAGGTTCCACCCGGTGGGGTCACCGCTTGCAATACCAACTTTTTAACTACTTATACAGATATTGTGAGCGGCTCTGACCTGACAAAACTCGGGGAATCTCTAACGAAGTATCACCATGCAAAAGAAGCAGCTCTGACGGTTAACTCGTTTCTTTCTAGCGCATCTGCTATAACAAATTTCTGATTTAAGAAAAAGCAACTTGAGGACCACTCTTATATTGATCTCCAATATGTTTTTAATATTCGAGAATTTCAAAATTCTTTTTATAAAAAGTTCGGGAGTCATATCAACTCTTTGAGAGATTATTTGAATAACAACCAAGAAGTCACAGAAGCGACTGGAAGCCTTCCTCGTGGTTTGTTTAGTTACTAAATGCTCCTCGCTTTTTTACATAATAATCTTTCTTTTTTTTACACAAAATATTTCTCAACAACGATTCTCAATTTAGCTTCGGACGACTCTCCGCCTAGTAAGACCCTTTTACGGCCTCCCACTTTTTAAGACAAGTTGCATATTCTTTACAGCTGCCTTACTGACGAAAAGCCACGGGACCGACGGCGACATGCCGGACTTTGACGTCTCTCCTCTGGAGAACGACAGCGAAGGAGATCTAGAACACTTGGGCTTGTCGTCCGACTGCGAAACTATCGAATAATTTGAAGGCCCATAACAACAATGCACAAAAGAGAACCCTCTGTGCGTTACTATAAGGAGTTTATTTGCATTGTATAATAAGGCTAAACAGCGATCGAGTTTGCTGCGCTCAGAGAACTTGCGAGTTGCATATTTCAATAAACTCCCGCTTGTTTATAGCTGCAAAGTAAGTGGCGTTACTAGCTTAACTGCGAACTCGAAACTTACATATATTTACAAGCTCCGCCTACGAGAAAACCGTCAATGTCTTCCATTTTTCCTAACATACACATGAAAAATTACTGTTCGAGACTTTTATCTAGAATAATATTGTTCTTGTGAAATACGCTTAAAAAAAGAGATTCGCTTGCCTAGATCTACACAGTTTTCCGCTTTAACAGAGCCGCCGTACACGATACTCATGCTTTCTGCTACGGTTGCCGAGACGCTAGTTCTTAGCCACTCCCGAATCACCTTATGCACTTCCTGAGCCTGTAGCCAAAAGAATTTTTATTTAAAGTATTCAATAGAAAATTAGAGCAAGACTATATCTATTTAGATAAAAATACCTCTTCTGGGGTGGCGACTTTTCCAGTGCCTATCGCCCAGACAGGCTCATAAGCAATGACAAGATTAGACCAATCCTTTAGTTTTTCTGTTGCGGCTTTAAGCTGCCTTAAACATACCTTAAAAGCACTTCTTTTCAACATAAAATAGAACTATAGTTTATAAAATAAACTTGTTTGGTTTCACCGGACTCTCTTTCCGAGCGCAACTCGCCTACACACAGTATGACTTTCATACCTTGACTAAGGAGGTATTCGCATTTTTCGCCTACTAACTATCAATGGCCTAAGTAAAAATAAGTTAGCTCGGAGTTGTCGAAGCATTAATACCTCATCGCTCTCGTTAAATATTATCCGTCTCTCAGAATGACCTATAATGGACCAATTAACTCCTATATCCTGTGATAAAGTTTACAATAAATTTATAAATTGGATAACAAAGAAATAAAAAATACTTTAAGCATATGACAAGATATTTCTCCAGTATAAGCACCCTTTTCATTTTTAAAACAGTTTTGTGCCGCAACAAACCAATCCTTTCGTAAATTATTTACGATGTTAGACAAATAAACTGAGGGAACGGCGACGCCAATTTCTGATAGAAGCAAATCATATGTTTTGAATTAATAAAAGTATTATATATCAAGTAAATATACTAAAATAAAAAAATAGAGAGCGAAATTTCCGTAATTGTTTAGGTTTTTAAGATAACGGATAATTAAGGTATGAAATCTTGTTACCAACATTTTGGTCTCTAATTTCGGCCTGATTGAAAAAATTAATTAAATCCTCATTGAATGACGTGCTGCCATTCATTTTCCAATTACCTGCGACGAAAAACTTTCGCTTCATTCTCAAGAACTTCAGAGTAGTTTAGCTGGAAGCCTTAAAAGATTGTTAATGGCTTCCAAAACTTACTAAATGAGGGGAAGAGGTTAGAGGTTAAAAGACAATAGACCGAATGATTCGATCCGATTATTACCAGTAAAGAGGCAGTACCTCTTACTTCTGAGTCGATTTAATAGGGCTCGTATACACTTATATTCCTTCGTAGAGCCTATAAAAATTTATAGTGGAAGTAAGCAGGGCTTTAAAATCATTCTGTTTACATAGCGTTTTTAGAGTTTATTATATCACATTAAAGCCGCCTTGATTTTAAATTTTTTCAGATCCATGTGATCATAGATAAATAATTCTGCGAAATTTAAACATTTTTTTTTTAGTCTTCTACTCATATAATAATTTTTATTATTCGGAAATGTGAAGGTTTAGATAATGTTGTGGGATTAAGTATCAGTTATTAGTGGTTACTCCCTAATAATAACAATGTCAATATTGTAAGTGAGAACTTTGTTTGAGTCGTACTAAAGGTATCTTTTTACTTGTACTATAAATAGGGTAAACGAATTGCTACTCTTTTAGCTTGGAAACACTTACTCAATATTTTCGTAGCATTACCGTGGAGAGCTATAATAAATATTTAGTCCATCCCAACGATTTACATCGAGACATAACCTATGGCGCGGATGCTTGCACTCTTTATAGAAGACCACGGCACTCACTGCCCTAAAGGTCTCCCGGGCGTAGTGGACTTCTTTTCTAATTTGTCAATCAGATTAAGTAGTTTAGACCTCTTCTAATCTTAGCAGGCTGTAGTATGTCAACTTTGTAAATAAATAATAACTCTTAGCTATAATTTTTACAAAACCTTTTTTAATTTAAGGCGTAGCCATTCACCCATTCAAAATATGAGTCAACTAACCTATTAACAATTTAACCTAATAAAAAGGTTTAATTATTTAGTAACTAAATATAGTAACATTAAACTATTTATAACGTAATTTTTTTAGATTCTTGGTTAAAGATTTAAAATTTTTCCGAACTATTACGGAAATAAACAAAAATTAATTTTTCTTACTGATGTCCGCCAAATAAAGTAAACCCACTATATGATGAACCCCACCCAAGCGCGCACGTTGATATTGCTTGTTACCAAACTCAAGTTAAAAAAAAATTCCCCAAAATAGAGGACATTGCAGTACTTACACAACTTACATTTTTTTAAATAGCACACATAAGCACATTTAATGTGCTTACTAAATTTTTTAAAATTGTAACTAAAAAGTAGAGTGACGTGACCTAATATATTAAGCGTTAGTCCACTCTCAGACTCACTTTTTAAGATTGCTTAACTTTAGCGCCAGTATTGATCAAAACAAAGGTTTGTAATAATAGGGCTTTTTGAATTATTTAACTCTGCCTGGACTCAGTACTAATCTTAATAATAATGTAATAAGTTATTCAGCCCAAATACCTTTTCACAATGGTTTGTTTAAAAAGAAAAAATCTTTCATGAACAAATATATAGGGTGTAACGCTAACCATCTTTTTTTAAAAAATTTTATAAAATTAGAATAAAATAATTTGCCTACTGAGTTCCTTTGCCTTAACTTAGTGTAAGTACGTCCTTTCCACCTTAAAAAAATTTTTTTGTTAAAGACTTTGATATTGAGTAGATTGCTTAAAGTATATAAAAAGGTGGAGTGTGCCTAGTCTAACTTTTAAAAAAGTCTGTAATTGTGTTCTTAAGTAAAGTACTACACAAGTTTTTTCTGGGCTTTTATAAAGGGGGAGTTCCAAGGAGTCAAAAAAAAAGCTCTCACAGTTATTAAAATTACATTACTTTAGTATATAGCACTTATATTAGAATAAGTAGAATATACTTTCTAATTGTCTCTTTACACAAGGAGGCAGGCTTCGCTATTTTCCTTCAGATGCTTTTAGCTTTTGTAATTACTCAAGCTGCAATAGCATGAAAGTGAGCTGTCCAGTGATGCATTGATATATATACGTGCAAAAGAGTATATATTAAATTTTTTAGAGTAAAACTTTCTAAATGTGATAAAACTCTAACTTAACATTCCCCAATTTATTTTTTTCTATCAAAGGAGTTCTTAAAATCCTAACAAACTTGCTAAGGCACAAGCTACCTTAGTATGTATATGAATATCTAACTAAATTTTAGGTAGAATAAATTAGCAGTTATAGAAAAACTGGTGAAAGTACGGTTGAAAAAACTAGTAGAACACGATATTTTAGTTTAAAAAAAATAATTTCAGCAGAAAACATGAAATATTCGCAGACTGCAAAGGGAGAAATAAAACAGATTTGTTAATTATATATAGAATAGACCTTTGTAAGCTATGGAAAAGGAAAACTTCATATATATAATTCCCTAAATAAGCCTTTAAAGAAGAGTTAAAATACAATTTGCCCTACTTACCATAAACAAAAAGATATTAAATTTAGGTCTCTAAGAAGAAACCAATAAATGATATTAAATATTAGTACTTCACCCCACGCCGTGGCCTCCTCTGTTAGTATAGCGGTTAGTACCCCCGCCTGTCACGCGGGTGACCAGGGTTCGACTCCCTGACAGAGAGGAGGTTCCGTCCCTTTTTAGGATGAAGGAAGTGCCTACTAATTTTAGTGGTAGGTCTTTCTATCATATTTGTAGTCCATATCTTAAACTTGGCGTGCGAGTCTCGTATTAAAACAACGTAACGTAGCTTTTTACTTACGAGAGCGTGGTACTTTTTTCTTGTTTTAACCTTTATGTTTTCAGCTTGTAAAATAATGGTTTCGAGTCCAATAACGCACAGTTCTCGCAGTTTTTTTCTTAGATCTTTCATATATAAATGTTAATAACTAGACTTTACTGAGTTATTGCAATCAGATCCTTCTTTTTTTTATTTATAATTAACTTCATTTTAAATACCGTTGAACAATTTATTACCCTCTTTGTTTTCTTTTAAAATTGCAGCTCTTGTTCTTTGCTTCCAGTCTACTATGTTAGTTTTCATATTACTGTTAAATAAGTGGGAGTATGACTTTATAAAAATATATTTACTTGTTACATATATGAGATATACATAAATGCAATATGGAAGGTTACATTATTGAGGTTGTACTCTCACACAATTACTCGTTCCTTGTGATTATAAAATATAGGAGCTAGGATTTAACAGGTATTTGAAGTATATAAGTGATAATTTTTGCGGAACTGGAAACTATAATAGATTAAATACGCGTCTTTACGTATTATAGTGAACATTGCTAAAATTTATGTCAAATAGTTTATTACCAGTTGTCAAAAATAACATAAGCTCAAGAAATTAAAAAAAGACATCTCGAAATATTTTCAAATTTACTTCTTTTTTTTTGGTCGACACTACTAAGCTTGGGCAAGAGGAAAATAGACCTACTCAGAAAAAAATAGGAAATATAATACAATATTATTCTTATTATCCTAATATATAAATTTATAGAAAAGTAATATCTTAAAGAAAGAAAATTTTTTCCAGATTAAAAAAAATAAAAACAGTTTCCAGACAACTAAAATTGGTGCGATATTATTATCGTGACAATATAAAGTTAAAGCTGTATGTGTTTTAAAAAATTTCATAAATTAAATTTCAGAAGAAACTAGTAGCTAACAGTTTCACATGTATGTGTGATTCCCGGTACTTAGTAGAAAGTACAGGTACTATAAGTTTTTGAAGCTTTAATTCATTAATTTTGCCAGTTATCCAACTTGTTTTTATTAAGGGCAAATTATTAAAAACTTTACTTATATACCCATATTATCATAGTACTGGGAGGCAACGTATAAGAAATATGATTTAGTGACCTGTGAAGAATTATAGCTGTGTGAGCAATGCGTCATTCATGTCTTTCATAAAATTTTACCATAAAGTAGTTACGAGAAATAAGAGGGTGCCTGAGCGCCAGATGAGCACTATAACAAAGGAAAAGGTATTTATCACACTGTATTTGGGAGCTGGGATCGTAGCTCAGTTGTTAAGAGCGTCGACAGGGTTTAATTCTCACCAACCAGACTCTTTTTTCCGGTCCTCGATGGGTTGATTTGTTTACTTTCGCATTGATGTTTGCTAATATAGTTTAAAAAGTAAAAAAGAAACTTAGCGCTCCCCACTGTTTCAACTATAAAAAGTTAACCCAAAATTTAAAAATCGGGGAGTTTTTAATTTTTAATTGAAGTCAAGTGGAGTACTTATAAATACACTAATAGTCGCTTACAGCAAGATGAATTCTTTGCCAAATAGTTTAAGGTTAGAAGATAAAATGGGGGGCTTATGGAGCTAATAACTATTATTTTTAAGTGTTCTGTCGCGTGGAAGAGAAATTTAGTGAATGAAAATATAGGTGACTGTTTAAATATGATACCTAATTTGTACGACTACCCCACAAGTGATGTTCGAGAGACAGTGTAAGCTACAAGGATAAGATGGACGCAATTTCGCATAGAAGGTGTGGTTGCTACATATAAGTTAGGTTTCGCTTAACTAAACACTTAGAGCCTAGATGTATTTTCTGATAATGCCGTTAAAAGAAGTCTTGCAAGCCTTAAATTTTATACTGACCAAAAAATTTGAAAGCAAGGCATGAGCAATTAGGCAACCTATCAATCGTAAAGATTATAATAATTTATAAAAATAATTACTTAAAACTAAAGTGTGACAAATATTCGATCTTCCTCCTAAAGGAATGCTAAACTAAAAACACTCCAAAAGTTAAATTCCTTTATTTTTAATATATTTTATCTCCCTTTCTATCCAAAGGATAGTAATAATGGTGTGTACGTCTAATAACCTCGCGTATACCCTTTAACCCTTTTATATTTTTTCATCTCAACTCTTACTCATCGAAAATCAGGTCAAGTAAGTTTCTTTCTCGGCTTGCTCAACTAAAACTATCGCTTTAAAACCTTAACCTTACGTACGAAAAATAATTAACGTTCCTCGTACCATAAGTTAAAGCTATACAAATTATTTCATATAAGAAAAACCAATTCTTTTTTCCATTACAAAATTCAGAATATAAAATTAGATGGTTTATTATTTCAACTCTTACGTTTGCATTTCTCCCTTTTGGCGCTATCTATATCTTTCTTTTTCCTTTTCTTTTTATTTTTTTTAGTTTTTTTATCTTTTTTTAAACTTCTGCTATTTTTCAGTTGAATAGATCCCAACCTAAAAATTGTTATGCCTATAATATAGGTAAAATATAAATTTTAAACTAAAAAGATATACAATTCGGTTGATAAACTTAAGTTTTCCATGAGCTGTTCCTTTCTTTGGCGTATTCGTTCACGCTGCAATTGGCGCTCTTATAAAAATTAGAAAAATTTAGCTGATTTATAAATTTAAATAACGAAAACCTCTCCTATACACGGAATTAAAATCGTCGAGAGATCTCCTTATTTTCTTCCGCTTTGATTTTTTATGAGAATTTAAATCTAAATTTGTAAATTACTAAAACTAATTTAGGACCAACTTACTACCTCGAAGCTCCCTTTTACGTTTTTCCCACATTAACTGTTCCTCCATAATCTAAAGTTAACAGTTATTTATTTAAAAAATAAGAGGAAAAGCTATGAAACCTAGGTTTATGTTAACTTTCTGACTTATTGTTGCGTTAACTTACTTTATTGCTTACGTCTACCCGGCGCAAAATTTGATTTAGAGCCTCTTTATCTATTATTTTTTTTGATCTGGATGTTGAAAACATATTTCGTATTTTCTATAAAAATTTATGTTCGAAAGCTATCTTAAATTGACACGTTGCTAGTAATTATATGATTGTGAGGAGTGGAGACGTAATGATGTAACACTTCAGATTAACTACTAAAAATTTAAAAATTAAAGCAAAATGAAGTTTTAACTTTTAATAATAGATAAGTTATCTGCTATCTAATTTTACATCTCTTTAACTAATAACATAGTAATGGCAGCGATACAAAGCAACACAAACGCACGACAAAATGCATTGGGCTTAGAGCACGCCGCGTCCAAGTGTCCTCAAAGAAACGCAATATAACCCTTTTAAGGTTGCGCCCCTAAATTCCTTAAGAAATGATTGGCCAAGGTGAATTTTAAGTTAAATGGTTTGTACACAGTTATTAATGTAATTCTAAAGTTTTTTACCAATGACAAAATGATTGATCATACAACTGAAACACTTAACACTTGAAACGGTTGCAATATATGTATTTATAGATGAAACTACTTTTCCTGGAGAAAAAAACACTTTTAACCATCCGACACGAGAAGTTAAAATGCCAGCTAGATATAGAACTGCGACATCTTTTGACAGAGCTCAAGGTAATTAAAGTTTGTAGATTCGATTGAGAATCACGTTATTCTCGCAACAAAAATATAAAAGAACTTTACTGCTTTGGGCACATAAAACAATTAGCTAATATCAAGCGAAACTTTACTGTTGTTTCTTTCTTTCATAATTCTAAGCTCCCCTTGAGCAACAAGAGGACAGTAGGGGAGACCTGGCTAACAGCTAAGCGAAATTAGTGTTTTATAAGTTTCACCTCTAACGACCGTAGTTTTATAGCGGTTTTTTTTCAATCTTAAGCCAAATGGCGTAAGTTTGAGGAAAAAACACCTATGCGTACTTCCTCCGAAGAATACACCGCCTTAACTTTTAAAGGAATACTAATTAAGCGACTTAAAGTTCGACCGTTGCACGAACAGTACTAAAACCTTTCTGAAGATGACAATGAAATCCGATAGACACATCTTTTGTAAAATAATAGTTCTAAGTAGTTTTATGTTTTTGACAACTAGTCCAGCAGTTAGTGTTTTGAATAGGCTTAAAAACCAAAATAAGAATTTGACAGAGCCAGTTTCTTTTTAATAACCCTTTAAATTCACTTACAGGTGCATTCTTACGCATTGCTGTATGATAATATCTAAACAATTGTACGGGTGTTATGACTCAAAAACAAACTCACTCGTCCAATTTTTTTTAATTAATATTATATCTGTCGTTTACGTAATATCATGAAAATTTTCACATTAACTTTGAAGATAGTATAAACATTATAGTGTACATAATAAAAATATTAAACGTATTTAAGGGGTACTAAGAATAAGTATTGGCAATGAAGTGGGGGGGGGGAGCACAATATTTAAATTCCTTCATTCATTACAATGTTATGGTGCAAACTTTCCATCCTTTTTTTTCCTATCTTACTTCCTACTCTCCAATATTTTCCTTACTTCCTTGTATCTGAGGGGTGATGGCCATTAAAAAATGAAAATGAATTTAACAAAGGAGTTCTGGTAACTTTTGAATAAATTTTAATTTTTTATATATGCTTTCGCTCCTTTACAAAATTGTCTCCGTCTCATAATTACTCTTGCTCAGGGATCTATTATCAAATGTGTAGAATTATTGTTCTTAAAACATTAACTGGTCTTTACTTTCCTTTTGATAAACCAAAATTAAGACCAACTTTATAAGTGCATTTCAATAAAATTCAATTAAAATAAATGTCGTGAAACGTTTTATAAAAAAAGGTAGATATTTAGGTTTTACCTAAATGGCGTTATAAGTCAAAAAACGCTAAAAATTAGAGTATATCACTGGGAGGACCTAAATTGTTGAAACTGGTTTGATTTACTGCATACACCGAATTGCTCCTCAAATGCATGCAATTAACTCGTTTAAGAGCTCATTAGGGGAAAGCGGAGCCCACATACTAAAAATTCTTTAAAGCACCCTTAATAAAAACAAAAAATTTTAAAAAATTTTAATCACTACTAACTTTAATAGACTTATCAAATTAACTCTAAAAAGTAACGTAACTTAGGACTTCTTATTACCGGGAAATAATATTACAGTTATAGAAAAAAGTAGTATCACACGAGAAACTAAGTTTGTTAAAAAATTTTATAAGGTAAGTATACTTAGAGCGAGGAAGTTAGTGACAATGTGTTTCCTGTGGAACCTGTTTTAATACTCACCAAAGGTAAATATATATTGAATAAAAATGATGCTATTCAAAGTTGGCGCGTAAGTAGGATTGTAAAGATTTTGTACCTGGCATCAAAAAAAGATCTTGAGACTATTTTAACAACAGTAAGGATCTGAAACGGACAATAAGGCACAAAAGTTTAGTTGATTAATAAGAGCCAATTTTTTATTTGTAAGGTAACGTAAAATTAAAAAAAAAAATACTAGCTTAAGGACTAGAAGTAAACTCAACAACTAATAACGAAAACGCCTTAAATTATAACTAAATTTTAAGTAATTTATGGATAAAATTTTCAATTATAGATTTTTTCCGTCTTTTTATAATTTATTTTAATGGTTTTAATTATAATACGTTTTTACTATTAGTACACAGCGACTTTCGTTTTAGCAAAAAATAAAAAAATTAAGTTGTGGGGAGGGAGAGGAGAACACGGAGACTGTGGTAATTTGTTATATTTGTTATCCGATACTATCTATTCTAGTTACCGAAGTATAATAAAGATTACTCAGTGCAGAAACAACATAATCAATTTATTTCACTGGCCCAGCGACGCTATTTAACGCAAGAAGCAGACCACCCGCAAACACGCGATAGAAGATCACTCGAGCCGCGCCACTAGCTAGCTTACTTACATAGTTTTACAACTTGACCGCACTTATATGCACTTGCTAACTACATATTTGTAAAAAGTTCAAAGCAAAGTACATAATATATTTAATTTATAATTCTTAACTATCTACAATAAAATTAAAATTAATTAGCATTTATGCAAATGGCAAAAACCGGTTAACATTGGCCGTTTCTGTTCTCTATTGTAGATTTATATTAACAGCTAATAAATTTATAGCAACCCTAATATAGAAATTTTGGGCTAACTAATAGAATTAATCATTAGAAACTTTTCTATTTAAAAAATATATTAAAACTAAATTAGTCCATAACAGTAGTATATATACTTTATACCCTGTACGATGGTATCTCGTCAAAGTTGCAGAAGTTAAGAGATATATTATGCTTAAAGTACACTCGAAAGCTACTCCTACATCATGTCAACAAACCCAAGGCCCTCCAAAAAAACATAGCCGTGTAAACGAACCAACAGGAAAACTGGTAAGTGAAGAAGAAAGAGTTTTCTATAAGGGAAGGGATAAACTTTTGTCTGTATGGATTGAAAATAATGAAAAATTTTTAGAAACCATAGAGGAATACATAGAAGAAAATTCTAAAAAAAGCCATCAGTCCAAAAAGTTAACAAAAATGACTTTGGCGTACCAGTTAACTTTAATTTCGGTAACTACATAGTGTAGGATGTGCGCTTATTATTAATACTTATATAATGCCAGCAAATTGAAGAGAAAATGGAAATGCCAAGCTTAAGAATTGCGGATTCTTTAATTAAAAGAAAGGCGATTATTCCAAATCTGCGGAAAGTTATACGAGAAACTCATGCTTTTACTAGTCAGTTACCGGAAGATCTGAAAGCTAGTTGGGTGGTGGAAATTCCAAAATGCTAAAATAAATGTCAAGCCTTTTGCACTACAACCCTAGGGCGTTTTCAATAACCTAGCTTTTTAAAAGTTTATAGTGCCTTTACGACTGATTATGAAGAGAAGAGTTGTGTTTTCCTGTCATACAGATTTTAGGGTAGAGATACTAGATAATAATCTGTTAGGTACGTGGTAATAATAACATATAGAAGGTGTAAAATTCTTTTTGACTGCAAACTATATTCCGAGCTTTGCAATAAGAAAAAAGGCAAGACAATAGCGACCTTTATTAAAACAATAGTGTAAATACCGTTCTTAAACGCTTAATTGTTTAATAAAATTAAAGCTAATCTAAATATATTATAATAAAACTGTAGACAAAGAATTAATTGACAAAAATGTTGAAAAGCAAGCCTTCATAGTAATTAAGCTATAATAGTTTTATAAAAACATAAATATATGGTTCATAGAAGTCTTAAAATTTATAAATACATAACGTTATGCAAAAAAAGCGTTCCTAAGTCTAAAAAGATTTACTAAATAAAAATGAAAAAAGTAGCATGTACGCTTAATTATGTTGAGTTGAAGAGCAACTTTACAAAAATACTATATTAAAGTTAACAAACTAAATTAATCTGCCTTTTAATATAATCAATGCCATTTTATGCCAGGTACACACGAGGCTACTCCTTTTATCGTTAATTATAAAAATCTATATTACAGGAAAAAAAAAATTTCTAAAAATTCGCATATAAACTAAAAAATAGTTCAAAGGAAAATTTTTTTCTAAAAAAGTTGCTTATCAGTATTACGGCTGTAAAAACTATAGTAAACAAACCTTTATTGTAACATGTGCAATAATTTTCTATAAACGTTTTATTATTTCATAAGTGCTTACTTATAAAACACAGTTAAAAAAAATTTTAAAATTAAATAAGATTAACATCTGCCCAAATAAAATTAGAGAAGCGACTTATAATTTCGTACGAAAAAGGCTTCCGCAGTTTAGGCAAATTTCTGCAAAATGAAAAACGTCAAGGGAAAGCTATCTTTAACCATTTTACTTATAAAAGAGTAAAGGCCTTACAAACCTATTTTTTGATGAAGAAACTTAAACTTAAAAAATCACGAAGAGAGCGAGACTTCATTTAGCAGTTCGTTTAATTTGGCCTTCTTAGTATTTAAGTTAGGCTTGAAGCCAACGCTCTAGCCTCATCCGTCTCTTTATTTAAAGCAACATTTTAAAGTATATATACTCTAAATGTAGAAGCACATAAATAAATTATCGATTTAGTTACTAATATTAGGATTTATGGTTTAAATTGTTAAACTTTTCAAGCTTGTGGATAGGAAAAGCAGAAAAATACTTGCGAAAGCCGCGACAAACTTCCTTTTAACTCGTTGAAGCTCCGTAATAGCCCTGAATTGGGATAAGAAGCTTACTATTAAGTGGAGTCTGCTTCGTCTACATACTTACAGGTATAAAATATTCTTAGTGTTCTCTTTTTTAAAAATTGTTCAAGGTGTTTCAAGTTAATTTTGGTCGATAACTTTCAAAATGAGCCCACCACAGAATAGCAATAAAAAACTTTAAGGTTATGAGGTTTTTGGTTTTGTCTCTTCTTGAGCAAACATTTTTGAACTTTTAAGACATTAACCGTAATCTAACAGGCTAAATACGTAAGACCATCGTAATAGGGCTGACTTGCCCTCGGGGCTCGGGGGTCAAAATTAATGGAGCACCTACTCAAGACCGTGTGTTCAATCCCTACCAACGCGACTCTATTTCTCTCTTGGATATTTGCGAAGTTAACCTCTCCGTGAAAAAAACCCAGATATAAACACGAGCGCTGCCACGGGCTAGACTTAAGTAACTTAATATCGACTGAGATTCCGGCCTGAAGACAAGCAGTGAACAGTGAAGGGCAAACAATTAAAATGTATAAAAGTTAAACAGAGATTTTAAAAATAGTAAACTATAAATTTAAGAAAGAAGAAAAAAACAAAATTTTTAAAAAATTAATTGTATACATTGTTTCCACAATAATATTATAATAAATAAACTTAAAATCTGATTTAATTAAAATAGGTTTAAAGGTAAACAAAATTTGTCTTATATTAGATTTATTTGTGTACACGAAATTACGAAACTAATAACTTTAGAAATAAATTTTTGCTTGATTTATTACAAAAAGAAAAAAAAAATCATATTAATTTATACAAAATTACGGATTATAAATAACTTTCAAAAAGTTAACAAAAGGTAAATTTATAGTTTTGGCAAGTTGTGTCTCAATTAGCTTATTTTAAGCCCTTGCTTGTTTACTTCATATTCGTTCTAAATCATCTATTTTAAGTTATATAGGAACTGGTACTATTTAATAGAACTTTAAAATAAAGGTTTAAAAAAGTCCTATATAGTATAAATACTGAATGGTCACAAGAGATAAACGTCAATAGAAACATAGAAATATAGGTTAAATAACTAAAACTCACCATTTATAATAACTTAACGTATTACATGTAATACTGTTATTCATTTGCTTATACTTCTTTATTGTGATTTGCTATTAAGCTGTGATGATAAAGAAGATCCTTTCCAATTGATTGCGTTAAGATTTGCTAAGAGAGTTGAGACACCCCCAGTTAACAGAGGAAAAGTAGATTGAGCAGCAATTAATAATAAATCGTGCCTGCAGTGAGCCAGCGCTACATACAGATTACTAAATAAAAACTTGCCAAAACTCCCCTTCAACTGCATGTACGCAGACAGCAAACCACTAGGTTATGGAATTCTCCTACCCTTGTCTCTTCAACAGCGGGGGCCTTTGCTCGTGCATAGCAGTTTCCTACCGCCTTGTCTCTCTGTTTTAAGTTTAAACCTTTAGCTAAGAGCAAGTATGTCTATTTCCTATGTATACGTGTTTTTTTCTTATTATTTATTTTTTTTTAGTGAGTGAAGCAAGAAAAAGGCTTTCCTCTGATCATATTACAACTGATAAGCGATTAAAGTAATGTTAAACACATAAACTATTAAAACATAGGCTAAGTTATAAATCTCTTTAATTTTAGGGGCATCCAGGATAAAATTGCCCAGATACAAGCAAACATTATGGAGCATAAAAAGAAGTTAACAAATTCTACTGGCTGTGACCCGCCTCTTAATAAAACCACGCCCGGTGTAGACATTACTTCTGGAAACGGTGTTCCACAATCATCGTACACTGACGCTGTTGATTTGACAGGCACTAATTCCTCGTCTTATCCTTTGTCAGAACTAAGTTTAGCCTCCATTCAGGTAAATAGATCTCTTGTCAAGCTTTGGGTGTTTCTTATTATAATTAATTTTAAGGAAAGGTTGGCCCAATTTAAAGCTAGCTATGGGCTGTTTGATCTGGTATTAAATTAATTATATCTTCCTTATTATCTATTTTAACCTAAGGGCCCTTTTAAAGCTTCTTAGTCAAGTTATATCTATTTCTGTAAACCACTCTATAAAGAATGGTATACTAATTTTAGAGTGAATAGAAAGGGGCTAAAGTAATGCCTAAAACTTGGAAGCTAAACGAAAGAGGAGAACTTGTTGACGAAGCTGGACGGGTCATCACTGTTGACTCGCGAGTTCAGACTTTGAAGGTGTTTATATCAGTTTGCTTCACTTATAAAACATCGAAATATATTATTTAGGCTAATTTACGAGCTAAAGTTGAAACTGAGCCGAAGCCCGTAGAAGAAGTTGTTGAAGAGCCCAAGGACGAATTTTATGATCCCCGAATTGTGTATGTTGTTTACTTCAATATCTATTGAACTAATTCTATATTCCGGCGCTTCACTTTTGTAGAGAAAAGCCGACTTCTGCGCGAATCAAACAAGGCCTCAAGTTCATTGAACGGGGAGTGTACGAACGTGCTGGCGAGAAGATGCGGCATCAGGTTTCTTAGTGCGCTCTCCAGTCCGTAAGGAAAGTTTCTATATTCTTTGCTGCCAGCAACAAATTGAACGGCTGCAAGAAGAGATCGCGGCAACCGCTAAGAAAACGGGTATCTCGGCAGCTACCAAGTTAGCGTTGTTGACACCAAATAACTTTGTATGTTTGTTTCTTCGTCAATCTTTTTAATCCAAATTTTCAACTCTTCGGCGTCAGGCTGTGACGGTGGTGCCCGACGTCGAGTGGTGGGACGCCCCCCTTCTGAAGACAGGGACTTATGACAACTTCGAGCCTACTAGTGACCTTCCTCCGTTTTCTATGTAAAAGTGACCTTATAGTTGGGGTTATCAGGCCTTGATCTCCGGAAAATCGAGGTTGTTACTGATCTTGTGGAGCATCCCGAACTAATTGACCCCCCCATTATAGAAAAGAAGCTACCTGTCCCTATTTACCTTACTAAAGAGGTCTGTATATTATTCTAAACGCTGTGTAGATTCTCTCCTGCCAACAGTATTTCTAGGAAAGAATTAAAATTAGACGCCAACGGAGGCGAGAAGCAGAGCTTGAAAAGCGAGAAAAAATTCGTATGGGGCTTGTACTCCCTGACGATCCGAAATGTTAGTGTGAGCCTGGGGAGTGTTATTGTGTATTTCTTGACACTACTTAGCTTCGCTTACACGGAATTGTTGCTGTTGTTTATATATAAGTTAACTCTGGTCTTAAATGTATCGAACCGAGCGGTAAATATTGTTCTTGCGTAGTTCTTTATATCTCACAAAAAATATATATTACACGCGGTAACCGCCGTAAACCTTAACACACGAAGCATTTAAATTTGTTCAAGGTTGTAATATTTCATAATTCCGTTAGTTTGGTGCTCCTGTTCTCTCTTTCCCTCTTTTTATTCAATGGTTTTGATAATAAAAAAAATAAAACAATTTATGGCCATCGTTACTTTCCTAAAAATTGTTTTACTTATTGCAGTGAAACTTTCCAACTTTATGAGGTCGAAAACGGATGAGGCTGTGCTTGCTCCAAGCTCCTTGGAGTCTTCCGTTCGTAAGCAGGTATTGCGTTTATAGCTTTGCCACATAACATTTTTAACTCCTTCCTTTTCTTAGATGGAAGTCCGGCTTCAAGCTGGCATTTTGCATAACGAGCTCAATAAACTCACTAAAGAGCAGCGTAGTGAAAAGAAAACTAAAAGGTTGATGGAAGACACATCCCAGAAGGCCCACATAGCAGTTTTTCGGTTGCCCTGACTTGAGATTATTGAAGAGTTTCCATTATTTGAGCGGTACTTTACAGATTGAATCACATGAAAAACTCTAAAAATCGCTACAAAGTCGATATAAATGCGCAGCAATTCAAGCTAACCGGAAGGATTATAACTTCCCCTGACGTCTGTATCGTGATTGCAGAGGGTGGCCCGAAGGTACACTTGATACTGTACTTCGTGTCTGCGTTGACTTTAGTTTGTGCCAGAACATAAAGAAGTACAAGAAACTTTTGCTTAACCGGATCAAATGGGCAGAAGAAGACTTGGCCGAGCCGGCGGGGCCCAGTGAGAGTGGAGGTTTTGTTAAGAACGAGTGCCGCCTTGTGTGGGAGGTTCCTCTTTTAAGAGATTCTTTTCTTTCGGGTCCTCCAACCTGACGTCAACCTTTTGAAAGGGAACCGTAAAGAGAAGAGCTTTCGGTAACTGGAAAGTCAAGTCGTTTTCTTCCAGCAGTCAAGCGCGCGAGCACTTAACAAGATTTCACGTGGAACATTATTGGGTACAGGATATCGGCTGGCTACCATTGTCGTTACCCAATTTATAATTTTTCCGCAGGACTTAGGCATCACTGAGGCAATAATGGAAATGGAAAACATTGACGAGGCCGAGTAGTTTTTTAATATACACTGGAAAAGCTAAGTTTACTTTGCCACTAAACTGTTGACTTGGCTAGAGAAGGCTCTGATCAGATCCTTCAGTCATGTAATTTAGGATCTCGTAAATTGGAGCAAAGACTTATTCATTTCAGCAAAGATTCTTCCTGTATAATAGTTTATATTACTTTTCAAATAAAACTATCGCATAATAACGTTTTTCTTTTATAAATTATTGGCTTTAAGCATTTTTACAAATTGTTTTTTATAGAACAATATAAAATGTCAGGCGCCTTTATTTTATAGTTGAGCAACGAAGTTTTATTGTTAAAAAAACTTATGCTCTTTTGTAGAGTGTTTGAAAGAAAAAATTTTGTGTTTAAGGAGAAGCTTTGAATTCGCAGTTTCAGTACTTCTAGCTAACGATAAATTGCTTTTGGTGCAAATAAATTTTGTTTATAATAAATAATATGCCCTTGTTATTTTCAAATCCAAGAATTTTCTTTATTTTCTTTTAATATCTGCTTTATGTCAAGGAGCTCAATTTATTAATAAAGAACAACTCGTTTACTTCAAGAAAGTATTATTGTATGGTGTAGCGGCCTATTCAAATTTAAGAGCGTCGCTGTAAACAGTTATTTTTTCGTCGAGTGCGGAAATAAAAGTAAAAATTTAAGTGTCCTCACTCATATGTGAAAAAGTTTTAGTCATCAGTTTAAAACTTTTTTTTATAACTGCCTCGCACGACTTAACTTTAGTAGGAGTAGACTTTCTAAATTGATCTGATAAGTTAATGTATCGCCCGAGATCGTGAATTATGTCCTTTAAAATTTTATTTTTAGATGTATTATAATTGGATGTTCTATTAACCATGGAAATGGTAGATTAAGCAATTTTGGTTGTGTATTCCGTTAGTACCACCATCAATTAATAATAAAAAGGTTTAAGGCTAACGGAGGACGTCAAGACTTATTATAAGGATCACAATTCAACACCGCAAACTTTATTTTTAAGTCAGAGCAGAAAAAGGATCTAATAAATATTTGTTCTGACTTTATTTACTTAATTCTTAGATCCTACTTGCTTAAAGGAAGCTCTTTTGCTGCCAAAAGGGGCAAGCGCGCACTTAAAAAATAAGAGTTTCAAATAAATAATTCTTTAAATATTTATTTCTAAAGTCTTCAATGTTGTCACTAACTTATAATTTTCGACGTTAGGTTTGAGAGAACTTTAGCCTCAACAAAGAGTTTGTAATTTTAAAGTAAAGTTTTGATAAAACAGTATAACGACAATATTAAAAGTTTATAAATCGTAAAACTTTTTACCTCAGTAAAACACTAGCACCTTAAAAAAAAGTATTAAAATTTTGTATTTGGTGTATTCATGCCCTGTATATATATATACATAGATATTAAATAACTTTTATACATAGCTGGACCGCTTCGCCCAATGCCTAAATCTGTCATAGGTCCGTTTGATCTGCTGAATCACCTTAACTTGCTTGAAACCTTACATAAAACTGTCTTTAGAATACCAGTAAGTTGTTGAACTTTTCTATTACTACCACATTTAAGTCAATATGTTATTCCTTTTTCCACAACGAAGAACCAAAATAAGATAGTTCCAATAAAATTTAAAAATATTTTTTATTTTTCTTTTTCTCCTTTTGAACGACGCATTCAGCGAGATTTATGAAACCTGTTGAAGGTATTGCATTTTTATAAAACGATAGCTAATATAGCAATGTTTTTGAAATGTATACCATAGTTTTTCAATCTAAAGCGCGAATTGTCCACTACCAATAGCATTCTAAATAATTAGCAGGACAGGGTCATGAGTTTAAAAAGGTTTGTGATACCCCGAGGTGTTCTTCTAGCAGTGGCATTTTAGGGTTGACCTCCTAAAGAAACGTAAGCTGCCCGACCAGTTTTCCTCCTGTGTACGCTTTTAAACGAGCTATAATGGCTGTCCCGGAGGACAAAAAAAGCGTCGACATTTGACCGTGTGGTAAAAAACCGCTAGAAATAATTACCACCAGAGAGCGGCAACAGATTCAAAAGCTGAAGCCAACTATAGTCCGCAAAGCCCCCTCGACTCTTAATGATGTTCAACTGAGTCAATATCGGTCATAGTGGAGGGCATAAAAAGCTTTTAAGACAATGTTGAGAAAATTGAAGACCCTTCGTTCTTCAAAAATACTCTATGGATTTAGGAGACCAAAAAGTACCCAATTCATGAAGATTAAAAAGTTTTAATTACTGGAAATTTTTTTTCAATGTTTGAAACTCGGGTTTCCACTAACGACAAATGGATAATTACGACTAAACAGCTGTTCAAGCTCTCAGGCTAATAAGAATGCCTCTTGATTAAATACAGCACCAATATTTCTCGACATATTTATAACTTTTCTAAACGTTGTGATTTACCTTCCCCTAAGTGCATTTTAAATAATCAGTCAACCTATACTATAATTGCCAGTAGTCTTTGTTTTACCTATTTACTCCGTTAGCATTGCAAAATTGTTTTACAGTTCAGTTAACTAGTTTTTTGCCTAGACTATTAGTTAGCAAAACGCTTATAGACTTTGTTCAAAAATAAATAAGCTGTTAAACCATATAAAAAAAACTTATATGGCCATGATGGTGGGAAGAGGGGCGCACACCGTATGTGGAAAAAGCGACCGATAAAAAATATACGCAACAAGTATTCGAAGTTGTTACTCGATCGAGCGCTAGAAAAGGTATTTTTACAAATAAAAATATAAAATTGATGGGTAAAAGTGATCTCTTACGGGCTGCTGTCCGTCGACGATTATGTGATTTCATGTTATTCTTTAACATGTATAAACATAAGTTGACCTTAATTTAGTGCGATAAAAATAATTTGGGTTTACAGGAGGTGAAATACTTTATAAAATCATGGGGCCAAGCATATTTGTTTGGTGAATCAAACGACTCATAATTTCTTTGCTATATAAAGTCCCCGTGCCCAAAAGAAGTTCAGTTAACCAAAGGTACTGAGGCCGCCTCTCCTGCGCTTAATTATTAAACATGGTGTAATGGTAATTATTTCTCTTCTTTTCTAGATCACGTATTTTATCGGCTCTTCAGCCATGTTTTCATAAAATCTAATCATGGATAAGGCATTTCATTTCAACTCAAAGTTTATAAATTAAAGTAAAAATTCGAGACGTAATCAACCTAGTAACACCTAAAACCAAAAGATGTCAAAAAATTACGTTTAACGTTATATGATAAAAGTGATTATGATGAGGGCAATAAGCTATCCTTAGAATACGCTTTAGTTTACGGGTAAAAAAGAGTATAGAATACCACAACTAGTACGTAGTCGAAGTCGATTCGGGGTATTATCTCGTTTAATCCGTTCATGAGGTTGTTGCATAAATATTAAAGCTGACCAACTGTGTTTATAAAGACCAGAGCGGATTAAAAGGTGAGATGCGTTCCGGCCCGCTTTCTCCGTTTGGTGCTAAGCTGTTAAACAGTATATTGCTCTTTCTATGATAACGTTTTGAGCTAAATAGTATTAACATCTATCACTTTACTTCATCTAAGTTATTTAAAGAGTTGTTTATACATTTTTTTATAACCTATTGACTGGTATGATCGAAAATGCGATTACTGTAGCTTTACGTAATAAATATAGACTGACCAATTTTTCAAAAGATTTAAACACTTTTATTGTAAAGATAGGAAGTAGGCATCCGCTAGCTCTGTGAAGCTTCCAGTTGTAAAGTATTTTCTTCGATTTGCTTACTCGTAGACACAGCGTTTTTTATGGCGTCACTAAGTATCGAGGCATCCTGTTCATTTCCGGCTACATTCAGAGCTATTAAAAAGAATTCGGGTTGACCCACTGACAATTAAGTACCCTCTATAAACCATTCATAGAATTCAAGGTGGCTGGAGCGCCGGCGGGATATAAAATGACTGTGAAAAAAGTCAATTCCATCACTTCGTCATTGTATAAATAAGTTACCTCGAAAACTTTCTTTTCTCTACTAACTTTACGCAGTATTTTATTGAAACTGTAACGCCCCTTACCACTCCAACAGCTTGAATATCGCTACAGGAAACCTTTTTCTCTACGTGATAATTGACCTTAAAAAAAGTGAATACTATCATACAACTAAAGTTTGGAGAGTTTTTACCTTCCCCTTGTCCAAGTTCTTTACGCTAAGGAGTAGAATGCGTTTTGTAGTTGTCATTAAGTAAAACTGATTTTCTACCAAAAGCATATATATTGTATATTAAGCTTGTAAACGGTCCAAAGCTCTACCCAAAGCAAAGAGCTTAAGATAAGTCTCTTGCAGCAAAACATTTGTTTCCAAGGGAAAGCTTTCCGCCTCCCTTTGTTCCAGCACCTACATAGTAGAAATGAGGTGGCGCGGTGGGTTCGAGAAATGTGCCATGCCTACTGCTTACTATTATGCTCCAGAGGACACGCTGGCCCATGGCGGCCTCAGGGTCGTAGGGGCAGACTGTTCGACTGGGCGGAATGTACCGAGTAAGACGCTCTGGTTGGTACTGAGGTATTTTCTAGAGCATTGCGAGTCAAACAGTAAAATGCTTGAGGAATCGTGATTGCAACCATTTGAATGGCGCTGTCCCGAACGGCTGCTGTCAAGTCTGCCGTGAGATCAAAAACGCCGCTAACGGGTTTCGTCACGATTCCGACCAGACCCTTCCCAATGCCCTTAGCAAAACCCTTGTGTCCCCGTAAAAAGAACAAGTTTCTTTCTTAGGCGTTTCAAGAACGTAATTTTACCTCTACGCCCTCCTTTTGAGCTCCTTTAAATGGTTGAGTAAAGATGCCTTTAATGACAAAAAGGCAATCAGTATTTACACATCAATCGCTAAATGAGTAGGTGATGGTCACCTGTGAGCCCACTGTAAAACCCTTTTCCGAGCATGGTGAGCCCGCCCTTCACTGTGTCACTTCTGCTCTCTATGGGTCAGTTGGTGAGCAAAGACTTGAGAGGCGTGCTGTAAAACAAGGTGCACCGCTCTCATGCTTGATTCGATGGCGGTCACGCTTGTACCGCTCGTCAAAAGTCGCACTTGCAAAACCATGAGAGATGGCGCCGCTCACCGCCGATACACTGGTACACTCGATGTTAACCTTTCAGTGTCCCCTATAACACGTTTAATTGGCTAACCCATGAGAGATTCCGCCGCTAACACCCAATAAGAGATCGCCCGCCCCCCTGCCAAGATTTTCACCAGCATCACCGATATTTTTAGAGAGAAACCTTTGAAAGTCGAGAGCGGAGTCATAAAATAAACCCCCTTGCGCTACAGTGAAAACAAGTACCCCTCCTTAATGTTTCCGGCGCCTTTGGAAAAGGTTTTTAGCGTTCCTCCGAAATTTCCAAAAATATCCGCGGCCGCAAATATCTTCAAGGAAGGGGCGGTAAGGAAGCTAGTCGGGCCCGGTCTCTGCTTGGTATACCTTGTACCAGTGTCCGAGAAGTTGTGTGAGGTAGTGCTTTTTAACAATGGCCAACAGCTCGGGAACGGTGTTCATGGCGCTGTCAATTTGGAACTTGCGCAACTCGAGAAACATGTCTTTGAAAAAGACAACAGTTGGAATGCCACTACTCGCTTTAAGCTCTTCAAATTCCTTTTTTTAGACGAAGGGAAGACTTACTAAAGGCCACACAAAAGGCGGGGAAATACAACCTTCAAAGGTATGGTGAGCTCGAACGAACGTCGGAGAGAGGCCGAACAACCAATCGTTTGGATTAGTATAGAGCCGAGATAAATTAAACCCTTTCAATGGCGTATACAGTTAGAGGTTTAAAGAAAAAGAAGTAGCGAGCAATCCTCGCCTTTTGGCCATTGTCTTCCGGGGAGCTAATTTCTTTAGACTCCAAAAAAGCAAGAGAGTTGGAGCCTTTGGTGCGTCCGTCCTAAAGAGCACTAGAAAAAGAGATGCAATGAGACATGCAAAAAAGGACCTGGCTGCTCTTAGGTTGAGCTTGAAAATTGTTCACAGAGCGAAGAAAGTGAATGATTCTGTATAAAAACTCCTCATTCATTGACAAGCAAAAGCTTTGCATTTGCCTATAAAAAAGGGCAACATTCTATCTTTTCAGGGTAAGCTCATGTGCACTCCATTACAAAAATATTTTGTCCCAGAAAGTATTCCCTGTTTGGTCATCAAAGTTCATCGTGCCAGAAAACTTTAAAAAGGGTCCCTGTGCAAATAAAACACATGAGCGACGACACTGAACAGGCAATACCCTAGTAGAGCTGGTGCCTCTAACGCAGAGAGAAGCCTGTTAAGAGAAGACCCTTCGCTTTCCGCAATGGAAGTCTGGCTCGAGCTAGACGAAGAGCCGGATGGCGTACTAGAGTTTTTCTTTCTGGAATCCGTTCTTTGTAGGTTCATTGGAGCCAATATTACCCTGCATATACCCGAAAGGCCCCTGACTGAAAAAGTGGTGCAGGACCGATATAAACTGACAAACGTTTTATAATTTGGGAGTTTTTGGGTCGGTTGAGAGAATATTTGATTATCAATTTGCACTGCGCTCACATGCAGAGAGAACTTGGCAGACGATTTAGCCGTGGCAATTACCGCAAAGAAGTCCTTGAGGCTAACATAGGCCAGTTCAAAGGCATTGTCGTCGATCAATGAAACGCCGAAGCTCGCTTTTACTTCAAACTTTACCGCCCCCATAAATAAGTAAACGCTAAGGCTGGAGGATGAGCAAGATCACTCACCCTTCTGGTTGGCGAGAATAAAAGGCTGCCACTCTTGACCGAATTGTTTTGAGAAGAGCCTCGACCAGCTTGAGGGCTGTGGTTCCCTACGATGAAGTGCTGTGAGTAGGAAATCATTTCGAAAAACTTTAAACAAACCAGGCAAATCGCATAAGAAAAGCTCTTTTAGAGGGCCAAAGGAATTAATGGTTACGCTAAACTTTCCCGTCCCTACACACAAACACGTTTATTATGTTGATTAAAGGGAGGAGGAGTAATAGTACCTGGCATAACAGGAATAATGTCAAACACAAACGCACTTCGCTCAGATGAGGAACTTAGTGGTTGGCATGTAACAAGCCCGCCTGGTTTAGAATCTGCCACGTCTGCAAGTCCATAGCATGTAAGAGTATTATTAATGATGTTATTCTGTAGTACCGTTTTTCAAAAACACGTTGCTGGGCTTGGATCCCGAGCAGAGGTGAATATAGTAGGAAGACGTGACTTTCCAGGTGCAAAGAGACCTAAGAAACAGTCGCCCATGGGAGCAGCATATAATCAGTCAAGGCCGAAGGAATACTTCTTCGTAGGGCATTCCAAAAAAAACTTGCCGCTTTCGTATCCAAGACAAGCGTCAAATGCTTTATTATACAAAGTTCCTGCGGTTCAGGGGTAGAACATAACGAAAAGGAGAGTCAAAAAAAAGTAAACACCATTATCTTTAAAGCACCAAAGCTGTCGAGAAGAGGCGCTTGCTTCTTCAAGAATCAACTGAATCTCCTTAGACGAACCTGAGGCGTAGTGTATTCAACGCTGGGATTTACTAGATCTTCTAGTAGATAGCACCTTGGGTCGTTGCGGACACCACCAACCCATTCTTTCGAATACGACAGAATATTGGAAATGAAAAGACTTGCTCCTTTTCGGACTGCACGGAGCATTTATTTATCATGGGATGCTTTATTTATAAATAATTTAAAGAGCAATACGAGGTCTAAAGATAGCGTAACGAGTGAGCCCCGCCGGCAGTCGCTGTTCCAAAGCAGCAATTCTGAAATATATAAAGTTTACACTGTTAAAGCGCGTAAGGATGTTCCGTCAAAGTGCACCTTTGGTAGAGAGGGAGTAGTACTCCAAAGATGTGCAAACTTGTCTTTCTGGGGGGAGAATTTGAACGAACTTGCCTCCTTTTTGTTGATATTCCACGCAAAACTAATGCAAGCGGATTTTTTTAGGCCACAGGTGCTTAAAGAAAATAATAAAATCGAACGCCAGTCCTATTTTTTAATAGAAGAGGCATTCCAAAGTAATTTTTGTAGCCAAATACTACGCTGAAAACTCCGTTGTTTAAAGATACAGACACATTCAAATACTCACACTGCAGGCCATCTGAGCACAGCTAGCAACAAAATATAAAGCATTAACCATAGACAAAATGCATGTATATGTTACCAAAACGTGAAACTTTTTAACTGTTTCCACTGCAAAAGGTTTTGACCAATCTTGCTCTCTATGTCGAAGTATGTTGGGGTCGAACATCCACTGTACACACATAAATTAAATGTCGTACGCCATTAATGCGGGAATTCGAAGACAAATAGACTTCTCGCTAGCATCGGATAAATGCCAAAAAGGAAAGTGCTCGCCTTTCAGGCGCAGAAAATATTAAGTAAAGGCATATAGACAGTTTTTCCTTGTAACTTAGTACCAGGGGATAGCACTTGAACGCAAGAAAGCAACCCTTTAGCTAACTTATGGGCGGCTATGCAATGAATATCAAATGCGCTCTGATTGTAAAACATAAACGCCGGTGTAAATGTAATAATATTTGTCCTGTTGAACAGGCCAATGCCCTGCTGCATGGAAACTTTGATTTCCTTGTTGACTAAAGTTATCGGTTTATAAAGGAAGTCGCTCTCGTAATGTCAGAAGTTGCTGAGAACCTCCGTTGTTAACAGGAAGATAGAGAGGCTCGGCAGGAGCTGCCTTCAGAATGAATGGGCTGGACCAGTCGGAGCCCTAAACCGAAGAGCCAGCTAACAGTTATAGACTAAACCAATGAAAAGAAAACTTACCTCGCAGCGCAGTAAACACATAGGATTTTGGTTGTTGTGGTTTTTTACGTCGCATGAAAACATAATCACTATTCGAAGAACTTGTTTAAAAAAAAGTCTTCCTGATTCGAGAGAGCGCCGAACCTGATTCGTAAATGGAGGAGGAATATCGCGACATAAACGTTTCTTTACTGTTGAGTTGTCTGTACGTCAAGTCAACGCCGGTCCTGTTAACCATCCAGAACGGCACCCAAAAACCTGGAGAAGCCGGTAAAAAAGTACAAAAGCTACTGTTCTCGCTAAAGCAAGCAACGTATGGCCTCCACGCGACCGTCTCGCTTGAAATGCGACACGTTTAGATTTAGAGTATGCGAGTCGTCTGTGTGGCGGAAGGGAACGCTAAGAATCCTGGCCACGGGCGCAGCTAAGTAAACACGAAAAATAGTCGGCCTATATAAAATTGAGGACTGACAGACGGCAGCACCACTGTCCTTGCCCTTTTCACTGTCTTTTCTCTCGTACAGTACAGTCACCTGCGAACCTCTTTGACGGTATGGCGGAAACTGTAATTGGTATTTCACTTCTTCTCCGGGAAGACACTAGGCAACGTCTCCTAAGCGTGGAAAGCCATGTGTTATAAAAAGTCTAAAGAAGGTACCGCCTTGGGATGCACCGCCTTTCCGGGCTGGATGGCAAACCGCTCGTTGCTGCCAAGCGTGATGCTGCATTACGAAGCATTGCGTGTCACTAGCTGTAGTTTAGGCTCGCATAGAAGGAACCACTTTAAAACACACGGAAGGGCATTCTCCAGTCGAACGGGATGAAAAAAGGTAAGAACGTAGGTTCGATATTTTCGGGAAAAGCGACTCTCGCAGGTCATGGCAATGATATACGGTGCCGCCTCTCTTTCACTCAAACTGTGGTAACAACAGGGACAACATCCGTCAAGTTAGCATGGAGCAAAGAAACTAGGTGACCTTTTACAAATAAATACAAACTGCTCTTTAGAGAGGTTGCTGTTAAGCTCCCAGTTAAACGACTCTGATGACTTTTCAAAGCCTACCGCCATACTACATACGTGAAAGCGAAAGAGGTTCATTTATGCTCGAATACCCGAGCCACCGAGCGGCTGAATGTTGAACTTGCTATGACTAAGGTGCAGTGGCAGATTGGTTTTGGCCAGCTTCGCCAAATCTACCGTCTGGGAAGAGTCCTCAAAGGCCAGTCTGAACACACAGATAAACGATTCAGATAAAACAGGCGCCCACCATGCTCTAGAACCTGAGGGGGTCCAGTAACTCGTTGACCACAAGAGTGGGAGAGCCCACCTCGAAAACCGTTTGGTTGTTCTGCAGAGTGGATATGCGGATCTTACCGGGCAAGAAACGGTCATTGGTCTCTCATCGTGGGCCGAAAAGAGAGAAAAGCTACAATAACGATGCCAAGAGAGCTGTCATGAAGCGACGGGTCCTCTGCGTGAAGGGCGTGTACGATGCAACCAGTATTCCGGCTGTGAACGGGAGGCAGAGGGCGGCAGCCTAGCCGTAGAAGCAGAAATTTAGGTATTCAACAAAATGACTGGACGGCTGATAGAATGCCTCACCCTCGAGCTGAAAGATGAGGGTGGAGCCTCTGATTTTACTTTCTTCAGAGTATCGGGAAACAATAGCTAAAAAGCCCGCCAAATACATTATAAACAACTCGATCATCATTAGTGGAGCAAACCTGCGCTATCGAGTCTCAAGTCTCTCGTGTTAAGGGCCACGTCCTGCCCAGGATCTAAGCTCCACGCGCCTTCTTGACCGCTGCATAGTGTCCGAAAGTTCATACGGCGGCCTAGCAACCAATAAGCCAAGAGGCGCTGAGTAACATATGGCAAAAAACACCTGTGAGATTGCGCACAACAAAAGGTTTGTAGACTTTGGCGTTTGAGGGGGCTGCGGTTTGTTGCTTCTCAAAGTAATGCAGTGGGTCGTGGCGATGTCATTAAGATACCACTCTGGATGTCTCGTAAAGCCCAAGGACTTCGTAAAGTAAGGAGACACCGGTCCGGGTAATATTCAATTCCACTTTCTCTCTAGAATTCAGCGTAAACAAGTCCGCCCCGTTGTGAGCATTAACCTCCATCTGCCAACAACACATTGCACGCTGAGCTTACCTGCCGGAATATCGGTACAGCAGTTTACCTGAAAGCATAACTGGCATTTTTCAATGACGGGCTCCCACGTGGAAAGCGAACGGTTGCAGTAGTCACAGGTAAGAAGCGTTTCCACGTTGCACTCCTTTTTTTCTTCAGTTAGTACTAATGTTCCTTGGGTATCCCGCATGGTAAACTAAGCAATGGCACTCTAAGTCATGCACCGCAAAGTTTGATTTGAGTACAAGGATATGAGTACGTCTAATAGACCCATAATCATGTCCCGCGTGTCATCCACTAGTAGGAGAGAAAGAGTTCTGGCTTCTATAAGGTATATGTCCCGGAAGGAATCTGCTCCAGTAGATAAAGGAACCCAGAAAACAATAAGAACTGAAAGATACAAGGTGATGGGTCCTGGCTTTCGCCGCAAATAATACTAGGTGCCTCTAACTTTCGACTACTTAGCTCCTCATCCTCTGGTAGCCATGATAAGAACCAATTGTTTGCTAAACAAATACAACCCGCTAAGGTACCAGTAAAGTCGGTTATTTTTTTGGGGCTGACTGTAACGATGCCGCTTGTCTCGACCTTCGTACATAACTGGTCGAAGCCCCCTTCCTTAGCCTTGTGTAGGCAAATGACAGCATGCGCAACAACAGAGAGCGCTTCTTCATACTCGCTCCCGAGCAAACGCATAGTCATGGCGTGCAGCCTTAAGAAGTGCCTGGGGTTCCTTGTTGGTAAGCTACCAGTAAGTGGTGGTTTGTACTTAAATCGGTCGGGGGTTTTAGGCAGTCAGTATGAACAACCTGTGCTTCCTCTGCTAAGGCTTCCACAAGCTTGTCGTCGTCAGTTTGGAAGACAGCCATGTACGCTTGCAACTGCGCATAACAATCTTAACCGCCCATGAGCGAGGCACGCAGGCCCAAGATACCATGGAAACCAGGAAGTTCACATCGCTTAAAGAAAAACTGCTTTTGATAGAGTCGCTCATTACGTAAACTTTTCGCTGCATCGCTCCATTCTTCTCTGCGGTAAGGTTGTACTCGAGCTGAATAAAAAGGTGTTAACAGTTGCCGTCAAAAGGGGTATGCGCTTGAGATAAGCACCGAAACATGTGTGGGCTCCAGGAGAGCGTTTCGGGACGCATTTATTCCCATCCATGAGGATTCGATAGTGAGTTCGCTACAGAAAAAGCATATCCGTAAGGTTGTGGCCATCCGTAAAGGCAGGCAACAGGCACTACTTCGCCTCCAGTCCTAGTTGAATCAAGTGGCCCTCCTCGTTCAAGACATTCTTAAGGGAGCAAGAGCAGGAGACCACAACGGTGGGTGTATTTTCCACCGTGTGGTCAAACAGAAACACCAACTCGGGTCTGACAACAGTCACATAAATGATAAAGTTGGAGCCCTCATTGGGGTTGGCAGCTCCTCGAGACTTCTCATACTTCCGGTGCCCATTCTCTTCGGAACTCGGCGGCGTGACATAATGTTGAAGCTGTAGGAGTATCATTATTAGCGCAAGGTAATAGCGCCTCGGCATTCGTCAATACATCCAAAAAAAAGCCCACAACAAAAAAAATGCGCGTCTCTGAAACTTTAAGATGTAGGGTGCGCTCTGATTGGTTGGAGTTGCATGTGTATTGCGCATGGAACAGACCCTCTGCAGATGGAGAAAGGTTAATTAATGAGTGCGATCGTTGTCACGTGAGTTAACCTTTCGTGCTCACACTTGAAAAAATAGTCTTAAAAGCGCTGTGCACCGAGGGCCGTGTGTCAACCGCGGAAGTGCTTAAAAAGCGCAAAGCAGAGTTATAACAGAGTTCCACAGTATATAAAAGCCGACCTCTTGCAGTCAAACTTAATGGAGAGAGCCCCACAGCTCTTTTGGGCGATCGCCAGCATCGATTCCTTGATGCCCATTTGCGTTAAAGGGTAAAGCGGAGCCCCTTTTTGCTTATCGAATAGCTCTAGCAGCACATTGGTCAGGCTCAGCTTTAAGTGCAATGATAGCTGCTCCTCTTGATTAGACACATGGGATTCCGCTGGATTAGGAAGGCTCAACGCACTGTCCTGGTAGTCCATGGCTTTTTTACGCAAGCAAGGATTAACAAGGAAGAGCTGACCTTAGAGTGTATATAATCCGGCTTCTCAGAAAAGTTTTTCATCAGCAGCAAAACCAGTCTTTATGCGGTGTTATACGATAATATAAAAAAAAACCCCAGCATGTGAACCTGCCGTACTCCTTATTTGTTAAAGTTATGGTTACCTCCGCCAAATTAACAAAAACATCGATATAGGGAAGAGGTGCCTACATAGATGGTAAGAAAAGCTTCACGATAAGTACTGCTGCTACAACGGACCGCCAGCTGCTGCTGCATCTTTCCAGCTACTCTGCGCTTAATAACAATCTCAACTGCCATATCGCCAAGAATTTTTCTTCGTTTTTTTAAGCTATAGTCTTACGCGGTACATGAGCTAAGCAAGAGATAGCGCGTACGAAGGGAATGGAATTACCGTATTCGGGCAATTTTTTGGCGTCGTACATAGTGACATTTTCAATGCTCACGTGCATGTGATCTAGCAAACAGGACGCTTGCCCGCCCTGCACTGTCCTAAATTCTATAGGAAATAGAAAGCGTTGTCAGGTGGGGAGTATGCGGTCAATTTAGCAGGAGACCATCCGTAATAAACTGGTTCCTTACAAGCAAGCTGCCTATCTGGAAACCGAAGCCTCTCGTGTCCTGGGAGGAGCAGGGCACGAATACACTGGTGCTGTAAGCACGTTACTCTTAAGCAAACCCGCCAAAAACGCGTAAAAAATACTCTGAAATTTCTATGCTCAGGTAAATTTTGTTCACGCTCATGTTTTCCACGCCTGTCCGCATGAACGCTAAGATATCCTTCATGTACTGGAAGTCCGCCTGGTAACTGCTCCCCGAAAAGTGATGAGAAAGTAAATCTTTGGCGGGCGTGTGTGGGTTTTCCTTACGCAACTAACGTATCCGTAAAGCGCTTCATGAACACAGCCGAGACCCCGCTAAAAACAGCAGTATAACAAGAAGCTCGAGCGCCATCAAGTAAGAAAAAAAGAACTTGAACCTAAGTTTGAGCAACAAAGTGCCATCTCCCTGCTCCGCAGCCGGAAATCTTTCCTGGGCGTAATAAGTAAGGCTTAAAGTCTTTCCACTGGCAAAGCAGCAATAAACCTTCGAAATATCGGGAAGAGGGAAGAAGCCCCGTTGTATGTATTGGAAAACAAAAGTGTCTTTTCTCGTGGAAAGAATGCGCTTGTGGGGTGCGCACTCACGTGTCAGGTCTAACACGTTGAAACTGGCAATCAAACTGTAAAAAAAAAAAAAAAGACAAAGCAAAGAAGACAGGCAAAACCTCGAAAATTCCCCGTCGATGCGGACTCCCCCGGAATACAGGCCTCCCAGGTGAACAAAAAGGTGCAAATTATCGAGCTCAAAGAGGTACAAGCTTGTGAGAGGAGCGTTTTCCTTAGAGCTCTTCTTGGTCAGTAGGAGGGAAAGTCGCTTGAACATGAGAGTAATGTCCTGCGCGAGTTCTGGAGTAGTGTCTGGCCGTAAAGAATGGCCAGTTCTCGCTTCCTTTTTGGACGTCAGCCAGGCCTTAACAAAGTTGTTTGGTTATGAAAAAGGGTCTTCTTTCGCCAATGCACATGGATTACTGGGGTTTGTGCCTCGCTGTACTGGAAGAAATCGATAAGTAGCACTGCGGTTTCGAGGTTCACAATAAGCTTCGTAGCATTTCTGAACTCCACACGGACGGTTCTTCCGTCGCTGTCACTTGCCTAAAGTAAGTAAAGCACCAACTCTGCACCCTTTAAAGCTTGCTTAAGAAGTAAAATATACGATGGCGACAGGCGACTTTGGGGTGGTCTGCAAAACAGTGACTTTTAAGAGATGAAGATCCTCGCCTTCATCACCGGCCCGCGTGGAAATCTCATCCGTAAGGATGTAGGCGTACTCACTCTCGTCCACCGCCTACGTACAGCTTCGTTTACCATAAGAACGCATTTTACCTGCCAGTAACGACCTGCGACAAGTCGATCACTTTCATGCCTTCCATACTGACGAGACATTGGAGGTCTTCCTGGCGTTTTTCTACTTCCACTGTTAAACTGGTAGAGGTTCGTATAATAGTGACATGGAGGTATAATAAGAGGCAAACCTTTTCAAGTCGGCTCTCACAAACTTCCTTTCATTAAATGACGCGTAGGCTGGCATCGAAGAATTCTCGGACGAGGGTTCGTAGCTGAGCACGAGACTAAAGCAGGGCAGAGTAAAGGACGCCTGCAACTTTGCTTGCAGTAGGTCTGGCAAGCTTCCAGACGTCTTAGTAGTTGCGTTAATCTCTTGTCCGTCCTGATGGATCGGATCGCTTTGTTTTTCCGACAGGCTTGGCAACGATTTCTCTGCGGGCTCTTCAAGAGTATAGTTTAGGTTATCAGCGACAACGCCAAGGAGGTACTGATAGGCGCCCTAGGATTGGACAACCTTTAGACCATGAGAGCGAGGGGGCATATAAAAGGCAGTCAACCTGAGACAAGGTGACGTTTACGTTGGAAATGGTGGCCAAAAGATGTAAAAGAGGCGTGGACTTTGGAACAGCGTTGGAAAGTTGACGTTTCAGCGTCATATTGAAGCTAATAAGAGTATAAGAGGGTCTGCTACAAGTACAGATAATTTGGTCAAAGAGGCCTTGTTTTGTCCAGCAGAGTCTTTCCTCTTTTTTTCCCTGCCCCATCGCAAAACGAAGCGCTCATTTCCTTCAAAGCGATGATAATTTCGTCGATTTCTGTTCCATTAAAGTCAAGACCACGAGAAACAGGGCAAGTAGCTGGCTACCATTATCTTCAGCATCTTTTATGAATTTGTTTGAGATGTTCAGAGTCCCTAAGTCGAGCATGAAGTGACTGGCGCTGTTTTGCCTGCGTGGCAAGGAAATGTGCGGACACTCGGCGGTGACATGAATATTGACATAGGTCGCCTGGTAACCCATGCTGTGAAATACGGACAGGCAGCCAATAAATAAAGAGCGTACCGACTGAGTTAATACTTCCGCTGCGCTGTTGGCCGCACCCGCCACCGACCTCACAAAGTTCTCATGGGTGCAAAATAACGAGACATACCACCTGCACAGCATCACAAAACTGGAGTTAAACGGATTAGACGGCGGACAACACCACCCGAAAAGCAAGACAAGACTACCGCATGAAAAAGTTAATGGTAAGTTCGCCAAGAACGAAACGCGTATCTACACTGAATATCCTCGAGTCTGCGTTGGAAAGATAGCGGACTATCTCAAAGTGGAAGACCTATCCCGAACACACGTGGTCAGAGGGTAGGGTGGCAGAAGTAAACCAAATGGCTAGTGTAAACCTCGCTCTTGGGTGAGCTGAGACAGACAGCAGAGTACAAGGAGTCCGGGTCGCGTGTGTGGTCTGCAGCAAAGGCGGGAGATTGACCACGAGACGACAGCATTACAAACTTGGCACAACGTACCCTCCACGCGGATGCTAGTCAAGTTGCCTCTCAGCTGAAGGAAATCCTTCTGGTACTGGACGGAAACATTCAACTGACCAATAACAGCACTGGCAAATAGCGAGCCGGGTTCCACCCAAGAGAATACGGGAGTCGAAGGTTGAACACAGGCAACCGCCAACTTCTCCACGGCAAAAGTGACCAATAATTTAAGGGCAGGGGCCCCCAAGCGCCCGTTGTGCGGATTTTTGGTATTCGCAGTGGGTGGTTTTTTGTCTTCATTCTTAGAGAGGCTGAGTCTTTGGTCGCGCTCTTTCGCTTGTGTAATAAGTCGAGCTTTGACATCTGCTGTTATTCCTCTTAACTGGTTGGCACACAAAGTCATTATCACTCAGTGGCTGGCAGGTAGTGGACCAACCTTCTCAACAAACTCCGGAATAAGTGTGCACTGCAGACAGTTAAATTTAACTTCGGCGCGCACAGACTTGAGTCCAGTGGGACTTTCAGTAACAACGGAGGCGCGCAACTCCACAAGAGCTTTCCTCTCCTCGGAACCTTCGTTTCTTTAAATAGCGTGATTAAAAAAAACAGTGCTTCGAGGTGGTTGCACACCTGGACGAGAGGACGGCCTTTGACATGCCCCCACGAAAATAAAGCATGTGAAAGCCTCCGAGACGAAAGCAAAAAAACGACGAGGATTCTTTTAGCGTTGTCGAAGCAGATGCCTGCTCCAAGGAGATTCCGACCACTTTGGCGCCTAAAAAGGCATATGGGGGAGGGGCGTGTAATATACGGCTGCGTCTTTTACTCTCTCTGTCCGTAGAAGTCCTGAACGTAACCGACACGCAATTCACTGAGAAATGCGCACTAAAATAAATTCGTGTGTTTGCGGCATCGGCTGGCGATGGAGCAGAGCTGAATTCACTATAAACCTGCAAGAAGTATAGAGACCTCTTAGTAGCCGCCGTCAAGAACCGAAACGGTGTACCACCTGCTCAAGTAAATGCTCGTCTTCTTCTTCGGCGTGTGCAGCGCTACAGAAGTAGCCTTTTTCGGGAGCGAACTGGTCTTCATCAGATGATTTTTTTTTTAAAGAGGCACAAGACTCGTAAAAGTCGCGAACAAAATGCATAAGCAGGCGGTGGCTCTCTAGCAACTGCAAAGATTGTATATTTTAAGCACGTGACCAAGCACCAATGCATAAACCTGGCCGTCCGATATGACCACTGTTAGGTTGGGAAGGCAAGCGGAGATGCACACAGGAGGGCAGGAAATCAGCTGAACGAAGAACTAACATGAAAAACTCAGAAGCACACAGAAGTCACTAACTTTTTGCCTGCATTTTGATATTAGGCAGTCAATACTAAACTTTTCTATAAGACGGCCAGTTAGGTCGTTTCCTGCGCACTCTTCCGAGATATCCTTGCTTGGGCCGTCCACGGGGAACAAGCCCATCTGCGCACAAAAACACAACTAAGGAGGCAGCAAGGAGCACAGCACGGAAAATTCAACGCACTTGAAGATTCGAGAGTGAAAGCCTGTACTGGTCGTACGCGTGTGAATCGACACTCTTTTCTGTGAAAAGCGAGTGTTAGCCACGGCGGCAAAGAGCGTGCTACCAGTTAACCTTCGACAAATATATTTTCTTTTTCTCTTTGGCTCTTGAGCCCGAAGAAGCCCAAGTCAAGTGCCATGATGAGGGGTCTTTCGTTTTCCTGGAGGCTACACGTGCACGGAAATAAAATAACGAAGTATGCATAATGCAAAAGTCATACGTATCAAAAAGCACGATATTCGGCGCCTTCAGTTGAATATCGAGTTCCAAGGCTTCTTGCTGGCGAGTTATAGACCCCAACACTCGCGCCCGTTTCTGCATTCGCAGTGTCGTGGTTTCCTCGAGGACGGAGTGGGCGATAGTGGTTCAAAAACAACTGCTTAAAAAAGAATGGAACCTTCAAATCTCTACTCCAATAAGGGCCGTGCTCAACATAAAAAAAGTCAACGAGCCGTGCAAGCGTCCGCGGGTCCAGAACAATATTCTGGTAGAGTAACGTGCCCTTCCAACTCGTAATAAACACAATACGAGGCGATAAACCAATGATTTGGACTTCAGGAACAGACGTTTATCGACCTCCCCGCCTAGCGGGTTCTGCTGGTATTTCAGTCGGAAGAAAACGCCCTCCTGTCGGTCTCTAAACGAGTGGACATTAAAGATAAGTATAAGAAGCTTCGACCACAAAAGCGTAAAGTACAGCTTGGTAGGGGCCACCATGTACGAGAATGGAGTGCGGTGACAGTTCAAATCGCGAATTAGAAAGCTTCCCAGTTTCAATGCCTTTTGTAATGCACCAATCTTAGTGTTGCATATCACGAGGACACATAAAACTTACCATGTCGAAGCCGGATCTACCAGGAAAGTACTTCGCTTTTGCAAGAAATGAGTTCGCTTCCAAATTTAAGAAAGGGCCAGCATTGTTATAGAGATCCAGACACACCCGATCCAGCTGAAACTCAATGGCAGTAGCCGCATACTGTTATGAAAGTGACTAAACACGCTTGAGAAGGGCAGAGTTCTACCCTGTATACCTCGTGGGGAAGGGCGCCTTTCCGTTCCTCTTTAGTCGAGTAGCCAATCACCTCAAAAAATTCTTTCTTATCCTCCTCGCTAAAGGAAAAGCTGTGGTCAACGGCGTCTCCGCTTTGCGACTGCGAGTTATCAGGCTCCCGGCTGGTACCCGACCAGAGCCCATGCAACCAGGACGAATAGTATCCCTGTAAGAGTCATTTATAAAGTGGGAAGTAGACTGATGGCGGTTCATAGTCATCACCCGTGCAGTGGTTGGCTTCTTGCATATGTTCTTCTGCTTCATTTGCAAGTCGGCCAAACAGCGGAAAAAGCGGATGGCCTCGAACGTATACTGTCTTTCTATCGCCTCTAGGGTCTCTCGGACAGAAGCCTCCACATCCCTTCCAGAGGTAAACATCACGAACAGGAACGGGCTGTCACCGCTACACGAGAAACCTCGTAGAAAGTTCAATGTAGCTGTCGATATACTTCTTTTTTGTCAGACTTCTTTCTTGAAAGAACGCAGCCGAGCAGCATCTACAGTAAGCAAAAATTTTCATTAAGATCGTGGCTGTCATTTTTGGTAGAAGCTAACGACCTTTCTTTCTCCTTCACTTGTGCTAAAATGCAGTCGAGAGCAAAATACCACCTGCAAACAAAGCAAAGAATAAAGTCAACTGCCTACAGCGGAACAAGCAACGCTAAGACAACTTTGACGCGGGTGAGTTAAAAGGGCGGCCATAACGGTACTTTCGGTATTTATTTGCTTTTTCCGCCCTAATAACATTAAATTATCAATTTTAAACTGTAATATTATCGTGCCAATCAGAACGTTTCAAAGGCTTCCGCGATGCAAACAATGCAGCGGTACTGGCTCTCTGCAGGACAGCACGTTAGTGGAAGCTGGGTGGCGGATAGGGCACGTACCCTCTATGGTGATGGGGAGAAGCGGAAGCAGTAGCTTGCAGTCCTGCTGGGGCTGCTTCAGGTCCAGGGGGCCCCTCGTGTTCAACTTGGCTCGCACCGAAAAAGAAAGTGGCCCCAATACGTGCCCCAAGCCCTTCAGTGTTGGCTCGCTTGGGCCTACCATGCCAATTATAATGAACTCGCTTACGACTTTCAAAACAGTACTGACTTTTCTCTGAAGCTATCATGCACTTCATCGACTCCGCAAAGCCGTCGGCATCCGCCGTAGAGACAGATAACGCCTTGTTGTTCATATACAAGGAAAAGTTGTCCAAAGTCAGTAGCTTATAGGTTATAGCCGGAATCTAAATCAAGTGGCGTTAGAGCGTGCAAAAACAATAAGGCACGACAGTCAACATTACCGAGTCAATAAACTTTTCTTGCCAATTGGAATCAGTGGTCCGCAAAGAAAGATTCTCTAAAGTGATCCCGGCGGAAACGCACTCCTAAGTAAATTTGACCAGAAAAATAATTATAGAATTTTTAAAAATAAAAAAGATCATTATATGACCACACTAAAAAGCTAGTGACTATACCTCCGAAAGAGAAGAACAATCCTCATAGCGAATATGGACGTTGCATATCTGCACTTGAATGTTGTTAATAATCTTAGAGATGAGGGAAATTCCTCCCGGTTGGTCGCGGTCATTGTCGGTGGGTTGTGCTTCTTTTTCCTTTCGCAGATTTTCTTTTTTCTGCTCAAAGTCGGCAAGAAGTTTTTGTTTCTTTCTAAATTCTTGTTCAACTTCTTTGTCCTCGTCGTACTGAGTGATAAACAAGCGGCATGTCTAAAAAGAGCCTTCACAGAGATTTAAAGTACTTGACCTCTTGCTCGACTTTTGGCTTTGCCACGAGAAACAGACTGTCAATCTTCAGCTGTACTGGGCTAGAGCCAAGGTTGGTCCAAGGAATCTTCAGAAGAAGATTTTCCAAGTAGCCTATGAGAAAAAGACGGCTGCTAAAAAAAGGCATCGGGAAAAATTCTTCAAACTCACCAAAAGTAACCTCCACGGGAAGATCGAGTTTATCAAGCGCACTCTTGCTTAGCTTAACTTTTGTAAGAGACACTTCGCCTAACAAAATATTTATAAGCTAAGCTACTTTTAGTGTTAGTTTTTTTATTATTACTAAACTGTTAAAGGTGATAACAACTTCATTTATCTTAGTGTAACCATTAAATTCAATAACTTATTAGTGCAAAGTAAAATAAAACTTTGTAAAACTATATAAATAGTTAAAATATAATAAGCCTTCTGCGTTACAAATAGAAAAAAGTAACTATAATTTATCGAATTGATATAATATATATCGCAATTAAAAGGAAAATAAAAAGGAATATATATTTGTAGATAACTACATAAAAGTTTACAAATAGTTAACTAGAAAGAGGTAAAAATATAGTAAAAATGTTTAACCTTTCCACGCAGCAATAGACAATTTTTCTGGGTCAATATTTTCAATATAAGCGCCTTAAAAAATATTAAGAGGTATAAGTAACTTAATACTAAAATCATTGTGATAAGTAAAACCTATGTAGCGATTTAGTAAGTTGGCGGCTAAAGATTCTAACATCGTGAACACGTTCAACCTTTATTGTAGAAATATCTTAATTAAAGAGGTTTTAGAAGATTTATATAAGAATAGTCACAAGAGAGTTAACTCCTCTAAAGGTACTACTATAATAAAAGAAAAGTATAAACCTTACTGAAGCCACCTAAACCAAGATTTACGAGTTAAAATCTTATCTCAGATGAACTACCAGCGAGCGCTAAGTTTTGTCTCGGCGAAATATTTTTACTATATTTGGGCTGAGTTGAATAACCAGCACAGATTGGCAAACAAAAATTATATTACCCTAATTAACCAAAAATTTTGATAGAAAAGAATCTAATAAAAAAAAAACAACAACTTTACCCACTAAAAACTTGATAATCCACTTGTGGGTTGAGAACCTTAAAGCTTTTTCTAGCGCTCTTATTAAGGACGAACATAGAAGTGGTCTCCTTGGAGCAAAATTTATAACTTTCGTAGAAACTCAGTATAACCGCTAATTCTGGCCAGGAAACCGCCCCTTTTGCGGCTTGAGCTCTAAAACCTTTTTTTTGTGGGGACTCCCAGAACAAGTTGTACGTGCTGAGAAGTGTGCAGATACCTAAGTTATAAATCCAAACAGGTCACCAAATTAACTACCCTTATAATTTTTTGAAGGGTGTAGCTTCAATTGACTGCCTGATTAGTAGTCATCGTATCTAATATTTTTAAAACGTGTACATGCATTAAAGTTGGTATATATATGTTAAAAAAAACCATTTGACCATGGCGTCTTATTGAAGCTAGTTACATCAATTTCTTTATAGTACTTCACTAATAAACCATAAGAATAAAAGCTTCTAATGGCGTCAATCAACAATAGAGACTGGATGACGATTTAAAAATTTACAGGAAGAGAATAATTGTAAGCATCTAATTAACCATATTTTATGTATATATAGTGTAAGATTTTTATAATAAATTTAATTAGGTTTTTGGAGTTGTACACTCTTACTTGATAATTTATTTTATTGTTCTCTTTTATCTTGCGCTGAAAGTTCATATAACGGTCCCTGGTTGTGTTACATCGTGACTGAGTTAACCGTAGATAGCTCAATATTATAATTTTCACAAAATATACTAGATTGTAAGGTACAAGTGCTGCCCTCTTTGTAGTCTAAATGCTTTTCTTACCACCAAATTAATTTTTTCTCTTCAAATTCCTAATACTGATGCTAACTTCTCTAATTTGGCCTGTATATCGTACTTCATTTCTATGTATGTTTTACTATCTTCTAGTTTTCTTTGTACCAAGATTTCAAAGCACTTCATCTGTTACTGTAATATATCTGCATATTCTAAACCTAGGATTTAGGATCCTAAGATCCGGAAGGGGGCGTTCCCTAATAAGTAAAAAATAGATATAATTTAAAAAAAATAATAAGTAAAAAACAAGAAAGAGCTATAAATGAAAATGTAACTTGGGATTGTGTAAGTGTATGTACAGAAGTTAGAACTATGACATTTTAAGTGTAAAGAAAACTCAGAATTTACTGAAAGCGGACCGTTTTCTTCAATTGTAAGACCACGGGTTGACGTCGATGGTGCTGTTTACTGCGATTAATGCTAATGTTTCTTTAATTACTTGCACAAAATTCAATTTGATGTTTTGTTTGCTTTTGGCAACGAAGCCCTGAAGACGTTTCCTTGTGCTTTGACGGATTCTAACTTAAAAGTCAGCTTCTGTGTGTAAGCAGCATAGCAGTATTAAGTTACCGCATTTTTTAATATGGTTACCCTTCAAAGCTATCTGCAACGGTTATTTAAGTCCTAAACTTACGGGTTTATGGTAGTTAAAATGTCATAGAAAATAATTATTAATTAATTGCATCATTAGGTAAATTACAATTGTAAAAGCGTCTAAGATGTAAATCATATATCGTGGGATGCGTCTAATTCCCAAATGGTGCAAGTTTGCATTTGGGCAATTAGTTGAGGTAGTTGGCCATGTATGCAGTAAAGTGCATTGCAATCTTAAAGAATATCTTTAGTAAAAAAAAATTAAAGTACGTGAATTGAGTTTTATTGCTTTAAAGAACTTATAACAATCTTCTTCAGCACTAATTATTGACTAGACTAGCATAATAATTATACTTCCTATGGTTAGTACTGAAGTCTAATTAAAGCCAACTAGTTATAGTTATGTTCGGTTCGAGATTATTGTTGCTCTAGACAAGTAAGTAATTAATGTGAACTACATTCTATCAGTCTAGGTCCTTCTAAGCTTGTTATAGCAACTATTGTTAAATGTGCTATGTCATTTTATATGGTTACCTAGTGATGGAGAAAAGTTTGGTTACATAGCTAAGTATTGGTATTATTCTTGAGGGATAAAAACCTAATTTTACCTGCTTCGCTGTTAGATGCCCTCCGAGATAGGTCTTAGAAGCAATGAGTAATATGGGTTGCCGCCTCCAAGGAGCTATCATTAGTGCGAAAGGTAATAGGGGCTCCAAGCAGAGAAAAGGGTTTTTATCCCAAGGTACAGAAAAAATTTATCTGTTCGTAGATACGTTAATAAAACAAGCACCTTAAAATGAACCTGCAAACCTCCTTAGGATCAAATATATAGTTCTAATGCAACACATCAAACATAAAATTAGCTTTTTTATACATCAATATAATTCTTATTAGCTATTTTAGTCCATAAAACCAATACTAGAGCATTTCGGATCGATCATAATGGGATGTTTACTAGCTGTTATCTGACAGGAGAGAGTAGAAATCACGGTAAGTATATTTAATAATGAGGGCACTTAAGGCATCAAAAACTACCTTGCCTAAAATGTATGCTATTTCACCGCTATTTTTTGTATTGTAAAGTTATATAAATTAAGCTCAAATTCTTTAAGCTATTTTGGTTTTTTTATATAAAGCAAAAAAAATCATTAAGGAGTGACAGAAGGAAGGATAAATTTGAGGTTTCAGATTTATATATTAAGTAATGTTAACATAGTCTTTTTTAATCGAATAAAGTTATTGTGGAATCTTCATAGTAAATAACAAACATCTTCATAGTAATCTCTTTCTATTAAGTAAAGTAATTAAATGTTTCCCAATACTATTTATTAAAAACACTGGACAACTATTTTTAAGGCAAATTGGGAAAGAAAACCAGAAAAACACCATTATTTTAAACACTCATAGTAATGAAGACTTTCTCTAAGAGTGGAGTCTGGCCGCAGTATATTCCAAATTTTTTCTTCCAGAGAATTTTGTTAGTATTTTTGTCATACAATTTTATAACTCTAGACACAAATTTAAAAAAAAAATTTTACTATTACCTTATTACCGATAAGACTCCTAATCTAACAAATTAGTAACGGCGTTTTCTTTTCAAGTTTACAGAACCCAGAAAAGTAGGAAACTTTTGATATAAAACCATTTCCGTTATAAGTAAACTACTTTAGTTATAGCCAAGGAAAAGACGAATATAATTAATAAAAATCATCGACTTGTTTGAATTATATACGAACGTAGGCTCTAATTAAATTATTGAAGTTCCGCAGCACTTTTATAATACTCATAAACCGAAGACTTAAAGAAGCCTTTTTATTACCCTGTCATGCAATTTACTTATTTTGGTTATTTGAGTATAATAGCTTTTCCATTATTTGAATCATATTATAACGTTTTAGGTTTTATGTATCCAAAAAAAATTATTTTTACTTTTGCGCTCATTTTGCTGGTAATGGCAACCAAATTTTTATACGAAGTTACTAATAGTTTTATGGAATAAAGTTTTTATCGACATTTAATATTAAAAACCCGAGTCATATTATGTCATAATAAATGCATATTATTAATAAAATAACTCTAATTAACGAATTAGAAATTTAATAGTTAAACTACCTCCATATGTACACTTTTTTTACAAAAAATTTTTGTTAAATTTAAAGTATTTTAGTTTTAATGTATGGACTACCACCTATAAAAAAATTTAACAAAAACCAAATTTTTTAATATTTAAAATGATTGTACCATTTATCGTTCCAGTTTCTAATATAACTTGACTTATTTTTATCAACTTGCAGAAAACAAGCTAATTGTACACTTATAATTATAACCGCTTTATATAATACATTCTTTTCGACCAAATAAATATGTACTTTTTATTTAAAAGTTCAGGGTTAATGTAACATGTTAACAGTAAACCAATGGGGTGTTCTCAATAGAATTTGCACGAAATTGATTTGTTATGAAACTGCATGCGCGAGCCTTAGATGATAATAATAAAGAGGCCCCTGACATCAGGATTTTAGTATTGTGTATAATATAAAGCCGCTTAGTCTTGACTGCGCTTCACTTAGTGCGGGGTCCTTACTAACGATATTTTGGGCTATGTGTTTGGTGACTAGCCCTACTCAGTATGAAGTGTTGCCAAGAAAAAAGTTATTTTTACCTTGCTTAAATAGTGAAACTTCTGAGACGTTTAAACCATTATCTACCTTTACCTCGCAGATTTCTGAGAATCAAAGCTCTCGACTCGCTAGCAACAATCAAGTATTTATATTAGGTAATTCTGTTTTTGCTTATTCTTTACTTACCTAATATATCTGCTTTTACCTTTTGTTAAAGCGAGAAAAAGTTCTTCTAAACTAATTGACTATCGGCTAAGAAACAAGTCCAGGGAATTCACTACTTGTCTTCTACTTAACCTGTGCACTTCACACTACGAATACAGCTGTAATATTACCTCACTATCTTTAATCCGTTGCCATCTAACTTATCTGCCTAATGGTATCACTTTACTGAAAAGTTTAACGCGGCTTAATCTTTCGAATAATAATCTGTGTACATTCCCAATAGTGATATGCTCTCTCTATAACTTGAAAAGTCTTGACATAAGTCACAATCATATTAAAAGTATACCAAAAAAGATAAGGAATCTTGTAAAATTGGAACGTTTAAAATGCGAAGTAAATTCTTTGCGAAGCTTACCTAAGGAAATTGGCTTTTGTACTTCTTTAAAAATTCTATATATTGGTTCAAGCTTTGGTGGTAACTTATTGGAAAGTCTTCCCAATACGTTTGGTTTTTTAGAAAATTTGGAGTATTTGGACTGCAGTCATAATAATTTAGTTGTGCTCCCAAGTTGCTTAGGTGGATGCTTATTGTATAGACTACACACTTTCTTTTGACTTGTTTTTATATAATTAGGAGGGTTGAAATCTCTTCGCTTTGCCTCATTTGAAGATAATAAATTAAAGAGAATACCTAACTCCATCGGACATCTTTCTAATCTACTTCAGCTTAACCTTTCCCATAACTTACTGGCTACCCTCCCCTCTTCAATTATAAATTGCAAAAGCTTGCGTGTTCTAAACGTGCGTGCTAATTTTCTTAAAGTATTACCTGGGGAACTATTATTAATCTCTGAACGCACTACACTACTTTTAGGGGGAAATCTCCTAGCTTTTCACCCATCTTCCTGTTGTAATCACTTTAGTAATACATTTTTCAGTTTACAGTCTTCATCTTATATTAAGAATGGCGGACACTTCTCACTATATGGATCGGTTTTTGCAAAAAGAGGCGTAGTTCTTAAACGAAACTCTGACCAATTACTTGTTATCGGTTCTGTATTTAGAAAGAACTTTTATTCCACGATTACAGCGGCTTCGGAGCTAACTGCTGGCGTTAACGACTTTGATTTCAACACTTTTCAAACTTTCAGAAAAGAAATGGATTTTTTTTATAAAAAATCACATTTAAGAAATACGAGGGAATTTATTTTTAGCTCTTCTATGGAGTCGTTATGCAACAAGTTGAAAAATAATATTATAAAGTTTAAAGGATCTTTTAACAGCTGCACCCTTAGTCCTCGTACTTACACTACGGGATTAAAGGGTCGTAGTACCCCCAGTACCAAATTTGAAGCTCCATTCACACATTTAAGGAAAAGCAGTTCGGCTATTCCAACTTTAAAAGAATTTTCAAGCTGTGCTGTTTTAAGATGCTTCGCCCTTTTAGGAGGCGCTCATACCCTAAACCCGAGTGCTTGGCCCGAGATAGCTTATCATGTCGCGAACGTGTTGGAATCTAACTTAGCTGTTATTGACCTTCCAGTTGATATTATTCAATTTTTGAAAACTGCTAAAGGCTGCCATAACTGTCACTCACCTTGCTTTCTTTCGTCCAAATTGGCGCTGGTTAGAACTGAGTGTTCAGGTCATCCATGCATCCCATTTCTCCAGCGCTATTGCGCTTTTTGTCGCTTAAATTTTTTTAGGGCTTGTTCTTATAAAAGAATAGAGCTACTGTGGTGAACAAATCTGCTATTATGGATAAATAAGGTAGCGGGTGAGAACTTTCTTTAACTTTTTTTGAATGAAGGCCGGCTTCAGAAGTTAACAACGAATTGTTTGTTTTTTAATAAAGGGTTAAGACTTAATTTTTTTACTATACCTTTAAAATGTACACTGAGATCCACCACCTTGCTCCTGCATTGCATTTACAAAAAGTTGCGCCCATTTAATAAACAGAGTAGTAACTTTTGAAAAAATTACGGACATGCACACTACTTTAAAGGTGCCCTAGCGGTAAGTTAATCAAGCAGGCAGACATGGAAAGGGTGCAATTGCGAAATGGTCAGTCAGGAGGTAATAACGTATAAAGGGTGCTTAATTTAAATGAATTGTGTGCAGTATAGCAATATAGGGATCAAAGGAAAACAAAAGATGCTAAAGGTGTTTAAAAATTGGTGGGTCTGCACTTTATTTATTTAAAAATTAAATAATCCGCGTTATATTTTCTATAATATATCGCTCCCTTAAATTAATTTAAAAAGGGGACAATTAGATAATTTTTTGTTATTCAATTTTATCAATCAGGCTATATGTATCTGACTATGATTATTTTTCGGTTTGGTGACTATTTTTTTGCCCGGTTTTACTTTGCAGATTGCCCCCTTTATTATAAAACAAGGCTACACAAAGCCGGAAGCAAAAAGCTTCCTCGTTAAAACTAGTTACATATATATATATTTCTATGATGGGTTAGAATAATTTCGAAAAAAATACTATATGTACCCTTTAACGTAGTTGATACAAAAATGTCTTTTGTTATTTCCCACGTGCGCTAAACTACGCTAAAATTTAATGGTAATGAGGTTATTGGTACGTTTAAAGCAGCGTCAATTTATAAACCGCGTGCTGAGAGGTGATCAGTTTATTAACACCGAGCAATTAATTTCTAACCTGCATCAGGCCTATTATAGCGTAATATGCACCTATAATTAGACTTTTCATATGTAGTTATTAAGAAGTTTCAATAAACAATTTGAAAATCGAATAGTCGTTTTCAAAAGTTTTCTCAGTCAAACCATGTGGGTTATAAGAAATAGTAAACAAAAAACTGACTTAAATAACAATGTACGATGCCTTAAAAAAGTAATACTGTCCAATATCTTTTAGTTATTTTCCTAAACTAGATAATTGAGTTTTTAAAGATTATTACAAAAAAACAGATATAAACGGTGTAAGGTCTTTAAAAAAGTAAAAAGGTAAAGCAGCTCAGCAAAAATCTCGAGGTATAAATAAAACGAATTCACACATACAAAAGAGATATTGCGTTTCTCTCATAAAAATAAGCTTGTGCTTTCTAAAAGTATAAGAAAATTTTATAGAACATACCAGCAACCTCTTCTAATCGTAAATTGGTAACAAAGGCATTTTACAAAGGCATTTTATAAATAAAATGCCTTTGTTACCAATTATCTTTTATCAGTTAAGTTTAAAATTTGTTTGTGTACGAAAAAAAACTTTAAAAATTATAAAGGTAAGCTGATAATTATTTTGTAAATCCTTAAAGGGTAGAAACGTCGTGAAGATATATATATTTTTTAATTTCGTGGCTTTTTTGCTAATAGTAAATATACTAAACAATTAAAACTCTCAATAAAATAACTAAATTATATAACGATCCTGTAGGTGACGTATCTTCCAGCGGTTTCCGAAGTACGTGTAATCTTAACAACCTGATTTAAAAATAAAACTTTAAATAGAGTATGGATTTTATAAAAAAAACCAGTAATAAAACATTTTATTTAACTTCAGGTGGTAAATTATATTTTAGGGATTTTTTTTAATTTTTTAACATTGTAAATTTTAAGAGGAATTTATTTTACTAAAAAGAGTTACTCAAAATTATATAACGAAGCACAGTGCTTATTTATATTTATTAGATTATTAAGATTAAAAGACCTGCCCGTGAGAGAGCCCGTAGTACCGGGCCACCGGATCGTTCTTCGAAATTCGAGGAAGTTGAGATTCCCGAACTCTACTGAAGTGAGCAAACATAAAAAAGTAGACAGAAACAAGGGGATAAAAAGTTTCATACTATCTTTCCATTAAGATTTTTTTCTCTTCATCGGAGATAACTTCGTGTTTCGGGACAAGTTCATGTTCCGTGATATTCACAAGGAGCTCACTGTCTTTGAAGACTTCAAAAAACTGATTCTTCGATCTCAGTTGGTTTATTAACTTTTGCATTGCCAAATAAGTTATAAAGTTTGTACAAACCCACAAATAATAAAAAGTCCAAGATTTTGTAAAGTTTTATAATCCATTTAAAGTACTGTTTAATAGTTATTCATACTTAGTTAATCACGCTTCCCTTATAATAATTTTGCGTGTACACGCTACACTTTATAAATTTTTAACTAGTTAATACCTTCTGAGCGCTTGGACCAACCCCGTGTTCAACAATAAGTATAGCGCGCTGCACTCCATCTTGTTCCATTTGGTTAGAATATGCTAATAAATAAATATAATAGTAAACTGTATATTTTTTAAACAGATTTAGAGGTTATTATTAATTGTGGGAGCGACACACTGGGAGTGGCCGCTTCTTTCTTTTTTTAAAAAAGAGAACTGACGAACTTAAATTTCATAACAAACTTATATACGTAGTATACGCCCGAAAAATGCAGCGCATCCCACTAATGAAGCTACGCGAGAGATTAGATGCTTTCGACATTTAAAAAACAAGCACCAGAAATTTAAACTTCAAAATGGTAACTTATAATAGTCTAGCGAAAAAAAAGAATAAAAGAGCTTGCGTATGAACAATAAACAAAATAAAAGTATAACAAGAAAAATTTATAATAAGGATGTTGAAAATTAAAAAATAAACAAAGTAACCACCCAAAAGATTAAACTTAGACTTATTTTTTATTTACAAAAATCATAAACTTCCTAATTATAGTAAATTTTTAAGTATTCATGCTTCAATAATAGTTGTATAAAAGTAGCTGCAGTAAAGTATCAAATACAAGGGAAAGAAGGGATTGTACATACAAATATTGCGAAATGACCGCTAACTTGTACTGCAGAAATAAATAATACAATTTATACTTTTTCGAGTATAAAGTTAAAGTTATTGTTGTTAGCTCGTAAGAAGAGAATAAAATTGATAACAAAGGTACACAATAAGGCCAAAGCTAACTTGCGTATGTTAAGCTTAAAAATAAAGACCTTAAACGTTTAAATTAGTAAAAAGGGTTTTACACAGTATTTCATGTAAGTTAGTAAGGACAACGAGTAATTTAAAAAATAATAAGGATAAAGCTTACAGGTTAAACACAAAATTGAAATAATAGTTACTTATTTACAGTGACAAAAACTAAAGGTAAAGTAAACCTTCTATTGTCTGAGCTCTGAGTTTCTTGTCACCGCCGTAAGAAGGAGTGAAAAAACAGTACATTCTATCAGATTGCTCCAATTTACGCTGAACTAAGACTAGTAAACGAGAACGACTACATAGATTAAAAAGAAATAAGTTACATTTTTAAAGTAATAGTATACTTATAATATATATACTCTGGTTCTTCACCGAAGCGAATTTTAAAGTCATCCATAGTCATACCCAGGTCAGGCACAATGTAACCTCTATCGTTACACATTTCTAAAATCTTTATAAAAAACCTTACTTTTGGAAATTTAATCAGCAACTATGAAATACTGTTTTTCGTATTCTCCAAAGTGGTATAAAGTCATCGTTTCCGATCATGATATCATTAGTATTACAGTCAGAGACGAGCTACTACAATATAACGCTAATAAATATTTGAGCTTTCCCTAGGCCAGATCGGCACCCAAGGTCTGTGACCTCAATTTTGTAAACTCATCAAGCCACAGCCTTTCTATGTCCGGGGGGGGGCCGCAGCCACACCATATAAAACAGCTGATAGCTACACAAAGCAACGCTTTTTATATATCTGCCCTGACGAATGTGTACTCAGGCCCCAAAATGCACGATGCAAAAACACCTGGCAAGCCCAATGTACTTGCTCGAAATTCAAGTTTTCGTGCATACTAACTGGAAGATTTTTAATATAAAATAAGACAATCTTCAAATGGGGGTCTAACGAGCCAATGAAACTATTTACTATCAATTCGATAATGCAGATCTAGTATTATATGTAAATCCTAACCGCTATAGATATATTATTAGTCTCCTTCACCTACCCGCTAGTCAAAAAACTGTTTACCAGGTTTACGAGGTCAGTGGGGCCTCTGGCAATTTTCTATCGCCCCTCAGCAGAATAGCGGAAGTCTGAGGACAATACTCTTTCACTATCCCTCATAGTCGTGGTACCCCTTGGGGGAAGGATGAAAAATTTTGATGGATGATTTAAAGCTAGACGTTTTTATAGGGCTAAGCGTAGTACCCCTGGGTAGAAAATAACAGTAACCTCTTTTTTAATTGTTTTGTTTTATAATTAATTTTTTTTTAAACAAGTTGCATCGCACATGTCGGACTACAAACTTCTTTAAGGCCTTCTCAAGTCTCACGATTATTTCGGGATCTCGGGCAACATAACCCGAGATCCTCCCAGATTAAAAAAAAAAGCAATTTTGTTCTCAAACATTATTATTTTTGCACCGTATCTCTGTATCTTATTATTAATGAAACCATTTGGTTATGTATTTTGAAGACCCTAGTCTGTAGGGCTGCAAGGGTCATCAAGTTAAAATATCAAGTGCGTTGGTCTATAGGGCTAAAGCCAAAAGGAATTAAAAAATAACAACGGCGCATTCTTGGGAAATAAGTCGAACAGACATGCAAATATAAGGGAAGTTGTGAAATATGTTAAGCATCTGTACCGCATTTTTATTTACTTTATTAGTTGTTAGATGTCCCACCACACCAAAAACTGAGCGCCTACCTCAAGGGCACAGGAACTCATATATTAGGGTATCGAGTTCTAATATTAGTAACATCAATCGCTGAATATACCTAGCATCGAGTGCTATACCAAAATATAGCGCTAAACCTTTCTGGAATCAAAGACCAAATGACCAAAAAAGGTACAAATAGTGAGAATTTCGTTAACTATCAATTCACATTACTTAAGATGCCAAGGTATTTGCTACCAAATATAAACCTAGTTTCCAAACCATCTAGCAGGAGGTGGGATGTAACGATAATTAAATACCTTCCAAATTTACAACTTCGTTTAGTGTCACAGCGCTTCGTGCATATACCATATTCTAAAAAAGGATTTCTGTGCCCTACTCCTATAATATATGGACGGTTGCTTTATGGGATCAAATATAGAGGTTGTGTAGGGCAGTTATTTTTTTAATAAATATGAAAGATTAATTAGAAACTTGAAACAACTATCACTCAAATAAATTAAGAATAGCTTTCAGTTAAATAAAGAGTAACTCTTAAGATACAAGCTAAATTTACAATGTCTGAGCCTTATAGTGCGCCAACGATAATAAAATAAAAATAAAAAACATATAAAATTAGAAAATTAAGAATAAAAAGTTTATAAATTTTTTTTTTTAAATAAAATAAAAAGTGAACGTAAAAAGTTTGGGTATAAAATTTTAATTGCAAACGATTCTTTGCTCTGCTTCCTAATAATTAAAAACCTGATTTAGCGTTTGTTGTAATTAAAGTTACCAGAAAAGTATTTAACTCTACTATTGCGGGCTGGAAAGCGCTCGCATATAATAATTAGTTGGTACGAAGCACACTCAAGTACGGCATAATACTTCTTCGATGTCGAACGCACTATTTGCTTAAAAACAATACTTTAGAAAACAACGGCTTTACGCGGAGTATGAGAATAGTGGGATCGATGAGGGAAGGCTTTATGATCACAAAACTTTTCAAACACTGCTTTTTTTGGTGATTTAGCTGATTACCAGTAAACAAAAAGGTCAACTAATTAATTTCTCAAGCCAGAGTACAAAAGGCAGAACACTTTAACTTCAGACCCCTATTAAAAATTACTTTAGAGAGCAATACGCAGCTACGCTCAGGAAATTTGTTTTTACTTTAAAGAGTGCATGCAATGTACTTTACTAGGTTTAGAATGTCAAAAAAAACTTTAATGAAACACATGGTATACAACTGCATTACAAACTCAAGGTTCAAAGCACGTGATCACTTTCCAACCAGTTCATCCACAAATTAGTTCTCCCGCATCTCCCTATTTTGTTGTTTTTTTATATTAGGCCTATATGTTATCGAACGGGCTCCATGTTACATTATCCAGCTATTTCTATTATTCTAATATAATTTTAAATTTTTTTTTTAATACCGCAGTAACTTACTAATTTAATTAAGCCTACAATTTGAGCATGAGTTACGGCCTAAAAATTTCAGTTTTTAATAGCTGTGTAACATTATCATCAGAAGATTATTGCCGATAAAGTATTTTATATGGTCAACTTATATTAAAATTGAGATTACATGCACAAATATGGTTTTGCATGTAATGTAACGATTTATTAAAAATAAAAGAAATTTAGAACTAAAAATGAATAGATTCGACCTAGAGATGGACCAAAGAGAGAACTGGAGACGAAACCGGGAAGCTCACTAGACTCGAGACGCAACATTTTTAAAAGTATACTTGAACTAAAGAATTTATTAACATACGCTTTAGGCTAATGCGGAACCCTGTTACATCAAAGAAATTTTCTCTTATGGAAAGTTAATATATTTAGCTAACGGTATTATGTCTGCGTTGAGAAAACTAGAGGATATTAAACTTTAAGCTATTACAGCGCTCTTAATCAATTTTGTCCTTGGTGCGTGAAAACAATGTTGTTAAAATTAAGTCACTATTATCCTCTTCTCAGTATGTGCAGATGATTTAATGCAGAATGCGTAAAAAAAGTATTTTCTTTCCTTAAAAATTTTCCTAATTAAAAAAAGATTTTTTTGTGTAACTTTTTAGCCCTATCAGCTCATTTGTGTTTTTTAAATCTAACATATAAAAAAACTACCTTTTATGTATTACTAATATTCATCTAACAAAATAATATAATATATATTTTTGCACCATGGAGGAAAAATCCGCGCTAGCTGCTTATATTCTGAGGTTTCCCGTGGTAGTAACAGTCAGATTATAAGGGTAATTCTGTCGTCTCGGTGAGGGGCTTACTTTATACTAATTTGGCAAGTACGGGGATTTTACTAAAATTTTTTAATGAAATGTATAAAATAAGTATGTTAAAATTAAAGATTCTTTTATTGACCTGTTTCGGTAGGTATTTATACTTTTACAAAAGATCGAAATAAGCTTCCATAGATTACAATAAAAAAAAAATTTATTGCACCAAATAAAATTTACTATGTTTAGTTTGTATCCAATTAATAAGGTAGGTCAAATTAGATTTTGTGTTAAAATATTAATTTCTCCTTTCTTGTATTTTTATTGGTTGTTTCTCGGGTTTCTGATTGGATTAATCAAGGATCATTTTCCTGAGAAAAATGTTTTGAGTTTTTGTTTTATGGTTGATGGACCTTTATACTTAATGTTATATACAATGGTTTCTGTAATCTGTTTATTTTTGTTTTTCTATTAGTATTTTGAGTTCGGTATATTGAGTTTTGTATCCTGTATTTTAAATTGTGTCTTAAACGTCGTGTATACTAAATTATTGTGTTAGATTTAAATCGCCATACTGGGTTTATAGTCACGCTCAGTTGTTTAACATTTTAGTTTTACCCAAAATTGTTCCTTTCCTTATTTCGGCTTATCTTGTATTCTTTAATCTTGAGTTTGCTTAATTTATCAGTTTCTGTTTTCTAACTTGTGAATTTCAGTTAGTTTAGCGCTCTTTACTTTTATAGAATGTTATAGTCATTTCTTTGGTCATAAAACTCGGCTATTTGTATGTACCTTTAAATGCGTGAGAAGAACAAGGTAATACTCAGTTACATATTTCTAAATTATCATACAACTTACTATAATACATCTAAAAAATTTTGTTAATTGTTTAAGCAATAAAAAGCTAATAAAAATTTAATTAATTCTTCCAAAGCTTTATGCATTTTAGTGCACTTATATTACCCTGTCACGGCTAGAATGGCTTCCTTACATTTAAAAAAGATGCACCATTATTAAGTTTTGACGTTTCCACACTTTTGATCTCTTTATATTGGGTGTACTGGTGGAAAGGCGGGTTGCAAGGACGGCAATAACGTGCACCGCCCCAGGGCTCGGAACTGAGTTCTCCTGCCAGTAATCGATTAGTGCGCTTTGTAACCGTTCGAAGGTGCTATTCCTTATAGCCTTGAATAACCTACACCACCTAATCTGGCAATGACGAGGTTAATGTAGCCGGGGTAAATTTTAGCCAGAGTATAATTGGCGTGTATGCGAAAAAGGAGTATAGGTCGAAAGTTGTGTAAAATGAGTTATGTACAGATACATCTCGAGATAACTGTTTTTCTCTTGCGAAAAATAAGTCTAAGTCTAAAATTTCCAATAAGGATTATATGTAATAGGCTAACATAAGTACATCTCGAATAATATTTTCTTAAAAATAATAATTTTCTCAGTAATTTAGTGACGAAAATAGTATATGTTAGACATAATATTAAATCTGAGATATTCTGTCTTTTTATACTATTTTCAACAAAAAATTGTTATAATGAAATCCACTTAGCTTCTTGGTTTATGTAATTATATTAATTTAAAATTTTTTGGTTTTTATATTCACGATCAATAATTCCGCTTGCTAACAAATTTAATCAGTTATTGGGTAGCTTTTCCAAATAACAAAGCACAAGTATAATCCTCTTTTGTTATTACGAAAAAGGGAACCGAAATTTACTAAGTTCATATAGTTTTTAGTTTGCTTTAAATTAATTAAGTTTAACTAGGTTTTCTGTTTAGATTTTGTTGCTATTTTAAAGTTGGCGAATGCTTTTAGTTTGCGTTCGGTGTCAGATTATTTTTTTTTTAGCGCCCTCGAATACTTAGCTATTATTGCTATTTTTATACGAAATCTTTGTAAAAAAAAATTCATACTGTTCAATGTAAAAAAAGGGTAGGGAAAATAAAGTGATGAAAACAGAACAGAACAAAAAATATTTAAGCGTACTAATCAGGGGGCAAAGGGTTAATAAATAAATTGGGGAGACTAGGATAGAGCGTTACACAAAAGTTTATATGTTTTGATGTATTTTATTGCAACGGCAGTGAAAGAAGGGCTTTGAAAATCAAAAAATTTTCAATGGTTGATGTTAATATTGAGACAGTTGGGCAGCCCAAAAATTATTGCTTGCAAAAGGGCAGACCTTGAATTTCTCATTCATGTTTCTTAAGTATGCTTGCCTACCTGTAATTTTATAAGTAATGAACATTGAGGTCTCAATTACAGGACACAACTGTAAAAGCTTTCTTTTTAAAGCTACCATAATAGCATTCACCATATTCTTTTTTAAGATACTAGTTATAGATTTCTTAAGCGCTATTTATATATTGTTAGATATAGATAATGGTAGATAAGGCCGTTTGTATTACGGATGGGGCACATATTCAAATATTTTCACTTACCCACTTGGGTTAGTCTTGACATAAAACTCGCGCCCAATGGAAAGTTTCTAAGTTCTGGTCGCTTTTTTGTGATAAAACGCGTTTCTCGTCTCAGTAAAAATTTTGGTTTTGGTTTTGGTTTCTCGTCTTTTTAATTTCGTTCGTAGTTTTTTAGCTTATTCTAGTTTTCTTTAACGCGCTTTATTATCATATAAATTTTTTACGCTTTTTCCTTAAAGAAGGGTTATATTTTAAAATTTAAAATCTTAAATACCTTTATACATTAAATAGCGCTCGTCTAATTGTACGTCATCTTAAAACCTACCTGTTAACTGACAAGAGAGACGAAGGGTACAAAATATTTACTAAAAAGATCTTGAAAATAGGCCATAAGAGGGTAGTTGTCCTTTTCATCGAATTATTTCGTTAGTTATATGGGTCTCGCTTTTACTTTCCTGTGAAAGGAGTTGTTGTTCAAGGAGTATAGTTTTATACCTAAGCCTTAGTGTATATGTTCATAAGAAAAGGTGAATTCAAGTACATTATAAAAGCTTATGCTACCTCCCCATTAAAGAGCTTCTGGTTTTAAATGTTTGTGCTATAAAAAAAAACTAGATTTCTGTGAAACAATTAATAAGTTAAAAGATTAATTTGTCGATAGAAAGTACATCATAAGATGCATTATTGAGGAGTAAACTGCTTAGACTTCAACACAAGCGCAATTAAATTTTATGGGTTTGGCGGTCGAATAATCCTTAGTTCAAAAGTGCACTCGGTATAAACAGCGTGCGCTGACAACCTCAGAGGTAGGTCCATTTTTGTTTTAAACAGTCAGTTGGTATGTCTATTAAAACGTTAAAAGTAATAAAAATAGGCTGAAAGTCCTAAAAAACCTTTGGACGTACAAATTTTTTTAGCTCACGAGGTAAATAAGAGCTGGACTTTAGCCTAAAGTAGGCAGAAATCTTGTCGACTTATTTACGGCCAAAAAAATTGTTACCTCTTACAGTTACTGTTATATTAAGTCATATAGATATGTAAGTATAAAACTTCCTTATAGAAGGGCAATATTTATATAGCTTAAAATGGAGAGATTTGATATATTCACTTTACCATACATCTTGAAGCCAAGCTAATTTACAAAAAAAAAAATTCAAACGGTTTATATCACCTTAAAAATCTAAAGCTAATTCTGTTAGCTGTGTTATTAGAATTTCTTCCCAATAATTGGCAGGGAAACAAACTAAAATATAGATTCCAATGTACTCCAATTCGAAGACACTACCATCTCCCAAAATAAAAGTTGCTGTTTTTTTTTTGTTTGTTTTGAATGAAAATGAGTAATATATTGAGTAAGAAATAAATTTAACAGTAGCAATTATGTAAGTAAGTAGTCATTACCTTATTTTTAATTGTTTCCTGTTTCTTCAAATAGGCGTTCGTTTATTGACGAGGTGAAAAACCTATGCAACTGAACGCTTGCCTGCTTTTTATTAGAACTAGATACCTCAATCATTGTTTCCTGTCCCGTTAAGGAGGGCGACCACTTTTTGGCGTGATGGGAGCTACCTACTGTAATGACAAGACCACGCTTAGGGTCCAGTGCTGATAAATGCCGAATTAAACTATAGCCTATCGGATGGATTTTCACACTGAAGTATTTGACTCTAATTAAAAGTTGCGCCCTGTTTACCTTGCGTGTTTTCTCTAAGTGTAGATCTTATTGGTCGTGCCTGCGTTTGGTCGCCTCTTGGCTATTTTTTTGTTTTATTGTATTTTGCCTGTACTTTTTAGCTTTTAAACTTGACCTTAGTTTATAATCAAATTACTTAACGGTTTGCTATAAGATGCCTTTAAAAAAGCGAAGGTCCAAAAACTTTAGTAGTGGCGAGCGTGTGAACACTAGGAAGAAATCTGAAAAAAGAAAAAAATATATTGATAGTAGTCAAGAAAATAACTCGGATACATGTTATTTATGTGATTGCTTTGGGAATCTCGTATGTTGCGATAGATGTCCCAATTCTTATCATATTACTTGTTTAGACAAGAAATATCTCCCTAAAAATATAGAGTCTGTAGAGTCATGGTTTTGTCCTTTTTGTCAAAACAAACTGCCTTCTAAGGGTGATTCTATTAAATCCTCCTCCTCTGCAGATGGTGAAGCTATGTTATATAATAACAACTATAATACGCCAGAAGCACCTCAAAACTTTTTTCTTATCCCTCTTCCTGATTCCTTACCCGCTACTTTTGATGAAGTTACTGAAACTACCTTAAACACACCCGGTCTTATCAAGGAAACCGCTTCTACTGTGCTAAATACTTCTTTTTTAATTTCCTCTGGAGGTACGTGTCTAGCAGCTTCAAGTTCAAGCGCTTCCAGTTCTAAAAAGTCGGTTTGTGGCCCTAAGAGCGCTTTGACTTCTTTTCTAGAAGAAAGGGGTATTTCCGCCCAAGAAATCCGCAGGAGGTGCTTTGCACTTTTCACTATGTATTATTCCTATTTTTGTGCTTATATATACTATTAGGCATATGAATCAATACAGCAGAAGCCGAGGGCCTTCCTCAGTACAACAGGTTGACTTTTGTCTCTATAGTTATAAAGCTTTATTTGAAATCCAGTTATTTTATGGCCCGATCGAAAGAATTTAGCGATCTCTTTTGATCATGTTAACCAATCTTCTGTCGCCAGCAATTCTCCGCAGAAGGATGACTCAGGCTCAGATATTAAAAATTCGGTGAAAGTCAGGGTTAAAAAAAAGAACTCTGACGATACTAAAAGCGACAGTGATGGGAGCGATAACCCTTGTAAATAAATTTATTTTTAAATAATAATTTTTTATTAACTATCGTGAACGTAGCTTCTATTTTTTGCGTGATGTGCCGACGTCCTCTTCCCAACAATATGCTTATGAGCGATATTGATCCAAGGGCCCCTAAATGTTCTTTGTGCTGGTCCATCTTAAGGTTTTAGCCTCCTATTTATATAAAATATTTTTCAATATTATTTATATATTAGTAAAAAGATGAAATCTCGAAAAGGTGGTGTTAAAAGAATGAAGAATAAATGTATCGTCGCTGGCACTATTCGCCAGACTACCCATATTCCTACTCTTCAGGATATCTGCGTCAAGGTAATTTTTTTTAATGGAGAGTATTATTATATATTTATGTTGTACAATAGTTTATAGGAAAAAATATAAAAAATGTTGAAACATTTGGGCATATTGGTTCAAAAGCTCTCAACATTATCTGCTCTTGCTTGTGCAAACTTCGTCTTCTAAAGTAGGCTTGTATATGCATCTACTGATGTGAATAATGCCGCGTTTACTCTATTATATAACATGTAGCGAGGAAACCTTTCGGCTTTTCGTCGAATACCCGACTACCTCCTTGACACTTTATGACTGCGCTAGTAAGCACCGCTTATTGTTGCTGCTGTTTCTTCACTCTTACATTCTTTGTTATTTTTTAAATAGAATTAACTCGTGAAAACCTAAAAAGTATTGGCTGGAATCTTCCAAAACTCGTGGTTTGTTTATATAGAACTTTTACTTGGGGACTTGTTTTTTTAATATCTTATAGAGTTTGACTTTAGAAGAGTGTGGCCAGCTGGACGACGAAATATTAAAAAGCCTTTCTAATTGTTGCCCTTTGATTACTCGTTTTTGTTTGAATGGCGCCCACTTAGTTAGCGATGAAGCTCTTTGTACAACTTTTAGTACACCAACTTTTTATATACCACATTAATGTCTGGGCTTTTTCTTTCAGCCTCCTTTATTGCTTCGCGCGCTCTTACTGAGTTCGAGGTGTCTTATAACTCAAATATTGCAGAGCGCACTGTCAGAGCTCTCTTCAAGGAAGGTTTTAACATTAGTCGCTGTGCACATAACAGTTGAAGTTAAAGTTATCACACGTTTATCAGGAAATAAGTTGAGCAAGCTTTGCATCGCGAAGTGCGCCAACATTAAAGATTATTGCTTTTCTGGTCGTCTTGACTCCTCCTGCTTGAGCGCACTCACATACGACGGTAAGTTACCAACCTCTTAACTCTGCTTCTACTTAACCTTTATTTAAAGGACTTGCCATCTCGAGCGACGCATACAAAATCCTAAACCGCGCTTCTTCTGAATTTTACAGCTTGAAAGTGGTTAATTGTTCCCCGCTGGTGGAGGTGGCTTTTTTTACATGAGTCAACTTCGGACTTAAACTATTATAATACATATTTAGAACTCTTTGCCTATAATAAATAAAATTTTACCCAAGTTAACGTCGTTGGAGTTGGACTTGAGAATTTTTTCAAGTGTGGACAAAATAAAAGCGTTTTTTTTTGTTTTTTATTAATTGAAATTATTTTAAAGCGCCTTTATAGTTTTCTTAATGAACTTACTGAGTCCACTCGTCTTGAAAAATTATTTCTTTATCACTGCGCGGCGTTAGACGATGGGATGCTATGCGCCATTTTAAAGGGTTCTTTTTATTTTAATAAATCATCAACTCTTGCCGAAAGCCTTAACTGTCCACAGAAAACGCCGGTAGGCTTACATCTTTGACCATGAGTGAAGGAACCGAGCTTACGGTGGGATCCCTTTCTCTACTATCCAGTTGCCGGCTACTGGAGAAGCTGGACCTGTCCTGGTGCGGAAGAGTCAATAACGAGGTTCCGCAATCCCGTGCAGTGGCTTGCATGCTGAACTCACGTGCCTGTACCCTTCTTCATTTCCAGATAGTAGCGAGTGTTGTGCGCAAGTGCGAGAGGTTGCAGGAAGTTGCGCTTTGGGGCTGCCACCGGATCACTGAAAGCCTTTGCGCATACACGAAGGGGAGGGTGGACATCAAGGGAGCCATGTTTGCGTGACGGAGCCTTTATTTACTCCGTCGACTGCTTACGCCTTCGACGAGCCAAACCCGGAAAACCCCATCACCTTCTCGACCTCGTCCTCTTCCTGTATGCCCGCGCTCCGCAGGGCTGCCTTTGCAGCTTCTCGGCGAGCCTTTCTTTCTTCCTGAAAAACACAATAACTGATAGTAATAACAATCACCTATAAGGAAACAACCTCTTTTCTCTTTTTTCTCTCCTCCTTAGCCCGTTGCGTTGCTCCCTCAGCAGCCCTCAGCTTGGCCTCATAGTCAATGTCCTGTGCTCTTTGTTTTAATTCCTGCTTGTCTTTTACTTTTTTTAACCTTTGCTGAACCTATCATAATACTACATTAGAAAATTATCTTCACTGATAAACTATTTTTATAATTTCCTGCGAAAGAGTCGATTTTTCGACCCGCATAGACATACCAAGATTTTTTTGATCTGTATGAGCGAAGTTTAAAAAAAGGTAACTGTTTTAGTAAAAGTAGTTAATACGCTTTCTTCCGTTTATGTGATCAAAAAAGTTAGTAGAGTCTTTTATAACACAATCACAGACGTTGCAGTAAAATCCACCGCTTTGCGAGAGTGGCGTGTCTTTTGTCACTACAACTATTTTGCCTATAGTTATGTAAATACTTTAAGTTTTAAGCACTCTTAATACAATAATGTGCCAAAAAAAAAATTTAACGTGAAGCAAAAATTAATCAAACCTACCGTTTTATCGAAAGTTTAAAATGTGCAACTTTTCAAAGTGATTAGTTAAAAGAATATGCTACGCATTATTGTATCAAATCATAGCTACAAGTATGTAAACTATTTTTCAACTATATTAACTGGAAACACCGCAAATGAGTCAAGTCGCTCTTAATTTTAAAAAGTTATGGTCAACCGCCAACAAAGCTCAAAGTAATCCGTTACTATTACTTAAGCAATTTCACGGTCAACTAAGACCATAATATATACAATAAAAGTATTTACATAAAAAATGTATATAAATTAACTCGTAGCAAAAAATTTTTGAAACTGTGGAGAAGTAGAAGGTTACCTAACTTATCTTCAACGTTAACCTTATAGTCCCTTGCCTTCAAAAGGGATCTTTCTATCGGTTTTCCTGGTCTAACGACTAATAAAATATTTGTTGTGTACACAAGAGCCCTTAAGTTAAAATATAACCTCCTCTAAATTTTTCTTCATCTTCCCTAATATATTTTTGTGCAAGTTTTTCATACTCATCTTTGTCCCATTTACGGCGAAAGCTGTCGTCTGTTTCGGCCTAAAATTCTTGGTAAAAAATTGGGTAGTATGTATTCGTACAACTAACCAGATGAGCTTTTTCTGGATCTCTTTCAGACATTCAATAAACAAAGATGTAAATAGTATATTACAATAATTAAAAAATTTAAACTCAAGATTTCCTCAATCAAAGCTAAAACATAAACCTTACAAAGATTTCGAGGGCAAATAGGGACAAGAAAAAGTAAAAGATACTTAGCCCACCAATCGCCTCCATGTGTCCGCCGCATGACTTTATTTATAAATGATATCCTAGTGCTTTATCATAATAACAGTTTTGAATACCCGAGCTCTTAAACAGGTTTCGTGGCCCACAAGTACGATATTATTATTATCTTGAAATGTGTCTTTTGCGTTTGGTTTACACCCCAACCTTAGCTTTGTACGCTGGTCCAAGCCTCGTAAGTGAGTTCCCAATTAGCGTGAACAGCTATTCATTTGTAAAGGCGGGGGGATTTGTCAACCCTTCAACTTTAATTCGCGGTAAAGTTTATCATTTCGTACAAGCCACGAGGCGTTTGTCATAAGGTGCTACAGTTTATTTTGGACGTTACTTGCGATAAGCCGTTGGCCACGTAATTTACATGCGAACGCCACGACCACTTAAAAACTATGACGTCCCCCAGGTATATCACCTGAGGACGTCACAGTATTTCAACACCGTTGTAAGTCAACGGGGTCACATTAGATAGCAAGCGCGCCGAGTAAAGTTTTAATCGCTGGAGTAATACAATGGGAGACATCGACGATAAATATATCATCGTACCACATGCGTAAACGGTGACCCGCACGTTAGGCGGACTGGCAGAGACTGGTCGCTGATATAGAGTTTGAATAGCAGCGGTTATAAGAAAGAGCTTTGCGGAACTCTCGCTGGGGGTAGCGGGCGAGGACAGTGCAGCTCCTATTCGCACGCTGAAGGCCCGGTTGTTTAGATGCAACTTGAGCACGTTTCGAAGGCCGCGCGGGATGACTAGGGCGTAAATTCAAGGTTTTGGTTGTCCATTTGGTTAAGCAAAAAATTTATTGGGTCGTTGACCTTTTATAATCCAAACCGAAACTCCGGTAAATTTTATGGGCGTCCACAATGCTTTTAAACGGTATAGCAACTGCTGACAAAAGGCTAATGGGTCGAAATTCTGAAGCTCGGATGCCAGTTGCGGTGTCTTTGGTAACATCACGACTACCGCCATTTTCCATCGCACAGGTAAAAGCTGAAGGCCATCACCCAGTTTAAGAGGCAGCGGGAATAAATCATAGCCTATTCCGGCAGTTGTGTTAACATCAGGTTTGTAATGTCTTCAGGGCGAGGCACCTCCCGCCTCAGTAGCGTCTTGATGCTTAACAAAACAATCGTACTTCTAACCTAGACTCCGCTCCTCTGCTACTGTGCGAACTTGGAGTAACCTAGTGCTTATTTGCTAGCAGGAAGGTTGGAATAAAGAACAATTTAAATAATTAAATAAAAATAATATAAAGTAAAGCGAATAACACTATGCTTGGATCAAAAGCTACTTATGCCTTTACATTACCAGAAAGTTTGGCTAATTAACGAGCTTTGTGATGGTTGCGTTGGTATTAATTTGGTCATCCTTCGAGCGGCCTTAATATTCCATTCGGGCCGGTTGTTTGCTGACTAACTATATGTTGTTTATTAGTATTTTCCTATTTTCTATTTTAAATTTTTAGTGCTTTTGCCCCTAGAAATACCAAAAACTTGTCCAAATCTGTTTTAATTCTGTGGATAGAAGCACTATTTTTGACCTTGCACAGGTCATTTTTAATAAGTAAGGGTTCTTAAACTCCTGTATAAGAGCTAAGAGATTCGCTCTCTTGTCTTGTTGCTTGCGGTTGTCCTGTTACGCCTTTATCATCTTGTCTTCGCGTCTCATTCTTCGCCCGGGGAACCGTAAGTGACCTAGGTTATCGCTGCGACTACGGCGAGGTACGCGTCGGCGATCCTTTAAAGAAAGATTTCTAACGTCAACAGTGCAGGTGCTGGTACAATGTATCTCGGTGGTGATGGTTCATGTCTTTAGAACCTCGCGATAGTCTAGTACATTCTTAATGTGGAGTCAGGATTGCTTTTAGTCCCTGGGCTCATGTCGTAGAAGTACCTGTAACAGACAAATCTATATATAGAATTCGCTTCCAGCCTTTCCCATATTCCTGAAGGGTTCCCCATGGTTTCGATCTAGGGGAGGTAACAGACTGCCATCCGAAGATGTAATCCAATGTGAATGTAGTAACATCTGTCTCGGGTGAAGTCACTCTCTACTCTGCAAAGGTGTTGACATTAACGTTAATGTAAACTTTAACCATTCATACTTCTTTAACTTGATTCTAACACTAGTAGGTGATTAACTACGAAAAACCAATGCACCATTATTATGGTACCTCCTGAGTTCAGCTTTGTTATGAAGGCTGCGTTGTACTTTGGAAAGCTATAGATGGTATAACGCTCGGGTGGAAAGATCTCTTTAAACTTGGTAAAAAACCAAAGGCTGGCTAAATTCTGTAGGTAGGTTCTCTCTAACCTATAATTTTTGATGTCTCATTATGGTTAATATTCTGCCTTGGACCTGGTGTCTTCGGATTATTTAACTAGACTTGGCACGTTCGAAAGTTGACTTTGGTTGCTTAAACTATTCAGGTTAAGTAACTTGAGTACTAACTCTTCGCGATGAGTACTAGCGTTACCTTCTCAAGCAAAATATTCTTATACGTTGCCGATGGAGAGCTTCTCGGCCCTTTGATGAAATTTTGGGGAGACTTTCCGAATTAGCTAGGAACCTGCCTCTATTCGAGTGATTAGCTGTGGACGAAAACCATGGAGGTAAGAACTAGCTAATGAGTGATAATAGGCATCACTATTGCTCTGGTTCCGAGGCCGCTAGTGGTTGATTGGATTCATGTTGGTCTGGTCGCCTAACTGGTGTGTAATGGTGCTTGTTCTAAGTCCCTTGATACGTTGGTATGAGTACTGTCATTTTTGTGCTATTTACTAGTATTGTATATATTGGCCGTCCATCCCTAAAACCTTCGGGATAAACCTCACATCGTCTAAAGGTTTGCACAATTGTAATTTAGTACAACTTGACTTAATATGAATACATATATCTTCCCATTTGGTCGCACCAATATTTAAGACTTTTTAGATTAACTATATCGTCTACGCCGATGATGTGGGAGTAGGGAAGAAGCAAAAAAAATATTACTAAATTGCTTTACGCCCATATTCTATTAACAATAGTGAGGTAAAAGGTGTGTTATACAAGCCAATTTAAATTACTAATGTTAAAAAGCATCAAAATGCATAATCTAATAACAAGACGTGTGTGCGTCTTGTAAGTATACAGAAGGAAAAAGGTGATTGTCCTTTTAAATGTTTTCATAGTGCTAGATCTCCTTACCTGCGTTGCTTAATCCATGGGATTATGAACTTGAGACCCGTGCCCTCCTTTCCTAATGATACCAACGAGTTAGCCAACTCATTTTTTTTAGGTATAAAGTTATCGAGATCACCTTTTGAAATATACTTTGTATGTTTAAAAGAATCATTTACAATATTGTACCACTCTATAACTCTCAATACGACATAAAGCTATAAAAATACGCAATAAGAAGTCAACTTTTAACATCTTTTTAGCACTAATTAAGATACTATGACTTTCTCTTACCTACATGACCAACATTAATATAATTTTAAAAGCTCAAACTTTTCTAATAACTAAGTTTGGCAGTAAAATATTAGATATAATAGGACAAATACAGTTATGGAGAGAATAAAACTTAAAAAGAATTTGAAGATTTAATAATATATTATTTTCAGTTATTTATAGTACTGGCTTATCACAGGCGTGATTACAATCAGTTGCTACGTAATATACTTCTCTATTAATAGAGGGTGCAAAGCTCATAAAGCCGTCAATTAGAATGAATTCGCATTATAACCACCACATTATTGTCATAATAAAATAGTTAAGATTAGTACCATTATATAATATTAAAAAATATATACTAAATTAAAGTAATATTATAAATTATATTCTTAGTTATAATCCCCTTTCGATTGGTCTGAAAACTGTCTCGGCTGCGGTAGTTGGTGTACCAAGGGGAGTCAGTCATAATCAAGAGCCTGCCAAATTAGTAATTATGGTGTCTACATGTTTACATAGGCTGTAGGCTACACCCTCCATTAGAGTTGCTTGTTGCACATAAACCAAGGCACGGCCACCACCATTCTCAGAACGCAATTGTGTATTATTTGTAGTAGTCGAATGAATATGACTGTTTGTATATTAGAGCCAGGCAATAGAGGCATGAACCACCAACGGGCGTATAGCCGATTTGTATAATAGAAGCTTGTTTTTTAGATGCAATTTGCTTCTACATAGTAGGGGGTATAAAACGGATGCTTTTAGTAACGACGTAAGAAAGATGCGGAGCACAGCCTAGTCTGTTGTCAACTTTCACTCTGAGGTAATATACCTCTTACTTCCAGGAATGGGTTTGGTTTGGTGAGAGAATAAGAATTTGGAGGGGTATCCCCTTTGCTATAATCATTAAAAAAAAAGCTACTGCTTGACGCGTTAATTACTAGATTTCATGTGAAAACATGCATCAAACACTTAAATGAAAGTGTCTGTTTTTAGACACCAGTTAGGCGGATTTTGGACTAATGTGGCATGTTACACATGTAGAAGAAAAAGTAAAGGGAGCAATAGAGTATCATGGGGAGCGCTCACATTGTGGTGTTTAATAACGGAATTTATCGAACTTACTTTAACAGTAAACTTCTATTTGTTAAATATGGATGTACCACCGCAGTGAAGTGAAAAGGAAATCTAACAGTAATCATTCAATAAAGCAGACCATCCTGCCATATTTTATTAAAAGCCTATTTCAAAATCTAAATGACCACACCCGTTACATTTGTAGCTTCTCCCGGTACGTCTAAATATCTGGTGGAGTGGGAATTTTTTTGAAGAACAAAATTGAATATTAGCTAGAACACACACCCTATCCTCAAATTCTTGCCATCTATAGAAAATTAACCGCTTTTGACTCCTTTCCAAGGAAAGACAGCAAGCTTATTAAAAGTTAGTCTTTAAGTATTAAAGCTTAGTTCTCGAATTAAATATAACTGCTAATAACCACCGTTTAAGTAAGCAGTGGTAAGTATTTAGTTAATTAATCTTAAGATCAGAGAAATAGTTTTTGAAGTAAATTTTATTAAGCATTAAATTAAAATTATTATCAGGGCCCAACGTTTTCTGTGTATTTATGGGTCGAACAATATCTTTTCCGCTCTGGATTTTAGCTTAATCCTGTTGCTTATATTAGGCCTTAGAAGGTAAGCAGTAACTAAGGTGGACGTGCTTGGATGGTCTTCATGTCGGTAGGGCTCTAACTTAGATGGGTGAGCTTCTAGTGGGTGGCAAATGCCTCTACATCTAACCTCGTAGCTGAGAGTTAATGATAATATTAATATGATAAAATATAATTAAATCGTAAAAATTAGGCGAGGCCGCATAACCACGCCGTGTTGGCGTGGAGAAGGCCTTGAATCAACTTTGGCATCAAGGTCTGCACAAGCCGCCGTTGCGATTACTGAAAGCAGGGGACCCTCGAGGTTCTCCTCTCCCACCTCTACTGTCCGCACTCTATATATGCGACGTGACCTTGCCATTTAATTTTCAAATGCGTGTCGTCCTTTACTTCGACGATACAGCCAACCATTTTCTTATCGTCGAAGTCTCCCACCCTGCCATGCTAGCATCTGCGGCGCCATCTTGACGCGCTCGACGACTGGTGTCGTTAATAAAAAGTAATTATATGACACGAAAAGCAAAGCCCTCCTAATAACGCAGAAACGTAACTCATCATTGGCGACCTTGACCTCTGATAGCATGAAGATTGGGTGGTGCTCCAAAGGAAATACCTGGGAGACATAATTGACAACAATTTTTCGTAATGGTCACACGGGTCTACAGAGTGGTGAAGGTTGAGGGAGCAACTAAGACGCTTTATTTTTAATTATGCACCAACAGCAAGCTTACACTGCAAAGCACACGACGATTGTATGTGTCTTGGGTCCGGCCAAAAATGACATACGCTTTTGCTGGAAGGACTTACGATTTCAAGGCAATAGCGTTTGCATTCCAAGTGCAGCAACGTGGTTTGTACGAATGAAACTCTTTATGAGGACCTTCAGTTAGACCCACTGAAGGTCGTCTTCCGACACAATGCCCATTGTCATTTAGGAGTTGCTAGCTAGCGACGATATCATCGTGACGCGCTTTAAGCTCTAATTCCTCGTTTGTGTTTTTGAAGATTAAAAAATATAGGAAGATTATCGATAAATGATTAGAATGCACTTTGTCGCAATTAGTCCTAATTGAAAGTTTGAGTTTTCTTTCTAATCTATTTCGATTGAATATAGCTTGACACGAACTAGGCCCGAGTGGTCATTTTTACATCATACACGTGATCCGGGTAATTTACAAGCTTTTAATAATTTTATAGTCCTTCTTAGCTTCGTGCCATAAAGTATTAAAAATGGTAAACTCTGACTCGGTACGTAGGCATATTGTTATTGAATTAACAAAGAGCGCTGAAAACCAATTTAGCTTCTTTTTGTTACAACTAGTAGCTAAGGCTTCTTTCGTAGCAGTCGATTTAGTACGTTGGTACCTCTTTTGTTTGATAAACTGTTAAATTAGTATTTAAAATTTAGGAACTCAGTGGCCTTGGAGACTTGAAATCTCTTAAACATCCGTTATATTATTTCCTTGGCCAATATCCCCTTTTTTTTTATAATTATTATACAGGAATCTCGAAGACCGTTACCGGTTACTCTCTTTAACGGCAAAGTCCAGGGCTATTGTTTCTCTAGGATTATCTTTTTTTTGTCCCTTAGATGTTAATGATTTTCAAGTGTACTCTTTTAATATATTAACGGCATGCCAGGTTTCTGTCTTAAGGCAATGATAAATAGATATTTTTACCTAAAACGCGGTTTTTTTTTAGGATAGTTATACTGTTGACCCCAGCAGTTTACAGTTCTTAGCAGATAACGGTTTTGATTTTAATAAACAAATATCGGAAGGGCTGCTATATTATTCTGGAAATGATCGAGTTAAGTCTTTAATATGTTCCAAGTTATATGTGAGCTTATAATTGTTGGTAAGGAAGAAGAAAGAACTCCCTTTTTGAGGAAACTGTTTTTAGAAATAAGTAACTCAAATTTACGTGTTGTTTTGCATAACGGCTTCATTGATCTTATATTTCTTTATCAGGTTTTGAGTAACCTTTATTATGCCGTTTCTATATTAATTTCAGCTTTAATTTTTGTATATCTTTCTTTCTAGTGTATCGCTTGCTTTTTAATTAGTTTCTGTATACCTAACGAGCTAGAAATTTTTTCCTTTAGGCTTTTTATGCCGATCTTCCTAGTAGCCTTGAGACCTTTGTTGCTGACGTGTCTTGCCTTTTTCGCGGCGGTTCTTTTTTTTTTTTAGTTGGACAAATACATAATTATTTGCGGTAAGTGGTGCAAAACTTGGGCCTGTTTTTGGTAATCTTTTTTCGTTTTTCAGGCATCGCTGATACCAAGTACATAGCCGACTACCAAGTTAGGGATGACGCAAGTTTTTTGGAGTATTTATTCTGGAAAAGGCATATATTGTTACATAGATCTTTAGTAATAAAGCAGATCAGTATATTACTCAAGACTTTCGCTTATTTTTAATTGTTTCTTTATTCTTTATATATATATGTTTATACAGAATGAAGACCATGGCTACCGAGAATTTTGCCTCAGTCTCTATTTCAAATCTCCTTTTAGCTTCTTCATTCGACCCTCTTATCAATGTTAGTATCGCCATTATTTTTATTGACAAAGAATGGAAGGTTTATTGTTTTTAATTGTAGATCAGAATGAACGAGATTGACTTGTTCGATTTAAGCCGAGCTCCACCCACACCTGTTGTCCTTTGCGCCCAATACGCTGTACTTCACATTCAATCTTTCAAATTTTATGCTTCAGTTCTTCTTTCCATTTTGCTGTTTCTTGCAATCCAGTCAGATTATATAACTACTGTAACCTTAGCCGCACTCTAGAGCCACGGCAACTGTTCGCATGGCCGCCACTGCCTCCTCTCCCACGACATCAAACTTTTATTTACAGCCGGCAACTCCGTTTCTTTAGGAGGAAGCGCCCTACATGCCCCCAAAGCCGAAAAGCTTTCGAAGAAGCAGAAAAAAAAGATGCGGAAATCTTTAAAGCGTGCGAAACAAGAGTGTTTAGCTAATGTTGCTAAGCGCTTTGCCCTCGAGGAGTCAACAGGGGAGCGCCCCCGCAGTAATGGCTTTGCGGCCAACGCCGAGCCACGTGACGAGCTTCGCGAAAGGGCCACGCGGGATGCTCTCTGCCCTACTGAAAGGTCACTCTCTGTGTTGGCCGTGTATCCTTATGCAGGCAACATACGGCCATCAACAGGTTCAGTCACCGGGCGGGCTTCGACGCCTTCATGACTGGCTTTGTCTACTTTGTCGACAGTCACATATATAATGAGAAGTTAACGGCGTTTGACAATATGCTTTTTCTAAGCTATAAAAAAGTTTCTATTATTCAACCGGTCCTCTATAACCTCCGCAAAGTTTTTTTTTCTAACAGGTCCCTCTCAAGTTGGAGAAAAGCGCGTATGCACTGAACTCACAGGAGTTCTTGCGAAAAAGCAGGAACGTCGCTCAGCAACAATTATTCGGCAAGTAGACTAATTAGCTAATTACCAACAGACTAAGCTTTGGAATAAGTGACTGTACCTGAGAGTTTGTTATAGAAATAAAAAAGGCGTTGCCCTTCGGTTTAATGACATATTAAACCTGTTAAATTTTGTAAACGCAATTTCTTTGATATAAGGGAGTTTAGGATTAGAGTAATTTATAAAGCTGCTTCCAATAACTTCACAGTGTTATACGGTTTCTTAGAGAAATGCTTGAAATTATTCCAGCGCGTGCACGGATAAAATTCTTTTACAGTGCGTTTTGGGCTGTAAATAATTATTAAATCGACAGTTTCCAGTTCTTATTTGATAGCTGCTACCACATCGAACTACTTAGAGTAAAGACTGAAAGGGGATTCTGAACCGTTAATATAATTCTGCCAGCAATTAAAAAGACTAATAAACCATAGAAATTTAAAGCACAATAGCAGAATTTGAAAAACTATTACAATAAAAGGAGAAACTAGCCGGTGTTTTTGGTCAAATTAACACTACTTTAAGGTTTATATCTTCTGTGGTTTTTAATTTGTCGTGATTTACAACGTTTTTAAAGACACTTAACCTTCTGCAAAGTTAGCAACGAGATGCAACGGAATGACAATTTACTGTAAAATTTTTCGGGGCGGCTTAGTTCAGGCAAAAGATTCGTTTCTCTTTCGCAATTAGCTCGTTGCAAAACATTTAAGACACTTTCCTTATAAACAGCAGTGATTACAATTTATTTTATTACTATTTTACATTCAGGGCAGCAATGTTTAAACAGATAGAACGTTTCAAGTTATGCATATTGGAGTTTAATAACTTCTTCCCTGAAATACATGAGAAATGTCTCTGCACTCATCTGCGGGTCTTGTCTTACCATCTCGCATATCATAATAAGAGGCTTGACGCCTTCAAAAGGAAGAAGAAAGATATAAAAAAGGACCTCTACCAAGTTGTACCCGCATACCAAGTCGGAAGTTGAGCTGTTCGGCTCGAAGCAGTTGGGCGAGGCGACTAATCTCAGAGCCTTCGAAAAGGTTGATCTCTTTCACTACAGAGGCCACATGTTCTGGGAGCGACAAACAAGGAACAGTTGCATGCGCGTCGAACTCTTGCAGCACTCCCAAGTCGACCATTGTGCCGCGTTGGCTGGTAGTGCCAATAACAAAAAGGCGGCGATGCTGCGGGCATGGGAAAGTTAGCGTCGCCACAGGCTATGAAACGGTGCCTCGGAAGGGACCTGTTTGGGCTGCTTCTTAATCAGCACTAGAAGAGTCTGCAAGACCATATTAGAAAAGCGGGGGCCTATCGGGACGTAGTCTGCCGAGATATATATAATAAAAACGAAACCGTTTCGACGGCGAAAGAAAGGCAAAACTAGACCTAAAAGGCGTTCGATATTGTCTATAACAATGAGACTCAGCGGAGACTTGTACGCATCTTCAAAAGTCTATCGGAGACCAACGCATAAGCTGGTGCCTACACCGAAGTAAACGTGCGACCTTGGTGATAGCCCCGCACTTGGAAGCCTCCGACATCCCGACGTACTGCTCGGGAGACACCAACTTGATGAAGGGATAACCCGAGTTCAGCGCTATCGTAGCGGCAAGAGCAGTTTTACCAGCCCCTGGCAGCCCTGGTCGCACGTTATTATAAAGAAAATTATTTCCAAGTAAGCTGTGGACAAACCGTCGATGAGCAAACTAACGAGGCGAGTGCGGCTGCTGTTCTGAACTTGATTGCAGTAGAGCCGGCCCTCTTCGATGATGTGCTGAATAAGAGATTTGTTTAAGCAAAAGAAGCAGAAAGGCTTATTAGAATAAAAAAAAAAGGGGGGGGGGGGATACTTCGATGTCTGAGTCCCACGTGACAATCCCGTTTTGGGTGCAATCTTTGAAGTCGGCTTCTTGTACGCCAAATGAAGGAGTTACATCTTCAAACGCAGAAACAAAGTCCGCTCTGTAGAGCTTCATGTGCTTGAGGGATTCAACATCGACCTTCCCGAATTCTTTATTCTGCGTTGCCATAATATCATCCTCTTAAACAAATGAACGTAAACATCGACTACATCCACGTGGCGATAAAAGGCATAAGAGGAGGCGGCCTTGATGACGCCTTCTATCTCTGCTCCGCTGTAGTTCTTGGAAAGAGCTGCCAGTTCCTCCAGAGACACGTCTGGGCTAAGCAAGCCATTGTCTCTAATCTGCCGTTCGTGCTGTGCTTAATGGCCCGCGCAAGTCAAGTACGAGTAGGCAGGTGTACGCTTTGAGTGTGGATCGAAAGGATCTGGAGGCGCCCCTTCTCGTCCGGAAGACCAATCTCCATCTGGACTTCGAGTCGCCCTTCACCACGCGGTAGACATTAACATGTTTTAATCTGCGCAAGGAAAGGAGTGACCAGGGCGGAGCAGAGCGCTGTCAATAAGATCCGCACGGTTTGTCATCCCGATGATAAGAACATTGTTTAGACGTTCGTAGCCGTCGATCTGCAGTAAATAACAATAATAGGAAGGCTGGTTACAATAATAATTAACCTTCGCCAGAAGCTGGTTGACGATGTTGTCGCTGACGCTTGTAGAGCCGAGCGACATTCCGCGTTGGCGGCAAATCGCATCAATCTCATCGAAAATAATGATGTGGAGAGCGCTATAGTCGCCGTGTTCAGCCGCCTTTTATAAAAATACATCATAATTTACAGGAAGGAAAACATTATAAAAGTAGCGCGCCTCTTTTTCGGCGTCCGAAAACAATTTTCTTATGTTTTCTTCGGACTGACCGACGTACTTATTCAATATATCGGGACCTGAGTTGTTTTTCAGAGTATCTAATCAAAATTAAAAAATTAAAAAAGAAATAAAACCATTCACGATCTTGGGCGGCCTTGCGTTGAGCATCTTTCCGATTTGTCTAGCCATTAAAGTTTTACCGCACCCGGGGGGCCCATAAAGAAGAATCCCTTACCAAATAAAGGGTTGGGTAGTTTTTAGTATAAATTAAACTTCTGAGCGCAGCATAAGTAGTCATCGCACCTCTCACATGTTGGATTCCAAGCTGGGCGACTAAGTCCGGTGGGAACACGCGCGAGGCAAAGGCCCGCCGGAATATCGTGCGGAACTCTTTATCGAGTCCGCCAATCCCCATTTGCTCAAAATTCCAATCGGGATTGATGAGATTCACCGCGCAAATACTGACAATATAAATATTGCAAGTTTTAGGCAGACTTCTGCTGCTTGCTAACAGTAACTAAACACAAAAAAATCTACTAAAATAAATTCAATCAAACTGAATAAAGTTCTATAAAATAGTGAAAAGTCTAAAGAGGGAGCACCCCGCAGCAGTCCCTTTAATTTTTATAGCAGATCCTTCCGCCTTAACAAAGTCAACGGCTGTTTGCGACATGAGTACTCCAAGATCGGAAGGCTCTCCAACTTCAGAGTGACTCTTTAACATAATAGAAGCAGTTCGAGTAAAAAAAAAAGATTTGTATTAGTGAATAACTTAAACGTAGAAATTGTTAAAATAAAATTTAAATACTTTAAAAAAGTATCATAAAAAGGCGTTTTATATTAATTTATTTGGAAAACAAAACTAATATAATAGAAAAGTAAAATCTTTTTTCAAAAATAAACTTTTTTAAAATTAATACTGAAAATGTTTTATATAATAAAAAATTTAAAAACATTATAGAAATCTTAAAGTAAAAAAATGCTATAAACAGGAATAAGACTTGGAAAAAAAAACAAAAAATAATTTTATTTCTCTCATAAAAGTTTTTAAAAAATAAAATATAAAAAAGGAAACTAAAATATTATTAAAAAAATATTTAATAACTATAAAAAGGGATTATTATTCTATATAATAAAAATTAAGACTTGAAAAGTGAAATAAATATTTTTACGCAAGTATATAAAAATTAGATAAACTTTTCTGGTTCATAAATATACTTACGTAAACTTTACAAAAAATAAGTAAAAGACATATTTTTCTTAACAATAACTTAAAAGGCAGTTTAAAAAAAAATTGAATTAAATAAATTCTTTTGAAATTACATTTTAGCTAAAATAGTTAAAAACGGATTATAGATAAAAATTTATAATAAAATGATAGCATTATTAGTCTGCGCCTCTTTAACTTGGTTAATATTCTATAATATATATAACTTATATAGTCAACGTCACAAGTTGGAAAAAGTAATAAAATAGTTAACGCCGTCCTCCATGGAGTTTTTAAGTTTTTCTAAATCCATTACTTCCAAAGTTTCTACTCTGCAATCTAATTTGATTCCTTTGTGTACCAGTAGCAATAACTGTCCTTTACTTAAAAGAAGATTGGGGAATTTCTATAACATATTGATAAGCAGAAGCTTAATATAGAAAAAACGCCTTAAAATAGAAATAAAATTCTAAGTAAAACTTTCTCAAACCTGTACAAATTCTGCAGCCATTGTTTTGGCGTCGAAAGGTTCAGCAGGAGATTTTTGTTTCTTTTGAAAAAAGTCGATCTATAGCGCAAACATATAGCTATTATATACTAGTCCTAAGCAGAAAAAAATAGTTCAACTTCAAGGTTTATGTGTTTCAAATAATAGTTGCCATTTTTATATTTTGAGATATCAAAAGGGAAAACGTCAACTTCTACGTTTAAAGCAAGTTCGGCCCAATTTCTTTGATGATAAGAAAAAGCTGTATAATTTATATATATGAATTTCGAAGAAAATCCAATAGGTCTATAGTTACCTATTGAGTCAGAAGGTATCTTTGAGTCTTCGAGGAGTGTAAAAAAAAAACTATGAGTCGGATGTTCACTGGTACGAACTTCTATATAGCTTGATTTAAGAAGGTTGGGATGACAAAAAACTGCATTGGTCAGAGCAGCATTTTCATTTGGAGATTTTATTACCTTTAATTTCATAGCATATCGGATGTCTGATAATAATGGGTAAAAGTCACGATAAGCAGTGTTTAAACATAAAAAAGAGATAACTTTTCTTCAACTAAGGCCTCGTTGCAGTATCTCCCAGGGAACCCCCACATCTGCTCTCTCATGCAATATAAAAAATTCGGTTACCATATATATACGCTCAGTACTTAAAAGTTTCCTGGCTTATAACACTGCCTATGAAGAGGTATTTTAAACTTATCATCAGTCAGCTTTCTTTAGCACAAAGCAATTTGGTCCAGAAAATGGATAAGTAGACCTAAAATTTGGCTATTGTTTTCATACAAAAAGACTGCTCGAATTCTTTGTCTTCTACTATGCATATGCTGGAGAATAGACTGTTGTGCGCAAGTTATGCGAGCGAATCATCTGAGAATGTTAAAAAAATTAAAAAGAGAAGATAAGGAAAGGGGAGCAAACAATCAATCTAGGTTACTTGTGCCTTCCTACTCGTCTCTAAACAAATATACAAGCGAGATTATGCAAGTCTCAAACAAGTAAACGAATTACATAGATAAAAATGTAAAAAAAAGGCAAAAGGTAATAAAAACTAGTAAGAAGGAATTTTTTTTTGCAACCCCCCCCCCCCCCGCCTTTACTTTATGTGCTCTTTTCTTTTTAATTTTTTTTACGCAGATAAAAAGATCTTTAAACCAAAATAAATAGGGCTTTAAGATAATTTAGGCTTATTTACCTTATAAAAATAACTTTTTACTTTATAAAAAAGACCAATATTTTCAATTTATGTTTAAAAATATCTTTAAATTAAAGGGTTTACGCAAGAAGCGATAAGCGCGATCTTGTTTAGGTGTTCTAAAAGAGAGTCGTACGTTCCAAGGTAAGTAGCTTTATATATTTTATAACGAATAGCCTTGAATATTTATTTTCTTTATAAAACCTACTCCCTCTTGCAATATTGACTTATGCAACTATTGAGCAGCCTTGCAGTCTTATGAACTATTGGATATACCTCTGAGCACTGCAAATTTTGTCTGAAGTAATACGAAGAAGCCGAAGCTACTTTTTAGATCATTTTATTAGCAAACCAGTCTCGTGGACTGAAAAACCTGAAGGAAAAAACTCGCTTTTATAAGACCCTGAAAAAAGGTAACTTTTTATATGCTCAAACAAAAAGCGCAAAGCGAACGAGCCCCATGGTGCTGATTCAAAGATCTCTCGCGAATTATTATAATTCCCAAAGAGACTCTTTAAAGACCTAATAATAGATATAATATTCAAGTCAGTGGTAAAAGCACAAACCACTTTAATAAAATATACCACTGCGGAAACTCTATGAGCTTTACAGGTGCATGAGGGCTTATATTTAACAGTTGTTTTACTGCCAAGATGGAGGTGTGGAAGCCTCTGTTGTAGTAGTATATGTTGAAATGAAATGCTTAACTTTTCTAAGCAGTAATATTATAAGAAAAACCCGAGCTGGTCCACGAGCCCCAGGGAATGAGCCTGCCGACCAGTCCAGACTCGTCCTTGAGCGATCTCTTCCACTTTCTCGTTATCAAGATTCCTGCCTGTGGCCACGTGTTGTTTAAAGTCTTCGTAGATCTTGTCTAAAAACCAATCAAGTTTATTTTGTTGTTGTTCGTTATAACCGTAACGGCCTGTTGGTGAAGACATATAAATTTAATTAGAAAAAAAACTATTATCCAAAGTTTTTCATCAAAAAATTCCTGTGAAAAATGTTGCATTTTCATGTGTATTTAAATCGTCCCAATCCACTCCAAGTTTGTTCCATAGTTGGGTGGTCCCGAACTTTCCAAAGACAACACCAATGGAACCTATTTTTATAAAAATAAATAGAATAAAGATATTATTTAAGATGCGTAAAGGAGTTTACTAGTAATACACTAAGGAATACCGGTGAGGGTCAAAGGATGAGCAACGATGCGGCTGCACCGGCAGGAGACGAAGTACCCGCCTGAAGCAGCCACGTTGCCCATGCTCACTACTACAGGCTTCTTGGCCGTTTGGGCCGCATAGGCCACCTATTTATGAAAAACAGCTGTAGAATAAGATAAAATGCGCAGACTTAATTATGAAGAACTAACAACTGCTGAGATTGCGTCCGAGGCCACGTAGCTCCCGCCGCCAGTGTCAACCCTGAGCAAAATGGCAGAAATGCGCTCATCTTCGCAGGCTGAAAGGAGGGCCTAGAAATGTAGAAAAGAGAATCACGGAGTAGCACGAGGGCAGGAGGGTGCGGGAAGAGACGCCACCTTAGAAACACAGTCACTTCCGCTGGTGCGGCCGGGGACCCCTTTCCCTGTTAGTATGCTGCCGCGTAAGTATATGAGAGCCACTCTTGGGGACCCTGCGTGGCGGAAGTGGGGGAATTCGAAATTCACATCCACAAGAACGAAAGCACTCGTTCACCTAATAGACGCCGTGCCAACCACGGAAAATAACTATGGACCCTTTTATACACGCACTTTGGGATCATCAACGAGAAATCACGTGGGTTTTTATAGTAGTGCTGGAGAAAAAGAAGATTCCTGTTTCTAATAAAATCCTAAGAAAAAAGAAGAGCTACTTAAAACGGCCATTTTTTTCGTCCAAAGACGGATTAGTAAAACCAGTTCGTAGAATTGATGCAGATAAATGGCGTCATCTATAAGTTTCCATTTCTTTGCCTCTTCAGAAGACAAAAATATTCCTTCTATCAATTTTTTCAAATCCTTTATAACATACAATAATGGTAAAACTAACGTGTGATACTACAGTAAATAAAAAACCTCAGGAGCGATCCTACGGCGAGCAATAATCTCATCAGTTATTTCTTGAATTACAACTTCCAATACCCCCTAAGTCATAAATTTCTTTAATAAATCAATAACTTTAATTATTATCAATACCGCTACTGCTTCCTTGTGCTCGTCCGTGAATTTTGTCTCGGTAAATAAATTTTTCATATTTTTATACTCTTTTCTTTATATAAAACACAAGTCTCATAATTTAGTAATAACCAAACATAAACAAACCTGCTTTCCAAATACGGGACTAAACCGAGTTTTTCTAAGAATCGCTTTACAAAAGGTTGCTCAATTATCAACCCTACCCATCTTTAACTTACTTACTTTAAAAAATATATATAAAGCAAAATATAAAACCTGCAAAGTTTAGTTCACCACTAGGTTGCAAGTAAACCTGTTCAAAAGCAGTGGCCAGGTAATAAGCAAAAATTCCATTAAAACCTTCTCCGAAAGAGTTGGAAAAACAACAGGTGAACTTTCCTTTCCGTGAAAAATTAGTGATGGACTCTAACGTTACAAGATAAATAAGACAACTTTTAAAAATAATCAAGTTTACGTTTACCTCGAAGTTCCTGAATAGCAGCCAAGCCAAGTGTCGTCACATAAGAGCCGTTGCCCAAGTAGCAAACAAGCCCACTAACCCGCTTATCAAGGCCTGCCTAAAAATTTAAAATTAAAAAGCAAGTTGACATGACAACAGTGGCTTTAAGTAAAATTAAAAACCTTTTCAAGACAAGTGAAAAATTCGAAAATGGACATGGAGTTATTATAAAATAATAACTTTGTTATCGGGTCACCAGAAACATGCTCCTAGACGTTAACAAATAAACGTAAAAATGAAAAACACAAGATATTCTAAAAAAAGTGATAAATCTAACTCGTAGCTTTAATCCGTGACTAAAGTCAACTTCCAGTATACACTCTTCGGTATTATATAAATAATAGTCAAGTTAAATTAGTTTTAGAATGTTAAGACCTCTTTTTACCCGTCGTCTTCTAATTAACAAATTTAAAGGAAACAAAATGAGTAACAGTGTTGAGAATAATACGCTCATAACGCCGAAATGTGAAAAGAGTGTGATCAATAAATGTCCCAATATAGTTGTAAATTCTAAAAGCTGTGTTATAACTAGAGAGATAAGATGTGTTTTGTGTGAGCAAAGAGTTGTTAAAAAAAATTTCCTGATTACTATAAGGAAATAATCCTAAAGTCAAGTTATTCAAAATTATTGTTAAACGATTTATAAAGTTGACCAAAATTGACGCCGGAAGAATGCCAAAGTAACAAGCCCAATGACTCAGTTGTCCTGGCAGAAGGAGTGTGTCCGCAAGGTACGAAGAACTCAGTTATTCTGCCACTTTTCTATGTGAGACCTTACGCGCATGCCCACCATTCTTATAATATTTTTTAGAAGAAATGAAATCTATTATATTCTCAAAAAAATTTTTTACTGGTAAGTAGTGCAAATCTCAAACGGAAAATACTAGTGCCATTGTTATAATTTTTTATTTTGAGTGTAAGGACTAAGAATGTTTTAATTAACACTACTGGATAAATACCTAATATATTTCCTTGTTCGAGTGGCACCTAGCCTTACTGTGGCAACTATAACTCTTTGGTGAACGTTAAAGTAATACAGTTTGAAGCGCTACGTAATAAAAAATTACACCGCTATGCTATGGCATATATGGGGCGATAGTAATAACAAAAAGTGATACAATAGTTTAATCTACAAAAAATTTGTTGAATTATGTTTGAGAAATGATATAATTGTTGATCTTTAATTGAAAAGGTAAGTACACTAATAGTTTTTGGACCAAGTAAATAATTAATATATTAAATAACCTCTATGAGCCCTATAAACAACGTTTTGAGGGGTACCTCAGCATTAAATGTTGCTTAATACCTAGTGAAACCCAAAAAAAACATAGGGAGTTTTCACTTTCATTTTTCTGCTTCGTTTTCTATTTTATTCTCTATCGCTTTTCGTTGTTATGAGCACGAATTTATATATATACTCCACCTTGTGCGTAATTGTGTCCTAGCTCTACTAAAATGAAGCTTATAGATCGACCAGCCGAAACTTTATGCTGTAGGTTTTTACTGCTGCGATTCATTATTACCCCTTGTAGCATCAAGGAGGGTGACCTAAAATTATCCAAGTCTATTTTTTTCCTTAGTTCCGCAAATAATCAAAAAATGAACTCAGTTTATTTTAAATGCATAGAGATGGGTAAAAGAAATTGATAATATTCATTTTTCACAAATTGTAAACAAAATAGAAAGATAATAGTTACTCTGCTTCTCCTGTGACTTCCTTCAGTTAGTTTTCGCACATGAAAACTTACTTTCTTGGAATGCTTTCCGCACTCGTCCCTTCTACAACCGATACAAACGATCATTATTTTCTCTAATTTTGATGTTTTTAGCACAGAACACTTGATAAAGCAGAAGTTACCGTTATCTTTTCTCTTTTAATACCTTTCATCGCCACAGTTACATTTTTGATAAGACAGTATATTTTGTGCGCGCAAAGAGGTTCAGTCCCAGTGCTTGCAAAAGAGGAATGCCTCCAATATGAATTTTTCCCTGTTCCAATTTTTGAAACTCTTAATTAGTAGGGTGTAAGAAAATACCAGTACTTAAATGATGGCGTCAGTTTCTGGGTTCAAAAAAAATTAAATTATGCAAGTATTTATTGGATGTTGAATTTGCGGTATTTAAGTTCTCAAAATAAAGCTGTAAAGGAACTACTTTTTTTTAGGCTAATCCTCACGTTTAGATGTAGACGCCCTAGTTTACCTTTTTGAATATGTGCAGCCAGACATACATATCATATTGGAACGCCGGTTACTATTTGCAAAACAGTCGTACATATGAAAAGCATTGGAAGAGCAATGACTCAGCATACTAAAAGCTCTACCTGCTTTTGGTTTGATACCTCTAATTATGACTAACTATACCTTAAAACCTGTATTCGGGCCTTTTGGTATGATTTTAGCTATGATCTCTATTTAATAAAAAAAAGTTAAATTTATCTTCTAGATCCTTTTACTATTGAAAATCTCATAATCTCAGTCGGTCTCTCTAATAAACATAAACATAAAACCAAATAAATTTATTGATTAATATATTCTGTCATGTCAAGTATGTGTCACACCCTCTGTAGATTATATGATTCCAATTACAGTGCGCAGTTAAAAAAAATGGTGATTCCATCGAGCGTATGCTCTTTGCGTTTAAATTATTTTTAACTGGTAGATTTTTTTTTCATCTATAAAGATTGTTTTAAATTATATATATATATTCATTTTAATTAAATAAAAACAAGATTTTCTTTCATTTTCGTGGTATCTTTTCACTCTATAGGACTGTAAAGAAATTTTAGCTTTATTATATAAAGATCCAGTTTAGTATATTTTTTTGGTCTATAGGGGTCGACCAAAGTGTTAATAGTAACTGTCTACAGGGTAGCTGGTTGGGAGCTTAACGTCTAGCGGGCGTGTGTATTATTAAAATAGCCTACAAGCTTTGAAGGAAGTTTTAAACATCCTCATTGTTAACATTATATAAATTCAAAAGCATACCACACCTAAAAGTTTTTAAAAATCTGTTTTTTTTGTAATATAAAAAAAAAAAGGGGGTAAACTCTAACAACCTTAACTAATTTTTAAAACCTCCACTAATGCTAGTTAACTAAATTCATTAATTGACTACGTAAATCTTAAAAAGATTTTGCCTTCCTCAATGCTCTTATTACTATTTTTTACATCCTTTTTATAAATAAAATGTTTGAAAATTTAATTTATAACCTCCGTCACCAAAAAATAAGTTATTATCCACCTTATACTTTTAACTCGAGCTATTTGACTACTTACCCTATAAATCGTGACATCTATACTAATAACTTTAGGGGCCTCTCTACTTAATCTAGGGTGACATGAAAAAAATTGCTTATAGAAAAGAACTCGAAGAACTCTTATTTTGCCTTATACTTAAATCGCACCTTGTAATTTAGTTTCTGCGACACTCTTGTTATAACCATAAGGTTCGAGTTCATAAATATAAAAGCCAACTTTAAGTAATGTATATAATCATGTTTCAAGCACCTGCTGAACTTCTCACACTACTTTAAAGTTAACTCTAATTACCCGAAGTATACAAGATCCCTAGATAAAATGCGCGACTCTTGCCCAACAGTGGAAAATTAGTAATCATTATCATTACGCACCTGCAACGAAATGGGATATTTCAAGGAAATTTTAGTAACATTAAGTTAAGTTGTTTTATTACCACTTAGATAATCTACTCATAAATAGATTAATAATTGGTGGCTGCGCACTCCAGTTCTTAACATTTGGCTATATATCACTTTTAAGTCTGTGTATAGGCACCAGGTACTCTACTGACACCTTTCGCGCCCTCCCCCTGTGTTATGGCCGCAGGCGGAGTAACAAGCTTGTATTTTTAAGCCCTTCGGATATGTTGCATCTTTTTTTTTTCACAAAAAATTGTAAGTATTCTAACTGAGTGATATTAGTTATTATTTTCAATTAATTTTTTTTTTAATCGGAAGTGGGTATTTATATAACATACGTAACTATTAAAGAGGCTGCGATTCTTTGTTTTTTTTGTTCGTCCTTATTTAACTTATTTTTTAATTACTGAATAGTTAATCTAGAGTGCCAGTTAATATCTTGAAACCTAAACTCGTGCACTACCCAATAGTACCCTTTTACTTAATTATAGCTTTTTTTAAACCTGTAACACAGTTACTCAATTCTTAAAGCTTTATAACTAAATCAAGCATTTTGAATTGAAGGAAGAGCGGCTTAGTGGATAGAACAAATTTTGCATGTGCTCTAACTTCATATTGGAAATTTTTAAAGTTTGTAAATTAAAAACTTTGAAAAAACTTTATTTAAAACCTTCCTTGCAACGGGCGCTGGGCTAGAGTTGAGATTAGGATTATGCAAGCTTATTAAAGATTACGTTTTTAAAAATAACTTTAAATTCAGCAATGCAAGGTTAGCATACAAAAGTTACGCTCTGCGACCCGCTACGTTAGAGTGGTGGCCGTACAAAATGATTTGTGGTTTTAGCTAATTATCAAGCTACTTATTTTTAAAGTTTACCTCAATTACAGGGTAAGGCATACAGCAATATAGCTGCTTTAAATCATTACTCCACAATAGTTAAGTGAATAAGAGTAGGCTTCTGTTTTTTATGTGGGTTTTTAAAGTGAACCTCAAGTAATCTTAATAAAATTATTACTGCGTCTCCCCATCACACCCATTTGTAGTCGCAAAACATTTTAAGACTATCCTTTTGATAAAAGAGATAAAATCCTAGTAAAAAGAGAATTTGATAGTGCTTGCATAAATGTGTTTAAGTTAAAGTGGTAAGCCTTTTAAGTTTATTAATTGATTACTGCCCGTATAAAATTACGCGTTTAAGTTAAGAACAATCTTATATGATTATATTTTTTAAGTAAACCACTTTACATTGAACTTTCTTAGAGATTTGAAAAGCAATATATAAACAATGGCAAAAAAGGTTAACTACCCATATCTAAGAGAGACATTATTCAAATAAAAGAGATGACTGAATTTATTACTTAATCTCAAAAGACTGCTTACTTTTTTTGCAAAATATAAATACATAACATAAGAACAATATATAAAAGTTTTAAGACTTTAATAAGGAAAGTGGAAGATTACTTACTTTGCATGAACCTGTTTCTTATGTTGTTCTAAAGAAAATTCTTTCTTAAACTTTTTCGAGCAAACCGGACAAGCAATAGTTTCATTGTCAGTCTTTTTGTCTTTGATTTCGATTTTAACGCTGTTATCCTTTTTGCTTCCTTTTAAAGGTTGTTTGCTATCCTTTTTTAGCTTTTTGTTTTCCCTTTTAACTTCCACCTCCTTTTCGTCATCAGTGTCCTCTTCCTCGTCCTCGTCCTCGTCCTTACCCTCCTCATCTTCTTCTTCATTCTCCTCATCCTCCTCATCTTCCTCATCGTCCTCATCGTCGTCTTCATCCTCATCTTCGTCTTCATCACTCAACTCTTCGATTTTACTATCTTCATGGTAGCTCTCATCATCATCGTCGTCCAAGTTGCCGGCCTCTTCAAAAAAACGTTTCTTTAGTATGAGTGCTGAAAAACAAAAAGTTTTACAGCACAACTAAGTGAATATAAATTTAATGAAAAGCAAAAAACTACGAAATACCAAATTCATTTTTCTTACTGCCATTAGCTAAAAAGCCATCAGAAGACTTCACTCTAAAAAAAAAGTTAAAGTTGGGTTTCAACATACCGTCAATATAAATTTTACCGCTTAGGATTAGCACTCTTTCCTTCATTAGCGAGAGTATTACGCTTTACAACTTCGTCTTCGCTATCACTTTCTAAACATATAATATAAACTTGTAGCTCTCACAACAATAACAAGCGAAAACCTTCATAATCCATAAGGCCATCTTCGATCTAGTAGTAGACAATTAATAAGCTCATAGTATAATCAGGCAAGAACTTACGTTGTCCCGAATTTCCAAAGTCTCAAGATAGCCGATTAAATGAATTTCACTAATTAAATCCATTTAAGTAAAAAAATACTTCTTAATATAGTAAGGTTACTTGTTTCCACCTTCAACTTCAAATTTAACATCGTCTGAATAGCGAAGGTCCAGAGAAATATTAGGGCTAATTTTAAAAATGAATAAAGAATCAACTCACAATAAAGCTAACTTCTTACCAAGAATCAACGGTTAATGTTGCTATGGTAAAAGTCTTATGGCTATCCTCAACAGGCACTGTACAGCTTAACGTATGTGGTTTTTTATCAGTGGCATTAGGGCCAAATGTCGCCTTAAGTTTGTATTATTAAAATATCCTCTTTCCCTGGAAATACCAAAAAAATACTCACATGTGTTATGTGTAAAATCGTTTCAACTTCTTCAGATGATGCATCGGTATACTCGTAAAATTTCTTTTGAGAAACAACTGCGCCGTAAAAATCAAACATCTTTTCTCAAGGGGTATCAAGTAACTAATAAGTTGTATAAGAGACATAAATAGCATTTCTTTACAAAAAACAAATAAAACCTATAAAATAATAAAAAGGCAAACCGAAAGGAGTAAAAGGGGTGACAGTAAAAAGTATAAGTCAAGAATATATTATTTATATTAACAATCTGTTGAGTAGAGGAGCGGCCATGTGAAAATTATGGCACGTGAGCAAATTCTTTGCACGTTGTAGGGGGCCAAGTTGGTCACCATAAGGCAGTGAACGTCACAGTTTATTTAAGCACTCAAAGTGAACTGTTTTGTATTGTATTATACCATTTTTGTTTACATACAGTATCAAGTTATATGTTATACCTGCTACAATCGCAATAGGCTATTAATAGGTGACTTGTTTGGTGAATGGTCAAATTTGTTTAACCAGTCTGGGTAAAATTATTATGATTAATTAAGTGCTCTATTTTTACAATTGTTACAAATTTTTTTTATTATATAGCGTTTATCATCATAAATTTAGTTTGCCCAGTTTAAGAGGTTGTGTTAATTCATTTTGGCTAATTGTTTAATTTTGTTTTAAATTTAATCTTTATTGTTTTCTTTGAGCGTAGGCAAGGTTTATTGTAACCTTGAATAGTCAATTTATCGAAAGGTATTATAATTATGGATCCAGTTTATCTTTTGAAAACGTCAGTCACCTGTTCTGCTAGTCTTTATCAGGTCGTGTTTACAGAAGGTGTCTTATTGTTACTGGGCAGAGATAAGTTTCAGAGTTAGAATATAGAAGTGAAGATTGACTATTATACTTACCTGCTCTTATTGATTGGCCATAAGTCTTTTAATATTTTATTAATCTTGATTAGCAGTCTTGTTATAAAATTGTGATTTTAAAGTTACTCTCTTTTGCCTTATATATTCGTCATACAAATATTTTCGTGTTGGATGACAAGCCTTATTATTGTTTTGAGTTATAAAAAGCCGAGTTGAAATTACCTTCTTACTGTATGCTATAACATGGTATATTGTCCTTTTTGCTGGTTTCGTTGTCTTAAATAGAGTTTTTATAAATTCTACACCATTTGAGGGGAAGAAGTATTATATTCTCTCCTTTTTTTCTTGAGGATGCAGAAAATTGTAATTTCCACGCGCGTTGTATGTCATTTTATTTTTAGTGTATGGTATAAAGTTCTTTAAATTTTTTTTTTTCACGGCCAAGCGGTTAGTTTTTTGTGTACGTTAAGGAACATTTGATTCACTATTATGTAGACGAATAAAATCAGAGTAGAGTATAAACGGTGTTTTTTGTATATTTTATTTAGTTCCATTCATTAATATGTTTGGGTAGATTGTTTTATAAGCGTACCTTTACATTGTTTTTTTAACGATTTAACAGCTCTTGACTCAGTATGCTGGGAATGTAACGAGATAGAAAAATTAAACTGATTACCATGAATTAAAAAAAATAAAGGAAGGCTCGATTTTTTTTAATGTTTATAAATTTTTGGAAGGCGTTTTAAAATTTATTACTAATTGAGTTAAGCAGTAAAACGCAGTTGATTCGGGCATGTATCGAATAAATAAATTCTTTTGTTAGGATTTATTACTTTTTCCCTCTTAATTAGAGCATCCACTTTTTATCGTGGTGGAAAATCTGTCAACCTTTTAGTCTTATTAATTCGAACCTCTATTTATGTGTAGGCATGCATAAAGCCATTTTACTGCACTTTGTAACTTAATCTATATAATATTTAGTTATACTTTATAGCACATCTATGTTTTTAAATATCATGTTTTTTTATTTAATAAAAATAATAGGGTTTTATGGCATTGTTGCAGATCCTTTTTTTAATAATTATACCCTTTTAAGTAAATGTCATCTCTTTGTTCTTTTTTATTTAATAACAATAATAGGGTTTCATGAATAGTAGTATTTTTCTTTTTTTAATAGCTATACCCTTTTAAGCAAATACCTTTTAATAATCTCTTCTGGTTTACACTGAGGTTGTCTCTATTCAGCAACTCGCACACAAATATTCTATTTTTTGGATGCCCTAAATCTTGTTTAATTCTAACCATAGCCCCCATTTGTTTTTTTCAACTGATTTCTGTCTCAATTGCTATATATATGTAGCAACCAATTAAAATTTTAATAATGCTCAAAGTAAAAAGTTTAAGAAAGTAGTAATATTTAATTCTAAACTAATTAATATTATAAGCAAAATATTCAATAAAAAGTAAAACTTAAACAATATAAAAAAAATTATAAAAGTTAAGACTAATGAAGATAAAGTCGCTTGGCCAGCTATGTAAAAAAACCATTGAGGATTGGAATAATCAAACTAAAAATTATTAAATATTTTAATTTTTAGACTTAAACTAATATTGTACATAAAAAATAATTTTAATAGAAAAATTATTACTGCAAAAAAATATAACTAAAAATTTATAGAAATAACTTAAATAATAAATTTTAATTATTATAAAAGGTTAGATTAATGAAGATAAAGGAGCTTGTCTATATATATAAAGCATTAAGTGAGAACGAAATAATTATTAAGTTATAAATTTTAATATGTTGGACGAAGCGTGCGGCCACCTGAACCAATAAAAATTTTTGTCATATAAATAAAAAGTTGGTGAAGGTAACATAAAAAAAAAGTTAAAAAAAATAATTTTCGTTCAAACGATTTACATTTTTTTATAATTATAATTACTTTTATTATTAATGATATATAAGGAAAAATATAATTAAATTGAAAAAACAATTCGTAAAATATAATTTTAATAAAGCAAAAGTATAATAACTAAATAGCAAAATAACAGAAATAAAAGTAAATCAATAAAATTTACTTAAATTTTATGAATTCAAAATAAATATAGAAAAGAAGTTGTTTTAATATTATTTTAGTAAAAGTAAAAAAAAAAAAATTAAAAATATAATCTATTATTAATTTATATACAAAAAAATATTCAATATGAAAAATAAACAATAATTTAAGTTATATAATAATTAATTCTAAATCTAAAAAAAAAGGTTCAAACTGATAATTATTTACTTTCAAACACTATAAAATAATACTTTAAGAAAAAATTAATATAAAAATTAAAGATCTTTCTACAAATTTTCAGAGAATAGTAAAACATTTTTAATGTTAAAAAAATAATTTAAATTTTATATTTTTTATAAAAAGGTTATAAAATTTTAGTTATAAATAGATTAATAAAGACAATAACAAATAAAATTTATATTTTAAATTTTATAATAAATGTTTAGACAGAAAAATAAAATAATAAAAAATTAAAAAAAATTAAATCTAAAAATTTTTTACAAATTTATCATTAATAAATTAGATTAAAAAATTAAAGTTAAAAAATAAATTAGAATTTTAGTACTTTAAAAAAAATTTATATGGTAAGATAAAATCAATTTTGATAATTTGATAAAAAAATTTCTATCTTAAGAAAAAGTTAAATTTTATAATTATTTATTATAAAATATTATAAAATAACATAAATTTATAAAACAAAAGTTAAATTCCGCTTGCAAAAAAAAGTTATAACTAATACAAATTTATTAATAAATCTCGTTTTTAATAATTAAAAAATTTTGTTAAATATTCATTAAAAATAAAAATAATTAAAAAGAATTAATAATTATAATTAAAAAAAATTTTGAGTAACTTATTTAATAAAATTAACTACAAAAATTACAATAAAAAATTTTTTAATAAACAAAATTTTAAAAATAATTTTAGTAAAATAAATTTCCATTTTAAAATTTGAAAAATAACATTAGTTAAAAATTAGAAAAATATAATTTAAAATAAAATTATTCATAAGTAAAATCGGAAATAAATGAAAAAATGGAATAAATTTTTTTAATAAGCATTTAACTCCAAAAATTATAATAAATTTACTGATGTTTAAAAAATAAAATCTTAAATATATTTATAACAAAATTTATCAAAAAAAATAATTTTATTTTTTAATAAAATTTGTTTTATAAATTTCAAAAAATTTTACTTTTATATTTTAATATTAAAAAAAATACCTAATTATTTCTATAATTTAAATTTAAAAAAATATTACTTTTATACTTTAATATTATTATTTTATTAAACTTTTTATACTTGGAATAACGTAAATATAAATTTAGAAAGTAAAATTTACTGGTACCATTATAAAACATTAAATTATTTTTTTATAATATAAATCAAATCTAAAGAATAAATTAATTAAAAAAAATTTAATTTTAAATATTTTTAAAATAATATTTATATTAGTCAATTCTTTTATTTAATAACTAAATATTTCGTTTAATCTAAATATTGCGTGTTTTTCAAAATATATCTCCATAGTAAAGTATAATAAATTAAAAAAATAATTTTATTAAATATTTACAAAGTATTTATATTTGTTTGATATAAATTAGAAAAATAAATATTTTCATTCGTTTTATTTTTGATAATAAATATTTCTAAGAGTTTTTTACAAGTAATGAAATTGCTATATTATGAACTGCAAGCAAAAAAAAAAGTATTTTAGGTTTTATTATCTGTAACGAAAAGTCCACATAAAAAAAAATTTTTCAAATAGTTGGTCCTCATTTACAACTTGACTAATACACAAATATCTTCTACTAACCTATTAAAAAACTGTTATCCCCTAATAAGAAAACTGTAATAATAGAAAAAAAAACTTTTTTAGAGATAACTGATTTTTTTTTTAAAAAAAAAATATAACATAAGCTTTATATATATTATTCGGCTTAACTCTAATATTCCTTTTTCATTTCCATTAAACTTGTAATATTCTTATGCCTTCTACATGGTTTTATTTTTGTTTCCTTTCACAATATGCTGGTAAAAAAAAATTTTTTTTTCACTTCCTTATTCTGTTAAAATTTTTATCAAAGTAGTACCAACTATTTATAAATTATTATATTATTTATTAAAACTTAGCTTGGGTTAACAGAGCTAAACAGAAAAGTAATCAATAGTTAATAAGCACGAGTTATATTTGTGTTAAAAATAAATTACGCGATATTTCAACTTGAAAATTCTCAGTGAAAGTCCTGTTTACTATCCAAGTAGAAGCTACACCTTTCTTGATTAAACTTCATTTAAGAAATGGGTGGCAGTGACACACCTTGATTTTTTTAATTTCGAATTATATTTTTTACGTGACAAGGGAGAATACTCTATGTTATAAAGCGTGATGAGTTTCTCTAAGTTCATAAACTTTTTTTTATAGCTAAGAGGTAAGATAAATAAAGTAGCTGCGTCTTTGCAAGTGTTTTTGTATGAGCATTTAGTTGTGCGAATACATCCGGCCCTTTAATTGAGATCTTTTACTCCAATCTAGTAGATAGGCAACTGCAACCTTACTTTCTTTTTTAACTAGCAGGCTATCAAGTAGGACTCACTTAATGTACCATTAGAAAGTATCGGAGATTTCGCATAAGATCAGCAATATAATTAAAAGGGCGTTACTTTAAAATATTATAACTTGTTATGTTCTGTGTAAACCCTGTTATCTTTTCACAGTTGTTCAAAGCAGAGTTACAAATATTATACAAACAAAATTAAGTTGCTTTAAATAGCATTGAATCCGGTATAAAGATAAATGTTCGAGTTAATGCATTGTTATGATTTGTTGAAATCTAGTATTTCTTAATTATCAAATACCAACGGCGAGTACATTATTTAATCGAGTTATAATAAATTGAAAAAAGTTAAATCAGTTGATAAAAACTGGGTAAAAAAGTAACTTACAGCAGTAAGCCACAACTTTAATTGCTTAACCACAG